ACACTTTTGGTGGAAACGGGAATGGTCTATTTTTGGTAGAAACATGTTACGCCCGTTAATTTAATACCACGCATATTTATTATAACATAAATTTATTGAGATCCATTTATGAAGTTTAATAAAATGTATTATATTTTTAGATAATCTAAAATGTATAATCTTGAATGTATTTATTAGTTTACAATATTCACACATGACTGCATATCGCTTAAAACTATAAATTTTCCTGAGTACCGATTTCTATAGTATTTGATTTTGTTCTCATATATTTTTAGATACACGTTGTTTTGACCCTTAGAATTTTAATCTTGTCCCGGATGGGATTTTATCCTGCAGGCGCGCTTAAATAGATCCACAACAAAGATTTAATAATTGGAAAAAGTAAAATCCTAAGACACCTGACCATGAGAATATTAATGAACATAGTACCAATATGTTTAAATGGGCCGATTTCAAAATTAATTTACATAAAAATAATACGACTGACTTTACATCACAATTAGAAATTAACAATGAAGAGGAAAAATGGAATCATATTTTGATAGTTGTAATTGACTGTGTTAGATTTTGATGCGTAAACAATTTAGCTTTAAGAGGATCTAATTGTAATATAAGAAAACCTGGCTGAGAAATTTTCTTAAATTTAATTGGTCTAATTAGCATAAATGATTCTGTTTTATGAAGTCATTTAAAACTTAAGGACCAAATCACATATTTATCAAATAAAATCCAAAATTAATTTATAAATTTACTCGATTCAATAATAAGATTAAAATCATTCATAAGATTTCAAATATTAAAAATTTCAATTCATAATAAACTTTTCTATTATTTTTGATTCCACCCCAGATATTCCTCGTATAGATCAACTCTGTCAAATAAATTAATAAATTATACATAACTATTTTGTTTAATAATTACTATTACAATCAGCTTTAGTTTTTTGTTAAATCAATGTTCAAAATACGTTGTTTTTTTTTTGATTTTTTATTAGGTATATACAATCTGTTCCTTTAGGGACAATAAGAATATGTAATAATAGAAACAAAATGTTAACATGAAAACTTGATGGGAGGAGTCACCCAGTGGTTACACTACCCTAATTGATTTTTTTTTTTTACTTTAATAACTCATTGAGAAGATCTCTACACCATTTTCTTCTGAGCCTCCTGGGAGGGTTCCCAGGAATTGTGAGAGTGGCAAGGTTTGAGATGAGAGGGTTGGTATGAGAAGGGAGTTTTGAGTGGAAACGCTTGTAAAAAGTTACTGCTTCTTCGTGGACTGTTTTAATTTTTAGATCGGTGTGTAAGGTTAGGTTTGAAATAAAAGGAGGAGAATTTGTGATTTTACGAAGGATGTTGTTTTGAAAGGTTTGAATTTTATTAGTGTTGGATTTTTTGGCATTGCCCCAGGGTTGAAGACCATAGGTCCACATAGGCTTAAACAAGGATTTATAAATTAAGAGTTTAGTATTTAAAGGAGTGTGTTTGTTTTTTGTAATAAGAGTTTTGAGGATACGGAGTCGTGCATTTAAGGCAAGCCTTTTAATTTTTATATGATGTGACCATGTGAGACGACGGTCAATTGTCAGACCTAGGTATTTAGCCGATTGAGAGGAAGGGATTTGAATATTATCTAGGTATACCATAGGACAGGGAGGAAGACGAAGTGTGAAGGTTGTATGATGCGATTTGGATTGGTTAACTTTGATACGCCATTTTTTATACCAATCAGCCATTAGGTCAAGGTGAAGTTGTAGATTGAGGGAGGCTATGTGAAGATTATCATGGATTAAAATAATAGCCATGTCGTCGGCAAACTCCGCAAAAGTTGTGTACGAAGAGGTGGGTTGATCGGCAGCGTATAGAGGAGAAAGGATGCCTCCCTGTGGAACATCTACACTAATCTTTGCCAAGCCAGAAAAAAATGTGCCAACTCTGACCTGAAATTAACGATCCGTGAGGTAGGATTTGATTAATAAATAATAAGTTGGATGGAGTATTGGCTTTATTTTATACAGCAGTCCCTCATGCCAAACCCTATCAAATGCTTGGGATATATCTCAGAAAACGCAGGAGCAATACTTTTTTAGATAGATAGATAGAGAGAGAGATAGGAAGAGGGATATCAAGTAGACGATTTAATACGTCAGTATGTGAAGGTATTTGTATATCCAGGTGAGGCGTGAAAGTTCCAGTTAGGTGTTCTTTAAACAGTTCTGCTTTTTCAACATCGGTTGATGCAAATCCACCGCGGGGATTTATTATTGGAACGAGCGGATGTTTGTATTTTAGAAAACTTTTGGTAGCTACCCACAGACTGCCATTATTAGGTGATAAATTTGAGAGATAGTTTTCAAAGGATTGATTTTTATGTTTAGCTAGTATTTTTTTCAGCGAGTTAGATAGATTGTTACAAATACGTTTGTGGGATGGGAGACGTGAACGTTGGTAAACGGCCTTTGCTCTGCGCTTATTGGATATAAGGATACGAATATGTTCGGGAACTGAAGGAGCAGCATTTGGATACTGTATTTTAGTAGAACCAGAAGCCCATGCTGCAGATTGAATTACATTTGTTAGGTTGTTTATGGCTACATCAATTTCTTGGGGGGATTTAAGACTAATTTTGAGATTTATGTTTTTATCCACCAAGTCGTGAAATTTGAGCCTGTCAGTTGAGTGGAGAAAGAGTTTTGGTAGAGAAGGCCGGATTGGAGGACAGGCACTGACAGTCAGGAGCACTGCAGAGTGGTCCGAGCAGGGTTCTAAAAGATTGGTAGTCGTGAAGAATAGGTTGCGAGATGATTTGGATACAAATATGTCTAGTATGTCTGGTTTTTTGCGTAAGGAGGTGGGCCAATATGTTGGTCCAGGGGGCGCGAGGATTGTGTATCCCTTGAGATTTATAAAATTGTGGAGAACTATACCTCTTGGATTGGTAGTACGACAGCCCCAGCTTAGGTGCTTAGCATTGAAGTCGCCACCTATAATAAAGTTTTGACTAAGAGAGCTAAAGTAATCTATATAGTTTTGAATATTAATATTATGTCTCGGAGGGGAATATATTGCTACTAAAGTTGTTGGTATATTGTTCAGGTGTAGTAAAATAGCACAAGGCTGTGAATGAGGCTGACAAAAATTTGGAAGGGATTGAAATGACAAGGAAGATTTAATATAAATTGCAGCACCACCCTGAGCAGAGTTATCTGGGTGATTTGTTTTTAGGAGATGATAACCAGGTATAGCGATGTGAGAGTATTTTGTGAAATGCGTTTCGGATATCAAGGCAATATCGATACGTTTTTCCTGGAGTACTAACTGGAGTTCATTTGAGTGATTTTTAAGACCATTTGAGTTGAAAAGAAAGATGAGAAGGGAGTTGCTTGTGTATGAAGACATTAATTTTTATCCAAAAGTTTTGAGATAACTTGGGTAAGTAGGGCGATTAGTGGATTAATTAGTAATTTGAATTCGTCAAGGAACTTGTTTATATCTGATATAGGAGGAGGGATTATGTTATTAGAGGAAGAACTGGAGGTGGCTTGAGCGTAGGTTTGGGACGAGTCTGAGTGCCGTGGACCAGTTTCCTGACGACGAGTTTTCCATGGTAACGTCTTGATTACCGACTGATTGATTAGTGTTGACAGCAGTTGACACGTTGTTTAGGCGATCAGGCTGTAGCTTAGTGATGTCGTTAGATTTAGTGCTGACTAAATTTGTGTTCTTATTTTTGATTGTAGATTGCGGCATAATTATTATTGCGATAAGTCGAGGTCACCGCAGCGGCGTGCGATAAAACGGCACACAAGTAGTTATAGATGTAATGAATACGTAGGTAATCAACGATGAGATTATTTTTTTTTGTTATTTATATCAATTGCGAGAACAAAAATTAGAGAACTAAGTAATCTTTAATATTACATAGTCTATGTTATTTCGCGAGATGTTTTAATTGTAATTAAGTATGAATTGACACATTGATCAATATACGGAATAAATAAAAACAAAATCACAGGACGGAGCGCAAGCAGTGTGCGCGACGGATGCCGAACGCGAACGTCAAAATACGTTGTAAAAAAAAAAAAATTAAATTAAATTAAATAGGAATGGAAAGCATTATGATTAATGATAAATAAAATAGGGAGTGAATATTTTTAATTTTACCTTGGGTGCCAAATCTTAACGGCACGGCTCTGCATTCTAACACAAATTACCAATTAACGATTATACTCTTTGCTATAAATTAAATTTAACTATATCTTCCTCTAAATAAATATGTATAATTACTTATTTATATATTTAATAGAGGTAATTATTAAATTAACAAGGTTATACGTTATGATAGGTTATAAATATTTTAAAAAAGTATTCGACAAACAATATGACAACGTGAAATGGTAAAATCTAAAGAAAAATTTATAAGTGTACCACAATATTGTATAATACGCTGGTTGCACTGTTCAATAGTCGGAGAACTACAATTTCTCATTTCAATACATTTATATGATAATTGTACATCACTTAAAATGTAATATATTTGTCGTATGAAAGATTTTCGTATAATAATAATGAGTAGGTATGCTTGTTTAATTTATTACTTGTGGGTCGTGAAAGATGACCTACATGATTACTTGACGCGTAATTGTTGTAATAATATTGAACATGAACTAATTATTCTAAACAGAACGATCGAATTTCTGTTATGCTTTTTAGTTCATAATTGTATCATTTAAATCATTGTTCTTACCATCATATCGTTTTGAAAACGATCAGTTCATACGAACAAATTTCGTAAACATATAAATTTAAAACCTAAGGGTCAACGATTTTAAAATCTAAGGTGGTTAAAGCGACACGTAATAACGTGGTATATGCACAATTGACATCGGATATGTGTCCTGTGATGCAAAAAAAAATGAAATAAGTAACGATGATTTTAATTACAAAATGTAACCGTTTCAACAATAACTACGATAACTAATGATATATAATTGGCGTGTCGATAACTATTCAGTCTGTAGTTTTGATATAGCCCATTCGTAACTCTGCAACGAACAACTTTACCACACTGTTTCACGAATTCACTATTTTCGTCTCGTTACAGGTAAATGCATAGATTTTTTTTAAATTTTTTCTATAGACACTAGAACTTGGTTTTCCAATCGGACTGCGAGAGACTCTAGGGAGTGGTCTGGTTTTATATGTACATGAAGATCAGGGATGAAACTAGAGGGAGGAAGACAGGGATTCATCCCTGGGCGTAACATTTTAGAGGGTGTTATGTTTATAGTATATAACCAATTATTGACCACTAGTTTGATATTTTTAACTAGGTTACTAATAATGTGCTTAAAACTTAATAAGTATGCTGCCCTGCTACTGCGAAGAGCAATAACTAAAAAATTATCAAAAAATGAGGTTTTGATGTCATATTGTTAATGAGATTATTCTGAGTATAATTTTATTAAGGTTAAATATGCAAAAATCAATATCTAGTGGCTTAAAATGCAACTAAAAAAAGTCGTAACTGCAATACATTTACAAAAATCGTACTTTTCTTAGAGTAAAACGCAGTAATTAACAATTCCTACAATTAAAAGCAGTATGTGTATTGTAGTTACTGCGTTTTCTTCTAGTAATACAATAACATTAATACTGTCATTTGCTGCGCAACTGTCGTAACTTGTTTTTGTCTATCAAATTATTATCTTTATCTAATGATAACTTGACATAATATTACGAAAGTAAAATATTTCATGTTTAATTATTATTTTTTAATATATTTATTATAATTGATACTGTTGTAGTTACTGCATTTCTATTAGCAATGTTTCATGATATTGATAATACTGCATTATATACATTGCGCCACTTTATGATGTAATGTGAGTAATGCTAGAGAGAAACGCAGTAACTATTATAGTATGTGAAAATTGTCAAAAATAATTTATTAATTACAAAACTATTAACATTTTTGAATTTCTCGCATAAATTTTCATCTCTTTCAGTCAAAAGGTGTACTTAAAGTTTTCAATTGAATAAAAAAATTATAAAAACACAAAAGTTCAATTTCCCGAAAACGTGAATTTTGTAGTTACTGTTTTTCGCAGTATCAGGACAGTATGATTGTATGCTAATTATCAATAATACTAATCTATAATATTAGTATAAAAAAATGATAGGAAAGGGTATTTGATTCTTGGTTTATGATACATCGTAATCTTAACATTTTCTCCGGGCGTATAAAATGCCTAGTTCCGTCTCTAATGAAGATACATCTATGTTACTTGAGGGTCGACCGTGATTTGCTTACGCACCAATATTGGCCATTCATTACCGATCTGCCGTGCCATTAAAATTAACCGGTTGATTTCATACAATTTCTTGCAACATGTCTTGCTCATGAAATATATAAACACAATAGTAAACATATAAATTTGATTGTAGCACTATAATTATTCGTTGGTTATGCATTTGGAATAACTACGTACATTGACGTAAAAAATATTTCTTTTAACAGTCTGTTGAAGCGTTAAAATTGTACAGCTTATGACCTCACAGAACCTAGTAAAAAACTAAAAGGACACCCCTAATCATTAACCGATTCTGTTGATATTTAAGAATGATAACAATAAATGGATTTTTTTCTTACTACAAGACGCAAAAATATCCTCGTTTAAACGCATATTCACGACAATGAACCAATGAGCACATAAAGAAAAATAGAATAACTTCAAAAAGTTATTCGCGAATACACGGGGGACACAACCGTCCAAAAGAGTCATTGGTGGTTTTTTCGATTATTAACACTACTGTTAGAATAATGATTAATGTAAACCGCATTGGTCATTATATTATCAGTAATAAGTAATAACTAGCGGATGTTTCGCGGTAATTCGAAAAATGAAAAATAAACAAAGTGGGGCTACAATGATAATTGACAATAAAGTTATAGAACCGTGTATGCCAAGGAGTGACCGTAAAATTAACAAGTTTAAATATATTACATTCGGCTTGGTTACGTTCAATGTTTCGAAAAACACTTGTTTAGGGTTGGTTGAATGGTCAATGTGATTCTTAAATATTGATGATTTGATTACAATGCATATGTTACCGTAAATGCCCGATCACTAGGTAAACCTAGGTTTTACTAGTTAATGCTAGGTTTTACTGTTTGTACTCAGTAAATGCTGAAATTCTAAATTTTATTTGGGCTTTTACTAAACACGTTGTATACATCCTAGGATATAAAAATTGACTTAGTAAAAGCTGATCAATACACGACACATAACATTTAAGCTGCGTAAAAATTATAATTATGTATTATTATAATTAATAAAAATGCATCTTAAGTTGTAAATTTTTTCTGGAAATCACACTTCAAACATATTTGCTCGCAACGATTAATAACAATTATTTTGCGAAGATAAATGTACGACTACAATGTGTAGATATTAATAATTATCTAATAATTTACTAACGGATACGTTATCGCTTAGATATGATTTTATTAGGTACATGTTCAGTCTGTTTGGATTTTACGTGATGGATCCATTTGTAGAACAGTGTAATATGTGTTGTGCCTCGTGCGCGTAATATTTATATTGAATTGTGTTTAATTAATGTAATTTTTAATTATATTTATTTTTATTGTTAATTTGACTTAAATATGGCTAATATAGAAAGGTTTTATGACGTTTTAAATCCAATAATTAAAAAAAAGATTCTAGTAATACTTTTTATTTAACACGTGAAATGTACAATACGTATTTACATGAAGTGAAGAACGTAAAAACAATCGCTGTTAAAAAATCAATTCACTATCGGAGATTAAAACGTTTTGATGTTCTTTGTATTGGGAATGAAGACAAACTTATTTTTCCAGTGGAAAGTGGATCTGAAGATATTCGATACTACGTATGTAATGAAGAACTTCTTGATATTATACACGCAGCTCATATTGAAACAGGACATGGTGGTAGGGATCGGATAAATCATATGCTAAAAAAAAAATTCAAAAATATTAATGTGGAAGCTATAAATATGTACTTGAAAATGTGTGAAACATGCCAGAAAAAGCATAGTATACCAAAAAAAGGACTCGTTGTTAAACCGATATTGCACAATGAAATGAATTCTCGATGTCGAATTGATTTAATTGATATGCAATCAAACCCAGATAATGGTTTTAAATACATTATGGTGTATCAAGATCACCTGACAAAATTTGTGATTATACGGCTTTTACGGTGTAAACGTGCAGAAGAAATTGCATATCAACTTCTAGATATATTCACTCTCTTTGGAGCTCCTAGTATACTACACTCTGATAACGGGCGAGAATTTGTAAATAAAATTGTTACCAGTGTATGTGAAATGTGGTCTCAAGTTAAAATAGTTCATGGCAAAGCTCGTCACAGCCAATCTCAAGGATCGATTGAACGAGCTAATCAAGACATCAAAAGTATGATAGCAACTTGGATGGAAACTAATGACAATGCAAAATGGTCTGAATCTTTACGATTTGTTCATGCAATGAAAAATGCAGCATTTTATTCAGGTTAGTTATAATTATTATTAACTTTTTTTCTGTTGTATATTTAAAAGATATTTTTATCAATTTAATCATATCATACATTTTTAGGTTAAGTAGTATTTAGTAATTATTATAAAAACAAAAAAAAATTTAAAAATATACAACCGAACAAACACAGATTTTCGTGGTACACCCATGTATAATATGACATTGAATAATTATTATTTGTATTAAAATAATCCTACAATTGTAATATAAATTTTAAAATAAAGTATAATATAATAAAATAGCTATAAATTATAACTATTTTTTGAATTAGTTATAAAACGATCACCCTATGAGGCAATGTTTGGGTGTACTATGAAAATGGGACTTGCTACTTGGAGCATACCGAAAAATGTGATAACAGAACTCATTAATGAAGATGACCTTATGTTTTTTCTTGAAGACTCTAAAATTACAATTTCTAATGAAAATGAGGAGACGAATACTACTGAAAAAATCAATGAGGACATAGACATTGATCATAACCAAGGAAAAAAAATCGATATTGAGATCTACAAAAAACGATGAAAAACAATTTTATCGAAGAAAGATAAAAATGAAAAAGTTATTGAAAAAATATTACTTGAACGTTCTACTAAAATTAAACGACAACGAGAAGAGTCACTACAATCTCTGGAAAAACAAGCAAAAAAAATGAAAACAATATCTCATAAAAATGTTCCTGCTGCATTAATTGGTCAAACAGTGCGAGTGATAATTCCAGATTTCGACCGATGTAAAATTGATTCTCGCAAATTATTGGCTGTAGTTGTTGAAATTATTGACGAAGAATTTTATCGAATAGGATCTAAAGCTGGGACATTGAATCAATTATTCACTAGAAATCAATTTACTTTATGCGGAGAAAAATTTATTTCAACATCCGATGTTCCAAATACAACAACAAGCATACGCAAAGCTGTTTCTCAACTTTCATTATCAGGTGGGCAAGGATTTTTAAGGTGTGATTGCCAGAAAAAATGTACAACTAAAAAATGCAAATGCCACCAGTCAAATGTATTATGTAATAGTAAGTGTCATAATAGTACAACATGTGCAAATAAATAAAAATTTTAAATAATTATTTCTAACTACCCATCAATTTTACTGAATTTTACTTAATTTTTATGAAGAATAAATAATGATTCTGTTTTTAAATGATTTTTATTTTGTATAAAGAATTTAAATATCTGTTGGTAGTTTGTTTTAATAATATATAATTATAATTTTTACGCAGCTTAAATGTTATGTGTCGCGTATTGATCAGCTTTTACTAAGTCAATTTGTATATCCTAGGATGTACACAACGTGTTTAGTAAAAGCCAGAATAAAATTTAGAATTTCAGCATTTACTGAGTACAAACAGTAAAACCTAGCATTATCTAGTAAAACCCAGGTTTACCTAGTGATCGGGCATTTACAGTTACACATATATTATAGTGATATATCCCTGTTGTTACCATAGATACGCACAGACCTGTATTTCAGGAGTTGTCTACAATATTTTTAGGTCTTATCTTAACAAAAAGTGTAGATATATTTAATAAATTATAATGTATAAATAATTAAATAAACTTAACTTAAATTTTTAATATAATATTGTTATCAATTGATCCAAATGAATATGTTTTCCTCGAATCTGATATATTTTTCTCAGATAGCTTCAATTATTTATGATATTTATTTTTATCGTCGGTTGTAGCTGTTATACTCGTATTATCATAAGTTTAGGCACGAAAATGTAGAACAAATTGTTTTATTTTTTCTATTTCAAAACATAATTTATTTTTTACCAAATATTTAAAAATAAAATACATTTCATTTAAGCAGCATCAGTTAAAATTTCAGCCCCTTTTTCTTAGACTTTAAGTGAAAGGATCCATTTACAATATTTCGGGGGATGGCCGGGCACCCCCAGCACCCCTCGCCATCCATACGTACGCTTATGGTTGTTTTTTACAGATAGTCGAAAGTTTCGAATGTAAATATATTGTTATACATGCATATAATTGAATTTTAGTTAATTCAGATGAATTTGTTTACAGATCCGCTTCAATGACATAACATGTCGTGTAAAAGAGTTTTGACTGTCTTGGTATTGGTTACGGCTTTGCCTGCTGTGAGTATACAATAAAAAATTGTTCCAGGCTACTTACGTATCTTTTACGGCTAATGCGTATGCATCACAATCCAGTGGCGGTTATACATGAGGAGGAGGAATAAATCCAACCCCTCCCCACCACATCATATTTATATCAAAAATAAAAATATACATATATATTATAGGTACCTATAAATGTATAATAATGTTTATATATTAATAATATTAACATAATTTAATATTAATGTATTAAAAAAAAAAAATGTAAATGTATTGACCCATAAAATTAATCTTATAATAATTATTAAAATGATAATTATATCAGTCTTGCGCGACAAAGACATAGAGTATGATAATACACAATACTATAATAATATATTATCCGCGGTTTAAACGGAAAAATATTTTGCTATAAAATCATAAGTAAATAAAATTTGCAGATAGGTGTTGTTGAACCAGCAATGTACTAAATTAAAAAAAAACCAAATCCCCTAGGGAGGAGTCGATCCACCTATCTCCCTCCTTATAACCGCCACTGTCACAGCCGAGTTGTACTCTATAAACATTGTATTAATAAGTATTAATATATAGCCTATTTTATGTATAAAATATTATTGAGCAAATTGTTTTTATTTTTTATGTTTTGTTTTGCGCATTGATTTCAGGTCCTAAGTTTTAATTTACATATTTTGGAGACTCTTGATAGTTTAAAGTTACGTTTAACGAAGAAAATTTATGATTTCGACCCAGTAAATATCTATGGTGAAAGGATTCCACTGGCAATACTTTAGTATGCAAATTACTATACTGTTTTCCAAAAAAAAAATATAATTGCTGTAAATAATATTTTATTTTTTTCAGTGGATCTCCAATGATAATAGTAAACATACCGTTCGACTGTGATGCTAAACGTATTTTCGTTTTAAATGATCTAATGGCTCGGTACTCCGAAGATGGACTGAAAATACTTGCTTTTCCAACGGACGAGTTTTCGCCGAAATACCCTCTCGATGTAAATATAGTTCAAGAAACGTTTTCATATGAAATAATATAATAGTTTATTCATAGTAATATGACATTATTTGATCAATGAGAAGTGAGTAAAAAAAATTACGAGGTAATATGTAATATGTATATTTATTTATTGGGATATGCACACACAGCAGCTTATGCGTTACACATAAATAGATTTTATCGATTGACTTGTAACGTCTCATATTTTAAAAGTGGCCAGATAAGTGGAGCGTTATATGACGGGCCGTATCGGATCGCCAACCTGTAGTTTAGGCGTTTGCCGGAGCATATAGGATTTGTTGTTCTTTTTTCTCCTCTTTTCATTTTACAATACATGGGTACAAGGAAAATACACCAAGCAGGGAAAAATACATAAATGAAAGAAAAAGATAAAAAAAAATTATATTATATTAAATTGGTGCTAAGAAAGCTCTTTCTGGCGTAAAACTCGGACAAAATAAGATAAAAACAAAATATATTTAACGAGAATAATAATAATTAGGAAAATAAGAAGAAGGATGACCTATCGAAGGGCCGTAATCAGAATACGGACTTATATTTTTGTGTCTCATATTTATAATTATAATACCCTTGCGAGTGACGCCATGTTTGAGCCTAGATTTGTTTTACTTCATATAATATACTATAACTATGCGTTGGTGATTCACGAGCATTAAATTACTTGAATTTATTTAAAAATCTTTAAGATTACATTACTTAGATTAATATTTACATTTGATTATTTTATTCCTATATATTATATTATTATATTGTATTATTATTATTGAAAATATTAAAAATTAAAACTGGTGAAAATATGAACACGGGTGAGGTACAGGATTGTGTAAATTATATTTCTGTATTGGTCTTTTAAACATGAAAAAATGTACCACTGTTCTCGAAAAGAGAATCTGAGTAAAATATATCGGACGAATCAGTTAAAAACATTTATGAGATAATTTATGTTTATTTTTTTATAATTATAATTTATAAGTTTTATTTCTGATCGTATCAAATTATATAGAAACCAAATTTGTGGATATGGGTCTATCTTTTAATCGACCATTTCTAGTGACAGTAATGATCAAAAATTGTATTAAAATATTTCGAAAATAATTAAATGTTTACTAAATGCTAATATAAGTACTTCAAATAGTCTAATGAAATAGTGCATAGAAAATACTAGGTGGAATTCAAAACTCGATCTCGATTGATGTTTTTTGTAATTTTTTCTACGTTTTTAACAACTATTTAGTGAAAAATTTAAAAAATGATATTTCTTTTGCCCAATATATCACTCAGAGATAATTTAGTAACAAAATACTCCCTTGATTGTGATGATGGAAATCATTATTCTGGTGGAAATCGTGTACTCGGACATAAAAAAAAAAAAAAATGATAAATCAAATACATCAAATACACAAATAAAAAATGTATAATAGTAAATCTTATTTGATACGTATAATTAAAATTTATGCATTTCGTAGGTCAGTAAGAGTAATATAATACTTCTTAGATATTTTTCTTCATGTGTGTTTCGAATATTTACTACTAGACATTCAGAAGAGTTAAATAACAATGCAAATATTAAAAGAAACCATACTTTTAAGTTTATTTTCTCCTATACGAGGCTACAATAGGACTTTATATCATAAATGATATTTATAGAATATTCATAGATGTATATCATATTTCATCGACATAACTAAATAAACTGACTGAAATAAACTTAAATAAGTGAATGATCGGACAAGAACACTTTAAGCGGTGATATACGATTGCATACTTTTGTCCAATTTAATAATACGATTACGAACAATTTTTTTCTTGGCTTTTAAAAACATTACGATTACGTAAAAAAATGAGTATAACGTTACTAAAACTAAATCAAAAGATTTTGGAAATCTGGATAGATTCAGATAGACGAAATATCCTTATGTACTTACATTTGTAAGTAATTCTTTCCAAATAATTGTACGTGGTCAATTAAAAATTGAATAACTGTTTTTTTTTACAGCTTTTTCTGATTACTTGACGCTTAATTTTCCGAACTGTAACTGCTTCATGATTGTGCTCACCGATGAGTTCTGCCAATCGCGATCAGTTAAAATGCTGGCATAAAAATTTTTTGTTAAAAAAAAAAACATTAAAAATATATAAGCAATAATTTTATAGAATAAGTAACATTACAAACGTTTCACGACCCCGAACAACGTCAACGTTGCACTAAATTTGCATCGGTAGAACGTAGGTACGCAATCGTAATCCACCCATTTTAAGCACTTCAACAAAAAATTCTATAATCTATTGTTCGTCGTACTATGCTTGATACCTGAAACACTATTTGCATTATGCTGAAGTTTATGATATTTTAAACATCACACAAAACAGTATTTATAAAATCATATATAAAATTAAATTCTTATACATTTTTAATCCCGATATTGTTTATAATTTGATTGTATTAATAGCTTCGTAAAACGTTATGTGTTACAGCAATTTACTTCACCATCCGTAATAAGGGATTGGGTTAATGACAACCAACTACATTTCATGGTTTTTTATAAAATATTTGTCAATGGAAAATACACTCATCCGTTATGGAAATATTTGAAATCAACTTTTGATCTTTACGATAAGTGAGTATTTGTGTCGCATTTTACATACTCCTGTACGCCAGACATACTGTTACTAAGTATAAACCCTGTCATAGAATATACTCGTATGTTTGATTTTCAAGTAAAAATTTAACATTATGTTATATGCATTATATTAGTGTGCGTAATATTATATACTGCGTAACACTAGGTAACACAATAAAACCAATAATTATTATAGTTTTGAATGTTTAATTCACCCAGTTTAACTAACAGTTTTAGTTTGAAGTTTAAACAAAATGTATAATTTAACTTGAACGTTCCAACTAGGATTTTCGCATTCTAATAACAATACACGTATTACACACCACATATGGTACAGAACACATATCGTAAATGATCAATTAAGCTATTGTTCTAACTTGTAACTTTTAAGTATCTATACTGAAAACCAGGGACCAGAACCGTAACCGAAAAGAACCGGTACTGGAACCGGTTAACCTTTAAAATTTAGGAACTGAAACCGGAACCTTTATTTACAAAAATGAAAAACCGTGACGGTAATCGTAACCTTAGTTATAAAAGGGTTAATTTAGGTCAATTATTAAGAATAGTAAAACTATGTTAATTTTGTTTGTCCATTTGTCAGTTCAGAAAAATAAAAGTCAAATCTTTTTATGTTTTTATTATTTTGTGTTGTAAACTGTAATAGTGTAATTCTTATAATAAGTAAATGTAATATTACTATTATTATTATTCATGTATGTCTATTAATATATTACAATTTACAATGAGTATATCATCTATCTTGTCTACTAAGTATTAAATATAATAAATTTTTATAAAAAAAATTGTAGCTACAACAGTAGCCAATATTAATTTTGATTCCTAATTAAAACTAAATTTTAAAATAAAGATATTTATTTCATCAAATCATATTATTTCACAATATTACAAAATATTTTACAAATTCTTAATATGAGTTGAAATAAAATAACTTACACTCAGTCAAAAAAGTTTCCATACACCTCTTTTCAAAAAAAGTATTTGCAAATATTTTAAAAAGTCCAAAATATTAAGGGTTAATAATCGTACCACAAATTAATTTAGCATCCATATATTATATTTCAATAATTTAATTTTTTTATTTTTTTTTATTTTTAGAACCTTTAGTTATTAACTATTACAGTTCAACAATTACAGATAGTGATTACATAAACTAATTATATTTCAATAATATAAACTATTTTTTAATTAACATGTGATTTTAATAAATTACAAATTAGAAATATTTGAATGAAAAATACTCCAGAAAGTTTCCATACACTCATAATATAATTTATTAATTTAGTAAATTTATTAATTAGGTTGGTTTTTATTCTTTAATTAATTACGTGTTGGCCCACCTCTTGCTTTAATAACATCGATCAAACGATTCTTCATACTATTTACTAATTTTTTAGTGATTTCCGGGTCAATTGCATTCCATTCGGTTAAAATTGCATTTTTCAACTGCTGCTTATTTCGAACATTATGTGTTTTAATTTTTCTTCCTATTTCATCCCATAAATGTTCGATAGGGTTCATATCAGGTGATTGTGGTGGTGTATGAAGTTGTTTAGGAACATTATATATCAACCATTCTTTAACACGTTTTGCCGTGTGTTTTGGATCATTATCTTGTTGAAAGATAAATGAAATTCCCAAACTCAATTTGTCCACACTACATTTTAAATTATTTCTTAAATTATCTAAATAAATGTATTGATCCATTATACCATCTATAAACACTAAATTTCCTTCTCCTGATGCACTTATACACCCCCATACTATCACATTACCACCGCAGTTAGCAGTTTAACAGTTGCGCATAAATTCTGTATTTTTAATTGTTCATTTCGTTTTCTTCATACTTTTCCTCTACCATCGGATGAAAATACATGTACATGTACATTAAATTTTGATTCATCGGAAAAAATTACTGAGTTCCAGAAACTTATAGGCTTATCAATATGAGCTTTTGAAAAATATAGACGTTTTCTTTTGTTAACAGCACTTATAAATGGTTTCTGCCTAGGAGTACACCCATTATATCCAAATCTCTTCAAAACATTTCTCACTGTTTGTGTTATTACATTTACACCATAGTCTTTTTTAATCATATTCGCCAGTTTTGGTGCACTTATCTTGGGATTTTCTACAACTGTTTTTAGAATTGTCCGCCGTTGGTTTGAGTCTAATTTTTTAGGACGGCCTGAACGAGGCCTATTGCTCAATGTTTTAATTTCTTTTTGTTAGTTGATAAGATATTGAACCGTCGAGGGTGATTTATTTACAATTTTAGAAATTTTTCGAAAAGATTATCCTTCTTCTTTTAGTTGATTAATTAATGCACGGATTTCAGTAGATACTTCCATGGTTAAAGTATGTCGTAGTAAAGAAAACTTTAACGTATAATTAACGTAGTAAAAAAAAATATTTAATGTATACAAATATGAAAGATCACAATAAATTGATTTATTAGACTTCGATAAACTTAATAATAACGAGTAAAACGATGAAAAAAAGAGTGTATGGAAACTTTTTTGACTGAATGTAACTCAAAGAAATATAATAGAATGATATAATATATATATTTAATATATTTATAATTATTTTTTTAACTATTCATAACACCTTATATTTTCATGAAATAAAACAATTACAATTTAAACAAGAATAAGCAAATAATTTCATATTATTTTTTAATAAATTTCTAATAACCAAAATTAATCAAAATTAACTGGTTCTAAAACTCTTACTCTTAAAAAACCGAAATCTAAACTTAAAACCCTTAAAAAATTAATTAAACAACCAAAGCCGAAAATGGAACCGAAAAAACCTATAGGTTCCAGTCTCTGCTGAAAATTCCAATACCGGTCGAATTGCATTTACTTTAGTCGAATTGCAATTGGGTTCAAAAAATGTAATGGTCGAACTGCACTCGAGTAAAAAGTAGGTGATAGTCGATATGCACTTGGACTCAAATAAGTATTTCAATAAAATTATCATGCATTTGAAGGGGTTAGATTTATTTATTTAGTTACATTTATTACCATTTAGTAATCATTAACGTGGTTAAAAATTATTGTTTTATACATCACATTATTATATGTTAATTATATATATTTACAATATAATTGTTATATTATACTTTATATTATATTATATATATTATTATTATAATTATGTAAACATATTTTTTTTTTAAATCGTCAAATTTAATTATTGTCATTATTATAATTGTTTTTAGTAATGACTAACTGTATTCAAAAATTCTACCCTGGTAGTACGCTTCTAAGTATATATGTTATTATTATATAATATTATCTACGTTATCTAAATGGCACGAACTTATGTATAATGCTATTAAATAAGTATGCTGTAGCGTTCTTCAACAGAAAGATTCATAATATTTTTAGAGGGTTTTCCATTATAATTCTTTTTTTGAACGAATGCAGTTCGACCACTACCTGCTTTTTACTGGAGTGCAGTTCGACCATTACCTTTTTTCAATCCAAGTGCAATTCGACTATCCCGGCTGAAAAGACTCCATTATAACTAAATTTTCAAATAAATGATTCGTAGAACTAGAACATTTGACAATTATTGCAATACTCAGACAATGAACAATTGGATATTAATGGATATTAACGCAAATTTAGTTGTACGTTTTATTTTCGTTCAACATTTAATTTTATAGGACCACCTAAATAAACTGGCCACAGTTGGAATGTGGTTTCAGATTATTTGCTACTACCTATGATTATTCGTGACATATTATTATTCTTAATAATTGCATACGATACCATTGATTGCAACAATGTTTGTCGTTCATTGCACTGATCATTACATAATTTTAATTGTATTATTAAAAAAAAAAATTTTGAATTTTTCAGTGACATAAACGAAGATTACACAATGTTTTTGGTAGACAAAAGTGGAAAGCCCGTTGAAAGAATTCCTGGAACTCCTTGGCTTTCAACTGAAGTAATAATATTTTTATTATAATACTATATATATCGGCACGTTTACGTTTTTAGCAGGTAGTCAAAAATGGAGGGTTTTTCTTAGGTTTTGGTTAACTGGACAAGACGGGGTCTAACGTTTTCTCAGGTTATGATTAAAAGGTTAAAACCGGATTTTAGATTTTCTCGGGCTTCGGTTTACGAGTTCAAATCGATTTTTATGTTTTCTTGGGTTACATTTACAGGTTATGCTCCCAAAATTTACAAAACAAAATCTTTTTTATTACATTTATTTTAAATTGTTTATTATTAATTTTATTTATAATCTATACTAATAATAATCTATAATCTAGTACTATAAAAAGTAAATGTTTGGAACGATACAATATAGCAGTGAAATATGTTATTGATATATTAGACCCACATTAATTTGACTAATTAATTAAACAATATTATTAGGAATAAAAAGGAACTGTTATGCACTCAGATCTCTAGGCCACTTTCGGTTAAGGCGTCTATTTGATAATCAGTAAGTAAATGGTTAGATAAGTTTGTATCTGTTTTCAAGAGAGGTAAAAAATGTTGAGGTGACTGTTTAGTTGTTAATTTTAAAGTGCGGGCCTCAAGTATCGGGGCCCATTGGTGAGAGGGCAAGATGGGGCGCTTGCCCCCCTCCCTCTGGAACTATGAAATAGTAATTTTTTAAAACATTATTATTATTATTATTATTATTATTATATTATATTATATAAAATAATATGAATTTATTAATTTATTGTAAAATATTATTATTATCATTATTATTATTAGTGTTAAATATAAAATGCACAACTATTATCGTATTAGCGGTTATCGTACGACGATTAATATCGATCCAAAATAATTTGTTAGAAATTCCTAAATAACCTAAGTAATTTACAGATACTTTATCGAATAGCACATGCGTTCATCGTGAAAGAGTGAACTTGAACAAAAATAATTTCATCCAACATGACATTTCTTTATTTGGAATAAAAGAAAGAAATTTTCAGTTTTTATTTTCCAATACCGAATAATACATTTGATTATAATTTTTTTCATTATTTTTTTTCCTGTACCTAAAATGTATTTTAATTAATTATTGAACAATATGAAAATATTAATTATATAAATAATAACATATTTATAGGTTAAAATAATATTAAGTCTTTATTTAGCTTAAATTTAAGAATTTTTTTAAATTTACCCCCCTTGAAAAATTATCTATGAGTGCCCATGGTCCCAAGTAAGTTTCCTGTCGAAATTTATACCGAAGTACTTGACTTCTTTTGCGTAGGAAATGATTACGTTGTCAAGTTATACTATGTCAATCACCAGGACTTAAGAAAAATGTGATTTGAGCTCATTTGGATTCGTTTATTTTTATTTTCTAAGATTTAAACCAGTGTCATAAAACAGTTAGATGATTTTGAAAGAAGTTTCTTCGATAGCCTCATGACTGGTAGATAGTATTGCAGTATTGTAGGCATAAATCCCGATTAATGTATTGACCGCTGTTGGAATATAAGCTGTGTACAGGGCGTAGAAAAAAATGAAATCTTACTATACACACAGTAATATACTTTAACTAAATTTATATTGTTATATTACTTAATTATTTATTATTATATGGCATTATACATACGAATGTTATTTACCCAATTTATATCAAATTAATTTTTTTTTATTGTTCACAGGTATTAGAAAAACGTGTATACTCGTTATTGAAAGAATAATAAAAGTATATTGTTTTCTGGTATCGAAAACAACAATAAATTATGGAATTCATTGTTGATTGTAAACTATTTATTGTAATAAAATTCAAATTTATCTTTTATTTTTTTGTTTGGAAAATAATACCTTTTTAAAAAGTGGAAAAATTAATTTATGGATTAGCCATAATTATGGTCATGGAAATCAAAAAATATTCATCACTTCTTAATTTTTAACTCACATGTTTAAGGTTCATAAGCCTAATCTAAACATCTGGACTACAGTTGAAATGAGAATATGGTTATAAACAAGACTCGAAACTTAATGCGTTTAATAATACTCACATATGCGCATACATATGAGTTTAAAAAAAATTACAATATGTAGTATGATGTGTAGTAAAAATGTTGAATATATTTAAAAATATGCAATTTAATGAACAATTTTTTAATAATGTAGATCATATTATAACGTTCCTGCGAGTCACGGTCCGGTATTATGGTATACATTTTAAAATTCTTATCACTAGAGTAAACTTTCAATTCGAATCGCAACCGTTTCACTTACCATAAGGGTAATGCTTTGGATGATGTTCGCTGAGCCGAAATTGGAAAATGACAAAATCTTTTTTTTTTTTTTATTAAAGGAAAATATATTTACAATCTATTTTTAGTGAATAATAAGTAAGTATGATAACATTGGTTAAATAACGTTCAAATATTTGAGTAGGAAGACTCTTAGCAGTCCCCTCTGACTAGAATGTAATGTCAGAACCTATAGAAAGTTAGAAATCGTATCATCGTATCGTTTACATAATACTGCAATTTAAGTGTTCAATTATTGTGCAAATCGTAGTATATCAGTTTTACGCGCGCCCGCGCGTATGTGTGTAATAACTGCACATTACAAAAATATAATATATCAATCGAAAAAATAATTGAACGTGACACGGTCCATACGAAAGATTTGTTTATAACAATAATTACAATACCGTCTCGTACATTTTACCACACGTTATCTCTACGCTACTCGTGGCTCGTGGACGACGAAGGTTCGTGTCGCATAATCGTAACAATAATTGTACGCGAATCAATTACGTCGAACCGATTTTTTTTTTTTTTTAATTCGTCTGACCGTCTACACAACGGTCGTGAAAACGTTTTGTGGACGTACGTTTCAGACCTGAGGTAATTACGAAACGCACTACTCGCGTTCGCGGTGATCGATAATAAATAAACCGGACGGCAGTCGTTTCGATCGCGGAAAATCGGAACTATTTCAGCAATTACAAGACGTGTGTGAAGTTTAACCGTTGTGCAGATTATCGTTCGTTATTATTGCCGCTGGAAGTCTGACGCGGCCCAAGTTCGTCACACTGCGAACAAATTCGCGAAAACCGCGTTCTCCGTGTTACAGGTAAATGCATGCAACCGTTTTAAAAGCCGTGAAATCCTGGCTCTCCAATGGCACAGCTGGTAGAGTCCCGAGGTCTCGTTCACACCTATTCCATTAGCTATACGTCGAGAGAGAGAGAGGGTGAGAGAAACAAAAGTCCAGCGAATATTAGATTAGATAAATATTATTATTAGATAGATTGTTGTCGGTGTATAGCCGTTGACGAGATATACTATTTCGTACGTCTGTCCACGCCCTCATGTAGTAATTGAAAATCATTCTTAGCGGGAGGTTGTAGGGAAAAGACGATCAACGGTCAATTTAGCTTCGGCTTTCCGTTAACGCTCCGATGCGCCGCAACAATTAACCAAAGTCTTATAGGTTCCAATACGTGTTCATGTGAATTATGTACGATGTGCATCGATGGACAGTATTTCAGATTCTGAATGAAATGAGTAACGCGTTGTTGGTTTTACAGTTTTTTTTTTTTTTTTTTTTTTGTACATGATAAGAAGGATTGCTCTGTTCATCACCGTATAGGAAATAAAAAATAAGAAATTGTTGTAGTTTACGATGTAAGAGGACCATTTTACGGATTTCTCAATAGTTTTTCATCGAGAAAGATTAACACAACAATATTATTCACCCATCCCTGTATCTCATCCGACCGTCTTTTCTGACTTATTAGTATCGCCCTTTTTAGTACCCGTAATATATTTAATATAGATATGTCTAACCACCGAGGGTTTTGCTAAAGTTTTTTCTGAAATGTCTTCCCAGATGTCATACTGGACATGATAAAAGTAAAATGCACCGTTTCCCACCGGACGCCATGTGCCAATAAACGGATGTCTTTCACGCTTTATAATGCACTATCTCAAACAGTGGCAATCAGTTGAGTATCGGCGGAAATGCAAACGAATAAATCAAACAGATAGTTAAAGTGAATTAACCCCGAAAATATTGTGATACAATATTATACGAGTAGTAATTTATTAGTATTCGATCTCGCAACGGTAAGCGATTTTATTTGAATGCATATATTATCGAAATACAGTGGTTGCCGCTTATAGTGTTCACTGGTTATAAGAATCAGCCGCTTATAGTGATCAAAAATGCCAGGACAGAACAAACAGCCGTTATAAGTGCATTTTTCGTCGCTTACAGTGTTCAGGTTTTCGGTTATTCTGATCAGAAATATAAAATATAAATATATATATATATATACCCATAATTACCTACAGATGAAGTCGACAAAATTGAATTCAAAACCACACAAATATATGCATGTATAAAATTGATTTCAAGTGGAAAACTATGAACTTTTTTTCAGACACGATCCAATAACACGATTGCTGATATGTCGCCCAAAGGAATTTTATGTGTATTGGCTTTGGTTACGATTTTACCTCTCGTGAGTATTCTAATAAAACATTGTTTTACGTTACACGTATACATCGTTTACGGCTGATGTGTGTGTGTGTGTGTGTGTGTCACAGCCTTGCCAAACGCTATGAACCGTCTATTTAACGTAACACGTTAGTGCGATGTTGTGATTTTATTTTATGTATGGTTTATTGCATTAATTTCAGGTCCTAAGTTATGATTTTTTCATAACTGAGGGAATTCGTAACTATAAATTCCGTTATTCAGCCGAAAATGTATACAAATTTAATGTAACAGAAATCGATGGAAAAATTTCTAGTATGAATCAATACAAGTATGCGAAATACCATATAGGTTTTGAAAGTAATATAATTAGCTGTAATTGATTTTTATAATTTTGTTATTTTCCAGAAATAAGACATTGATTATTTTAAACTTGCCATTTAGTCTCGAGGCCAGACGTATCTATGTTTTAGGTTTACTATTTTTAAAGCATTACAATAAAGGATTAAGAATTATTGGTTTTCCAACCGATGAGCTGACGCCAGGTTCCCATGCAGACGATGTAAATATATGTTACACATAATTTAAACAACACGATAGCATAATCACAATATAATAATATCTTTTTTCTTCTCTTTCACCTTTCACTCAACTATTTGGGGTCGATCACTCTTGTCCTAAACTTCAACTCATCTAGATTTTCAACATCCCCTACGCATACACCTACGGCCCTTATATAATTTTCAATCGTGTCCAACCATCTCTTTTTTTGGTCTTTCTCTTCTTTTTTCCCTTCAACGTTCTTTTTCATAATAACTCTTACTATATTTGTTTCCTCTCGTCTCATCACATGCCCAAACCATCTTAGTCTATTTTTTCTCATCTTGTGCACTAGAGACGCTACACTAATACTACCTCTCACATATCGTTCCTTGTTCTATAGGGTGTCTCAAAAAGAACGCAGGATTCAAATTTGCTATAAATTAAATTAATTTATTTTACAAAAACATAAAAAAATATATCATTATTTTCAGTAAAAGTTAAGGTACAACAGTGAAAAACAATATCGGGCATATAACCCTCTCTATTAGCCTTACAGACGATTATTCTTTCCATCAAATTTACTATCACTCGATCACACATTGCCCCATCAAGTTCGTCGAGAACACGACGAATTTCTTGCTTAAGTTCTAAGCCATTTCGAGCATTGTTTTGGTATGTTCGTGACTTAGTATATCCCCATCAGAAAAAATCAGACGGCGTTAAGTCTCTAGATCGAAGTAGGTAGTTTTGGTCTCCACGCAACGAGATTAGTCTGTCCAGAAACTTCTAACGCAGCAGAGTGATAGTTTTTCTTAAAGTGTGAAAAGTTGAAACCATACATTTTTTTATGTTCATTTGGTCCAAATGAGGTCAAAGAAAATTACTGAGCTCAGTAAGTATTATTGCATGATTACAACAAGACGACGCATATTTACAACTTTCTAAGAAACTGTGGAAGTATTTTAATCACGCGTAGAAGAATAAAATAGTCGAACTATTATTAAATATTCTTAATTTTAGGATTTTCTTTCATATTATTTTCACTACATGAGATCAAATTTGTACTATATATGATAAAGTCATAAATAACTTAATCAATTCACACTTCAAAACGAATAAATTAACGATCACACCAGAACATTTTGATTTCTGAGTACTGCAATGAAATTAGTTATATTATATTGTTTGCTATTCTATGACTTTTAGAGAGAAGATTCATATACAAAGCATAACAGATAAAAGTTTTCATTTGTAAGTTCTAATATTTAAAAAAAAAAAATGTTACTGGTACCTAAATTCCTATACGAATAAAAATACAGCAGTATGCAATATGTATCATTTATCTATTTAGGGCCAAGCTTAGTACCGTGAAATTCAAAGCTAAGGTTTAGCACAATAATTTAATAATGTAAATGATAACCTAAAAAAGTGGCTGGTATATTTATTTGGTTTACTATTTTTTAATCCAACAGAAATTGGAGATTATTTTGTTGATAGTCTCGTGGCTGTAAAACCAGATAATAATGAAATAAACGAAATTTGCGATTATTTAGCCACAAATTACATAGGGAAAAAAGTACGTTCCTCCTTAGTATTTGGGTTATTGCTAGTTATTGTAGAAGTCTTACAACAAATGCTTGAGAAAGTTTTGACTCAAAATTCAACTCCAATTTTTATCATCATCATCCAAATATATTAAAAATAATAGAAGTTTTGAAAATGTTTCAAACAAATATATATATATATATTTATATATATATCAAAATAAAAATATCAGATACCAATAGACGTAAAAAAAAAAAAATTAAATTAACAAAAAAAAATTTTAAAAATTTTAAAAATTTTAAAAAAATAATAATTAAATAATTAATTAAAAATTAAATTAAATTAAATTTAAGTTAAACTTAAAATAAATAACACAGTAAGATAATGTCAAAGTGTTGAGGTTTAATAACACATAAAACATTTAATTTATATTTTTGTTATTATCATCATCATATTAAATACGTATAACATGTGGTTGGCTACACATTTTTATAGAAGTATATGAACAAGATATGTGGTAAGTATATTTGACAAAATTAAATTGAAAATTTGATAACATTTTTTTACAAAACACAAAACAAACAAATTTTAACCATTACAACTACGTTTTCAGTCCTAAGTTTGAATAAAGTGGGAAGAAAATTTGGATTCTTAATAAATCTTTTTCGTGTAGGAATTTACGTAGAAATACCAAGGGTGGTTTTTACCTGTTATATCTCGTGTGAGAACTTACATCCGTCCGATTTTTAACCGTAGTATTGTGTTATACTATGTTGACTTATATACAATTTTGAACTAAAAATATTTATACATACATTTTGTTTATAGCTTCGTAAAATGTTATTTGTTACAGAAATATAACAGTCCAGTCTTTATGAGGAATTACATCAGAGAAAACCAAATTAAATTTCAGGTTTATCATAAAACTTTGGTCAATGGTCCTCTAGCACATCCATTATGGAGTTATATGAAAGCAACATTCAGTCTTTTTGATAAGTGAGTGCCTTTGTCGATTATAACATATTCTCGCACCACAGACAAACTATTGTGCAGTATAAACTCTGTCTTAGAAAATGTATTAGATTTTTAAGTTTAAACTTAAAATTTTGTTGTGCATGATATTGGTGTTCGTAATATTACATACTACAGTAACACTGAGAACAAACAAATTTAGTCAATGATCGTTATAATTTTAACTTGAGTTTTTAATTCACTTAGTTTAATTAACAATTAAAGTTTGAATATAAAAATAAATATTTTATGTATAGAAATAAATAAATTAATGCGTATCCTGGAATATTATTATATGCGTAATGGATAACCGGTTTCGAATAAAAAATTCATCATCCGGTATACAAATAGTTAATATTTAATTTTTTATTTTATTAATTTGATAATAATTAATAATTATGACTTATTTATTTATTTATTTACTCGTTTACGAGTGTTTGTTTTATTTTATTATTAATAATAATTTTTGAAGTGTAAATAATCTATAAACTAACTTGAACGTTGATAAATTCTTACATTTTGATAATAATATTACACATCACACATGAAGCAGGTCACATATTGTATTTGATCAATTTAATTATTGTTCTTATTTGTAACTTGTAAACATCTTTATTAGAAAAACTTCATTCAAAGTAAATATCCAGATAAACGATTTATAGAACTAAAAGTTTAATAATGATTCTAATATTTAAATGTTTACAGTTTTTTTTTTCATTCAGCACCTACATTACAAAATTACCTCATTCAATAATACATTTTATCGGGCTACATTAACTTGCTACGACTGTAATATGGCCATCTATTTTTAATGCAAATTTATAATTTTTTTGTTGTTTTTAAAATACATAAAAGAAACCTTTAAACGTCATTCGAAACTATTTAAACGATCTTTGTCCAAAAATAGTTTTTATCACGATGCAACTACTCTTTTATTCTAAAACAGACAAAAGATAAGCTTTAAGCGTTGGTAAAATAAATCGATTAATCAATGTTGGTATACACGCATACCACTCAGTGGCGTCGAACCTTTTTTATATCACTGGGGTAAACCCTACTTTTGGGTACTCACCTACTCACCAAAAAATCATAAATAGCAAGTATTGTATACTTGTGAGCTACGAGTATTTACCACACATCTAGTAATAACATAATATTAAGGAATATATTACCGTACGATAATATATCTAGCACTCATTAAGTCTAACCACTTACCCCCCCCCCACCTAAACAATTTCTGGGTATTTACCCCACTTGCCATACGTTTTCGGCTCCACTGATATCACTGGATAAGTGATCAAATGAATCAAATTAAATGTGTGTAACATTGTTAACACATTTGTAGGCGTCCCAGGCTTCTTGCGCTGTATTAAAGTTTTCTTGAATATCAAGAACACTTTACAATTCGTGTCATTAATATAAGTTATATGCAGGAAGTCAACTTTTTGCTTTTACGAGGTTTTCAATTCCCAATCACATTTTTATTTCGTTCAGTGCTAAAATATTAATTACTATTGGACCACATAAATAAACTTGCTACTTATAAAATATGAATAAATGATTGCTGACTAGTATAATTATTCACGGGAAATAATAATTTTTCACTAATGAAGTTTCCATAAATATGGCTAGATCATGATAGAGGGGGCTAGGGGGCCATAGTTGAAAGTGACCACTATGTGTTTTTATAATTGTTGGCTAACAAATATGAAGTACTGTTTCATTAATTAATTGTGAATTTACTAAAATATACAAATAGAATATACTTATTTTAATTGATATTTATTACAAATTACTAAATCTGTGTAAAAAAAAATAAATTGTTTTGGGTAAAAGGGCCTTACCAAAAGTAATAGTCTCTTTGTATTGTGACCATTATCCGACCTTGTCCATTCGATACCACTAATTTCTATATTTAATGTTTTAAACACTGCTATAGATAATTATGTCATTTTATTCATACAGTTAATTAAAAAAATTAAATTTTTTAGCTGCATTACTAATAACTACACAATGTTTATCGTCGACAAAAGAGGTATACCCGTTCAAAGACTTCCAGAAGACGAACGACCTTTTTTTGAGGTAATACAATTTTTCGATGAAACTATGTAGAAATGTTTGGTTTAAGCAAAAATATTATTAAAATTTTTTGTTTAACCGTTAAATCTATTGCGATAATCTGTTAAAAAATTCCGTTAAAAATCTATCCGTTAAATCTATCTATCTATGCGTTTATGTTTAATGATTTTTTCAATAAATTTGTAATAATTATAGTTGAATTTCGTGTTTCATGGTTTATGACAATTTATAAAATTTCATAACTAATTTATACCATAATATTCCGTGTTTACTTTAAAAAATGTTGTCGTAAATTCATAATAATTTATTAATTCTACGAAGTAATACTTTTCATATTTTATTCAAATGCTGTAAACTCTTATATAGACCTAATTTACAACAAATTAATTACTTAGTTATAATCATATAAGTTAACATTTGATCATTACATTTATTAAATCATATTTTTTATATATATGTGTATATATATATATACATATATGTATAATTTTATTTATATTTTTTGTTCACAGGAAATAGAAGATGCTGTTGTCCCGTATTTGTATTTTCAATAGCTTAGTTATATCTTGTTAAATACCATAACGTTCATACTAATACATAATCTTTCGAATACCAATGCATTAAATGAGAATAATTACGATACAAGACTATAAACGTGAACAAATTGGACGATTGATTGCTCATTATATTTAACAGTTTTCGATTGTCAAAACAACAATCAATTATAAAATGCAGGACCTTCTTTTAATTATCTTTAGAAATAAACTTAAAATTAAAATGGAATAAATTGTGTTATTTATTTTTCCTTTTGTATGAAAAATAATTTTTTTTATTACATTCTTAATTAAAGTATAATTCAAGTATCAACTGTTGTTATTATCCTGGTACCTATTCAATAGGTCCGTATGAAAACCAAACATTGCTTATTATTTCTTAATTAGTCACATTGGTTAACCATAGGTACTTACTTACTTAATGATTTGAACTTTAGTCAAAGAACTGATTTTAATGCATTCTAAAATCAATGGTTATTATATTTTATAACGCTATTATATTTTCCACTTGAGAACATATTTTCATTATAGAAAACAATATAAAAATTATACAATTCCGTAATACAATTAAAGTTAAATTATCAATTGAACAAAAATTGTGTTGCATTATTTCAATCACAATTATGAGCATTTAACGTTTGACGTTTTTTTAGTTATCTCTCAAGGTTCACGATGATTATATATCTCTATTGGCCTATTACTATTCAAGAGATAAAGCATCGCTAATTTCTTCGAAACGACCAATAGGTCCCCGGATAGAATTTCAACTATTGTGCTATTCGAAGAGTCAATTATAAATAATAATAGCACTTCAATAATCCAGGGCTGTCTCGAAGATGAAAATCAAGGGGGGTGAATAATATGAAAATGCCGACTACAATTTTTTTACTCAATGTACATATGTAGTATAATTAACTATATATAGTAGTATTTTTACTTTTTAACATGTATATATGTGTCAGTGTCGCACGTTCTTAAAATTGACAATTTCATTATATATATATATATAATAATATTTTATATTGTATAATAAGTTATATAAATTTTATTCGTGTATACACTGTATTACGAAATATGTAATGTTTGTTTTCCGTAAGTAAAATTAGGTCCTTCAAGGCTGTAATGAAACAAGTCCAACTGCCGGCTGGTGTTTTCGTTAAGGGGTGAGTCATCCCCCCCCTTCGGGACGACCCCGCTTCAATCATTATGATCGCTTACAGGCACTTTGTTTTTCAGTGGCGTATTTATATGTAGGTACTATAGGCTCACTCGTCTACAGCGAATCATTTTTAGAATGTGTTTTGTTATTAATTATAAATAAATTATTTTAGTTGTTTAGGGCGGCAATTTTCTACAGGCCTACACGCTGAAAACATGTATAGGTAAATACGCCCTCGATCGGTGCTACAAGACACAAAAAGTGTCTTTTATGTGAGCGCCTTTAACACGAAACACTTTTCTTACACGAGTATCTGATTCCTTGATAAACTACAAGTATCAAATTATTGATTCTTCACTCGACCACGGAAGTCGAAGAAGCTATATTACTTTATGGATTGGTTTAAAGAAAACATAAAAAAAATGTAGGGTGCATCCTAATGTCAGGGCTAGATTAGAAAATGGTGATTTTCATATTATATTTCTCAATTTCCTTAAATACAAGTAGAAATTTTTTTAGTATCTCGCGGTAACTAATGCCTACTTTTTTTTTTTAGATTTCGATTATTAAATAATAATTAATGAAATAAAAACATTGGAGCAATTATATTATGCGGATACACGCGTCTCGTCTGAACATACTAATTGAAGTCCATACGGTTTCAGGGGTTCAGACGCAGACACAGTGTCCGATTATTAGGACACGTGACATGCACACCGCAATGTTTCTTTTCGGGCACAAGAAACCAAGTGTTTCCTCGTCCGAAAGCGCTCTAAAAACCCGTTAACATGTCGGACCAACGAAAGCGAACGTTGGTATACGCACAATATTGAATAGGAGGTATGAATGTTTTTTGTTTTTTTTTTTTTTATTACCCTCGACCCGTACGCAATTGAAGTCGGTTAAGTAATAAATAAAATATTATATGAATAACATGAATATTTATAAATTGCAATGTTTAATGAAATAGTAGTGTTTTACGTGTTGCGCACGCGAGTCCGAACTCGGACTGAAAGAAGACGGCGTGAGTGGAACGGCAATTTCGCAGCAGTTATGTCATGTTCACAGACGTAATTAAAAATAATTGACAACACTTTATACCGATTAATTTAATTTAATTTAATTTTTTTTTATAATCACACAACGAATTAATTTCGATAACAACCCGAAGCGTGAGTGAAATCCAAATTATTTTACCCACATTTCCACTGCGAGTCGGTGTTGATGGATGTAGAGCTGCTCCGGGAATAACTACAACGGTCGAAACAGGTAATTATAAAAGGTTATGCATTAGGCAGTGGTGATGCTGGTTTTTTTTCATTACCAAATCGGGTGGGCAGAGCCCGATTATAGGACAGAGTCGTCCTGGAACATCTCAACTTAACTTCTGTTTCTCAATTTCGAGAAGTTCTTAAAAACCACTTACGAACACATGCACTTCTCTTTTTTTGTGATCACAGCCCCGTGCCCCAAGTTGAAAGTGGATATAATATGTTTTATAATCATTGGCTAACAAATGTAAAATACTTTTTTATCGATTAATCGTAATTTTACTGCAGTATACAAATACAATATACTTATTTTAATTAATATTCATAAAAAATTACTAAACCTGAATAAAAAAACGAAATTGTTTAGGGTAAAATGGTCTAACCAAAAGTAATAATTAATTACATTATGACCATATTCCGGTTCAAGTTACATCTTGTGTCTGTTGCTTCCGCCATGTTGTTAACATGATGAAATAAACTAGGTATAATGCACAGTTTTATGATACGCATATACTCCTCTGCCGCCACCCATCACTTCAATAGTGTAATATGGTGCTGGACTTTCGTCATTTTTCATTGGTTATATATTATGCTATTCTGATAAGCACAGAATCTATTTTAGAAATCTATTGTTCTATCCCGGAGTGCACCATCTGGTTTCATTTGATCTGCGTTATTAATGTTATTAAATTATTTATATCAACATAACAATAGAGTATAAATGGTAAATTATTGTTAATTTTGCTTATCGACGACGTTGTTATTTCAGGGAAAAATAAATATCATTACTAATAATTAACTATAACAACACCGCGGAACAGAACAATATTAATGATGTCGAGACCATGGGCGCTGAACGTGTTAAATTGAATAAATTAAATAATATGGTTAACTTATTATGAAAAAGCTTTTGGCTCCCCAGTGGTCACGACACCCAGTGCACACGCACCTCTCGCATCCCCCCCACCAAGCTCTGTACACATTGGCAGGGGCGGACTGGGGTAAGAAATCGGCCCGGGTGATCCTAAGTAGAGACCCAAAAATTCCACGAATATCATTATACAGCATAAATTTCTTTATGAAAATGTCCAATCACCATCTTTTCATTTGATACACAAAACTAAAAAACTTCAAAAAATTCTTTGTGTCCTTGATGGTCAACTGAATCATGCAATTATCGTAGTCGCTCCAAAAAAAACCCCGTAGCTACTATTAGCACCATTTGAATACCTTTTCCTTATTTCTAGCTAAATTAATTTATGAACAATATTATGAGATTATTGTATGTGAACTCGTAGTCTAATGGTATTGAAAGCCATACATAGCGACAGGTATCGGGTTCAACTGCTGAAATTTTATTTTGCATTTTTTTAATTATTTTCATGATGATTGACAACTGATACAACAGTTAGTAACTTAGTAATTACCCTGTGACCTACTTGGGGTGGTGTTGCATAACAAGTCGAGGGATATTTTCGATCAGCGGAGCGACAAGTGCCGCTAGCATAGCATCACTGACGTGACAACTGCCCCCGACCCGCGTATTAACAATTCAGGTATCGAATATATACACGGACAATCCGTGTACGCTTTATCCACCCGAGCACCTGGGTATCTAAACACAGCGTATTTAATATTACTCTAACAACCATCATTGCAGCAGCATAGATAATTGTTGTTCTATGGTGTATTGGTGTTACTCTACGTCGCATTGAGCAAACTAAGCTACAGTTTTGAAAATTGCACTATTTGCTGATAGATCACTACACAGTTGTACACATGGGTCTATATACCTGTGAGGGCCAGCAATCATACCAGCGTTCACCCCCTCGCTCTTCGGCCCAGTCCGCCACTGCACATTGGCCATGTTATTACAATGCACAGGAGATCGAATTAATTTGCGTTGGATACTTGTAATGGATACTTTCAGGAAACTGCTTAAAATAATTGTACTTTTTCATTTGACATACACACTTCGAGTCACCGCTGATTACACAGCATGATACAGTCGTTGCCAGATGAATTGAGATGGCGGCGGCGGCGGCGCTTTTCATGAAGTGTAGCCCAAACTAGTCGCTGGCTGTGTGGTGCAAAGGTCACACAGTTGGCTACGACGCGCGCAGTCACCAGTTCGAAACCGGTGTGTTTCGACCGCGCGGCGCACTTCAATCGCATCAACAATTTGTTTATTTTAAATGTATTAAAATAAATGACTCGGCTGACCAATGACAATATTAAATATTAATAGATATGGACATTATGGAATATACTAATATAGATGGATGTTTACTCATTCGTGCCAGTATTGTGTTCGTGTTCTTTTGTACTGAAAACGTACGCTATAAAATAAATAGTTTTTTTATAACGAGTTCAAAAATTAAAAATCGTAAAGCTCACGTCAAGCTAGGGAAATAATTTGGAATTAATATCGTAAAATAATTTTTGTAGCAATTGTTGGTTTATTGATGTATTTTCGGTAATAATATTGAAATACGGAGAACCACTGGTTTTCCGTTATCGCGCCGCCGTCGCCGACTCAATTAATCTGGCAACGACTGTACAGAGTCTTTGATGGAAAGAGACGATCTATTTTTTTCTATAACTGACGCACATTATTATTTTATTAGCGTTTCATAAACATTTAACCGATATGATTATAACCATGTCACATTAAGTCTAGGTAAATATCATAATTTGCGGTTGGCAGTCGACACTCGACCTGTTACTGACGGTGCGACGTTTAAAATGAAGAAAAGTACCATTTTTTGCGTATTGACACTGGCGACCCTGTTAGCCCCTGTGAGTAATCATTAAAAAATGAATATAGTTTTGGGTCTCCAAGACGTGTACTGTATAAACCACGTATCGGAGATTGCTCATTCTCAACGATTATAATATACAGTGCATCGGACCATTCTTCAACAGTCATTTAATCTTATTGATATTTTTATACATTTCAGTGCCAATCCGGCGTCTGGTATGATAACCCATTCGGCGCAGGTCCCCCTAACATATACGATTTCGTTGGCAAGAAAATCTCAGGAAAGAATGTAGTGATGGACGTTTACATGTATGTATTTTTATAACTCGTTGAAAACAAATGGATATTTGTGTTAATTTTCGGACGATATTTTTTTTTATTTTTTTTTTTGTTGCACTCACAACCATCAAGTGGTAAGCTGTTAATATTTGTCAATATACCACCGCTCGAATGTCCATACGTATCTTCTTTTCTCGACGAATTGAATCAAATGCAGATTTATTATTACGATCGAGGGTTAAGAGTTCTTGCTTTCCAAAGCTTCGAGTTTGGATGCGATGTAAGATTAACATAAATACAATATTGAAAGTGTGATACACCATAACAGTGGCCGTAACACGTTTGGGTACAAATTAATACACCGTTTGGGTACACCATATCGCTAGAAAAACAATACGTTTGGGTATGTAGGACATAGGTATTATTATAACATTTAAAAACACCTAGAAAAATAACACTTTAATATTTAATCATTAATTTTAAAATGTTGGAGCCTATTAGCGTTATCCAGAAAACACCACGAGAAGGTTGGTCATCTAAAGATGTTAGTCATCTAAGAAATTAATTTTATAAAAGTTAACCGAATATTCGAAATAATGATTATTTATTATAATTTTTTTTTTTTTACTGTGATTAAAATATTTGATATGGACGATTTTTAACTATTATTCTGAAAAATATGATTTTATATTATTACGTATAACAATTATTTACTATGATTTAAAAATGTAATGCCAACGATATGGTATTATATAATATTATTATTTTTTTTTTTTTTTAATAATATATCATATTCATTTCATTATACTACTTGATTTTCTTCACTGACAGAGTTTACCTGTTTTTATTTTCTGACGAATTTTACAGTAAAAAAAAGGTACTTATGGTGGAGTTTACATGCGCCAAACCATATCTTATAAAGATTGTTAACTTTTTTTTTCGTGATAGCCTATCGCGATTTTCAATTAGCGTATGCACCCAAACGTGCTATGTGTTTGTGTACTCAAACGTGTTCTACATTTACATGTAGAAATAATGTAATATACCCGAACGTGCTTCGCCCATAAAGGTAGTTCCACACTAAGCATATTTCGCGTTTCGCGTTTTGTGTTTTCACGTTTTCGTTTAATTTTGTGAATAGTGTGTATAGCTTTTCACGAAAAACTTTTTCGTGAAGACTGTTAAGCAGTATTTTGCAAACGAGGCGGTAAATTGACGTAATCAAAGAACACGAAACAATAATTTCGTATTGTTCCGTGTCATTTCGTTAGGTTTCGTGTTGTTTCGCGTTTCGTATGTTTTCGTAAACAAGAGTTCATATCATTAGATTATAAATTAAATTAGATATAAAATTAGGTAAATTAATGTTATCAATTATCATCATGTGGAATCACGTCATTTCGTTTAATTCCAATTTTAAAAACTTAGTTCTTCAATTATTTGTCATCATGGTATCCGAGTGGAATGATGTGCTAACATTTATTGAGGAATTTAAAAAGTATCGGTATTTGTGGGATCCGAAATTACAACCCGCAAGACACAAACTGAACAAAACATTACAAAACGAGAAACACGAAACGCGAAACATGCATAGTGTGGAACTACTTTAACGGTAAACCTATTATGAAAAACTTCTCAACATATGAGAAAATAAATGTTCAGTGCTTCTTTTTTATGCCTCATTGATAGATTTAACTTGGATAATCAATTTTTTTTCTTAGTCATTTTCAAATAATATCATCTGTTTTCTATCTTAGAAACCACCTGATTGAATAAATTAATTGAAATCACTATTTATGTTCACTGAACGATTTTAGTTATTTTATTTATTTTATACTGTAATTGTATTTTAATTTTCTTGATACATCATACAATACAGGGAAATAGTTATCGTTTACCTTCTGATAAAATGGTTAAAAGAAAAAAATACAAATTTGAAATTTTTAAACCAGTTTATGTCAATGGATTAAGTGGAGATCGATTATGGAGTTATTTCCGAATGGTTACAGGAAACAATTTTTTTTCTTAGTAAGTATATGCGTTTGTTATTTTTATAAATATATACATACAAACACACTTTAATTTAGGAGTCATGTGATGGCATAACAATTATTTCCGGTCGGAATTTATTTTTCTCTGTAATTCGATTTTCAGCTGTAAAAAAGTGCCAATGTTTACATACATATACATAAATGTTACGGATAGTGATAGAAAATGGCTAATCTTAAGATTAGCCTACTAATCACAAGTTGGTCACTGCTTTTGATTAATATCTAAATTTCAGAAATTATTTACTAATAATTAAATTATTTTATTACAACATTATTTAACTGCTCATAGATAATGAGTAAATAACGTCACACATACAAACATTCTAATTTCAAGATAGGTATTTAAAAATTAAGAAAATTAATGACTGGAAATTAAATTAAAGTGATCTAAATTTTTAAAAAATGAGTAATGGAGAAGAACAATGTATTACTATTTTTTTAATTTTTTTTTTTAGTAATTATAATTACATGATAAATTATTATGGCATTTTCATCAATAATCAATAAAGTTAAACGTTTAATTATTAATTTTTTAACTAATTACTTTTTTTTATTAATAAAATTACTTTTAAAAAGCTTGATGTTTTTATAATAACAGAAAATTTGTAATTTCTCTCAATGATTTGGAATTGTCTGTAACTTCTTTAATATTAATGAGAGGCTTTGGACAAGTAGTAAATTAATTTCTCGTATTTAATTAGGTTAGTGTACCATTCTGTTTTCTAGCATATAATTTTGATTTCTTTCAATATCTATAACGACAAAAAGGACATTTCTTGTATAACTAAATTCTAAATTTTAGTTCGTTTTATTTTTAGGTATAGTTATTTTTTATTGTTTGTTGTTTATTTGAAATTTTAATGTTATTTAGCAGATCTTATAACTCTTATTTTGTACTTAAGTTATAAATTACAGGCGATACATTTAAATATCACAAAGTCGACGACGATTTTAAACAGAATTACTAACGTACATAGTGAAAGATCCTGATAATATTACGATTATTGTAAATATATATACCTATATATATCATCATTTAAATTTTGTTCGATAACAAATCGATGATAGAAGATACATCATATACTACAATATGAGATTTTTTCACCAAATTGGACTTGATAGTAGATGATTACGGACATAGGCGGTACTACGGGAGAGGCAAGGTAGGCGGCTGTCCCCCCTGCGAGTTCTTACTCTCCCTATACATTTCAAATATTGGTTGGTAACCCCTCATATTACATGCTTATTTAGAGTCTGCATGGTTGTAAGTAATAATATTATTATCTACAACCATGGGAACCATTCATGTAAATATGCTGATAAGATTTTTTGTGTCAACATTTTTAATATTATTATAATTTATTTTTATCATTGACAAATCATGAACTAATATTATTACTTTACTATTATCTGTATCATAAACGTTTTGCATGAATTTATACTTTGATTTGAAGTGTGTATTTTATTTAGTATTTTTGAATTTTTTGGAATTTTTTGGATAATACTAATTATAATAAAAATTATGAACACAAACCAAAGTAAAAAAATAAAAACTTTATATGACTTTTTCATACAAAAACCACCATAGGCGGCTCTACGGAGTATGCCGGGTGTGCCTTGGCACCCTCTAATGTGAATAATGCGAATAAAAAAATTGAATAATTACAATTGAGAATATATGTGCATACACATTAATTAAATTTTAGTTTTTTGTAAGTAATATTGCAAGTGTTCAGAATAAGTCTGAAATAATAATTACGTGTATATTTTATCAATCGTTATTTTACTTCATTAACGAAGCCTTTATTTATAGAATTTAAATCATAACACTGTCTACACATCCTTTATATTTTGAAAAAATAACTAAAAAAATGACAGGACACACTCAAATGTATCACTCTGGGTCCGCCTATGAGAGCTATCACAGGTAGAGATAAGTTATTATTTTAAAATTTTATAAGATAAAATAATATAAATGTAGGTATTTGAAAGTGTATTATTCATTTTACAAAATAATCTTATTTGAAATAAGTTAAAATAGTTATTAATAAAATACTTTTTTTTATAGTATTGCTAGTCTAAAGATTTAGACGAAATAGTGTTAATATTTTAAGTATTTCCTGCCCTCCCCTGCCTAGAAGGTCTAGTACCGCCTATAATTACGGATGGTCTTTATCAAGACTTTATACAATTATATGAAACCGAGTGCAGATGTTTTGCAATAAATTTCATTTTTTAAATAATATCATAGTACACACAAGATTGTGTGGAAATTTTAATATACAATATATAATTTATATTTATTCAACAACTCCGTTTATTTCAATGTTTAAAAGTATTTTACTACCTACCAGTGGCGGTTTTTGAGAAGCCACAAGGGAGGGGGCGAAAACCTTTTGCATATACTTACAATTCGCATACATATCCCATTTATTTTTCCCTATTGTTTGATACATGAGAAGTAATTTTAAGTTAAATTTTAACTTTATACCACAATGGCATAACATAAAAATATAGGTACCTATCAATAAAATAATTAAAACAAAAATTATTTTTTATTCAAACTAAATTAACAATCAAACTTATAGGAGCAAACATTTTTATAAACAGTTTACAGTTTTGACATACAATTATCCTCAAACCGATTTTTAGTTAATTGTTTGCTCATTCATATTTTTAGTTTTTACACGGATCAAAGGGGGGGGGTCACCCTATCGCCACACCTAACGCCATCAGTATCGTCATGTTTTGTGTCGTGATTGGTATCGTGTTAGCGTTACGCTAACAACATAGTTTTTTTGGTCCTATAAATTATTTAATAAACGTAGAATAGTGAAACAAAGATGAAAATATTTCTCTATTTATAGCCTAAAAAAGTTTGAATATTTATAGAAATTATTATTCAAATTGCTTGTACAAAATAATAAATACAAATAATTTTTTGATAGAATTTATTATAAAAATTAAACAAGTCACTGTCTAATAACAAAATATGTTAAAATAATAAACATTTTAAAAATTATGTCTCTCTTCATTTGATATTTCCAAGTTTTCTTTCGAGACATAGTATGTTGAACTAATAAGGTTGTTCAATTGTGGGTTGTAGTTATATTCTTTACATATATACTTTATATATTATATAATGTATATATTATACATATAAACAATCCACAGTATTTACAATATACAAAAATACTAAAGTAGGAATCTGCATCGGTATCAATGTGATCATTTTAAGATCATTCTCAGTCAAACATAACCATGCGGACATTTTTTCACAATTACTGTCCATATTGTGAAAACTAAAAATTATAACCATCTAGACCCGGTTACTACTGTACGAACGAGACGCTAATAAAATCGGTACAATTAACAGCTCATCAGATTCACAAATAGATATTTTCGTGTTTTAATTGTTGTTATTTTAGTGTAATATTATTTCGATAATAGATTTTATTTACTTAGAATTTAGAAATTTCAAAACAATTATTTATGTTTTGAACGAGTGGTTCCTTGTATGAATATATATGTTATATGTTAGCGAAACGCTAACACCGATACAATGATGGTAAATCTACTTAAAAACACGTTTACTGCAGTCTAATAGACTATAATAAACAAATTTTTAAATAGAAATTTGGTGTTGTAAATCTTCTGACCGTGCACCAAACAAATACCAGTTTATCGTAATGGGAAAGATATTTAAAAATATTTTGTATTTTTGCAGTGATATAATATGGAATTACACCAAATTTGTTGTAAACAGAAATGGAGTGGTCGTCGAGAGACTTGAGCCTGAAGTAACGGCAAAGGTAAAATTAATAAGATTTTATAAAACATTTCATCGGACTCTAAACATTTTATCTTTTAGCAACGCCGATATTTAAAGTGTAATTATTGAAAATTGCTATTGTGAATTTTGGGAATTTCCACATAAATTCACACTAATTGTGCATTGAATATTGACGTTGCAAAAAGAAAAATTTTCCAATATTACTTGCTTATTAAATATTCGTATATACGAATATCATATGTTATAACATATGTCCGGCACAAAGAATTTTCACTGAACTATACAATTAACCCAGTGGTGTTATTTGGGAGGAGGGGATAGTAATTGAAGTATATGCCTTGACCTTGTATTAACTACAACCTAAAGTCAGCATATTTAAAAAGCATAAGAAATCTTTTCTATTGACATAATTTAATTTATAATTATAATTTTTTTTTAATCAGGTACCGATAAAAGGTATTGATTTTTATTTATGTTTTTTTTTTGTTTTAAAATTTAGAAATAAACAATACGTGCAAGTAGCACAAATAATATTTGTTAGCAATTAATTATTAATATTACAATTTAAACAAGTAGTCACACATTTGTGACACTTAACTAGGAATTTAATAAAATCATCTTAAATATTTTTATACTCATATTATAATTTAGTAACAGGTCACGGTACCAGTTTATTTTTAGACGAAGTCTAGGGTCACCCCTGATATGGTATGAGTAAAGAGGTTCTATATGAGTGGATTATAATGATTTTGTAGACGATTATGAAATCGTTTATAAATATTAATAGCTTCTTTTTTAACAGTTTTAATTGAGATTTCTTTGTGCAAGGATTAATTAGATATGAAATGTAGGGCATTTATAATTTTTCCGAGAGTTATATTTTGAAACCGTTAGATTTTTATTGTGTTGGAAACTTTTGCTGTGCACCACAGTTGAAGGCTCACGGTCCATATAGGCTTTAAAAGAGTTTTGTAGACGAGAACTTTTCTTTTGAATTTGGTATGTTCATTGTTTATTAAAATATGTAACATGTGGAGATGAACATTTAAAGCAAGTCTTTTGTCATAGATATGGCTACAAATAAGTGAGGCGTTTCTCCAAGTTGAGTCCAAAATATCTAACTGTGTTAGACATTGGTATAGGAACATTATATAGGGTGATATTAGAGCAGAAGAAATGACAAAAATTGAATGTAGTATAAATTTACTTGTTTGGAATAGATACGCCATTTTGTGTACTACTCGGGCATTAGATGAAATATACTTATATAATATATTTTGAGTTAGGTTCGTTATGAATCATGCATTTTAATTCATAATATTAAACGAAACAAATATAATTTTTTCTAAGTTATATTCTTTGAACAATTATTTAGTTAATACAATGTTCTCTGAATGTACAAATATTAACCAAATGTAAGTGCCGTTTTATTTAAATGTATTATATTATATTCAAACAATTAAACTTAATATAATACATAGTGAATGTCTTAATATTTTTTGTTTGCAGGAATTGGAAAAAATAATGTTGAAATACTTATAAAAACATTTTATCAGTACATTTATACTTTATTAATATAATCATTTATTCCATTGTACCTCAATTTATCAATTCGAGTTGAGTGATTAAATCATGTTCGACAGAGCAGCAAAGCTGCAAATACCATGAATTGAAATAAAGAATTATTTTTGTTCATAATTGATTGTGATTTTTAAATTTAATATCAAAAAAACAATATTATAAAATAGCAAAAAATTTTGTGAAATGTTCATTGAAATAAAAAAAATAATTGAAGCAAAACTTCTGTATATTTTTTTCCCCACTTTTCCATTTTCCCATTTTTTTACGGCAACATTTAGGGCATACCGGTGTTCAACAAAATTGAAATTTTGTTTTCATCAAAACTCAAAAAATATTAATTATAGAAACATGAAATTTTCACTAAATGTTTATAACAACATTTGTTATAGATAGTAAAATATCAAAAAATCTTTCTTTGAATTATTTATAGAAAATTGAAATTTTCGTATTTCTTAACTTTGTTGAAAATGTCGATAAAATAAATTTAGTATAACCAACAGTTTTGAAAATATAATATAAAATTACTCAAACAGATTTTATTAACTAAATAAAAAAAACACGAGCGTTAAATAATACATTTTAAATAAGAGGATAAATATCACGATAACCTGCTACATTTTTATAGTTGAAAATTAACTTTCAATTTTTATTTTAAAGGTTTGAAAATTAAATACAAAATTGTTCATAATATTTTCTTTGTAGCTAATAAGGAAAAAATTTACTGGAAAGTCGCAAAAAGAATTTATAAGCATTACAAAATAATTGTTTGTTAAAATCAGATATTTCAACAAATTATACGATATAATATATAATATATGCTATGTATATAAATGTATATATGAGTATGGTAAGGTTAGGTTAGTTAACATAACCTTACCATACTCGTAGTTTCGAAATATTTTAATGATATTTGTGTTGTTTAAAGACACTTAAAATGTCAGAAGCATTTGTAGTTTGAAATAATTTCAAAAAGTTTTTTTATTTTTTTTAATTCACAAGCCAGAGCTGTGCCGTGGCAAATAGATAAAATATAAGTTATTGTAACCAAACCTAACCAAACCTAGACAAGCCGAGTCTACAGGCACTACCTCTGTAAAGGGCTCTACGCGAGTCGTGGTGATATCACAGCGCGTCTCTAGACTCGGCATTCATTGCCGAACCACGCCGAGTCTGCTTCTTGTCGGGATCGGTCCTATGCCATTATTATTTTTTAATTCAAATGTTGTAAAATTAATAATCAAGAGGAATCGCGAACACTGCGTCATACTATATTGTATAGTGATTTTTTTTTTTTATACGTTGAAAGGTGTTTTTTTCAAATGTTATCCCGCGAATCATGTACAGCATTCTGAACTTTGTGTTATGAATCTTTTAGAATTTCAGATATAAGGTTCGTGTTCAAGTAACTCCAGAATAAGTTCGTTCGACCGCTCCATATTTTTATACGAATTATTTTAACGCATAAATTACACGAACCACGTACGTTGGTGGGTACACGTTGGATCGGTTTGACGAGCTGAGCAACGAGCTCGTCGTCTTTGACTCGGCTACTAAAGACTGACCACTCGTGAAGACGCGAGCTGCGACATGTCACACCCATCAGACGATACGTTTTCTGTACCGAGCTATATCAAGCTCTGAGCCGGTAGCCCAGTCACGCGCCGTGGGATCCCACGTTTGTTGCCAATCGATTAGCTTCAATGGGTAAAATGATACCAAATAAACGAATGATAACTTATTATTTAATGCCGTAATAACAGTGATTTTCTATGAAAATAATTAAAATGAAACAACACTCGTAATAACCTAAATAATTATTTGTTGTTTTGCCGTAAGAGCAGTGGCGTACATTCAATCTTGCTCTGGAGGGGGGGCTTAACAAAAATAATCGTTATCTTTTTTTTTTTTTCGTTGCACAGATAAATAAGATAAATAACTGCTATAAATAGATATTATTTTATACATTTTTTTTTACCAATTTACAGTTTACTTTTACATCACAGTAAATTAATAGCTATTGGATTATAAAAACAGCATAGTTAACCCGGCGTTAGTCGCGCTATGGTCAAAATGACCGCACTTTTTTTACATGTTTAATAAAACATTTATATTTTATATTTTAAACATTGATACTCATTATGCCTTTCTATAATGTTAATAAAAATTATATTATAATATTCCAAGTATATTAAATTTCGTATATATAGAATAAATTAAGATAAATGATGTATATCATTAATTGCGGTCATTTCGACCAAATCACAACTAATGATGTTATTATTTTTATTATTACGACTAACATTGACGGTTAGGTTATTATTAAACTAACATTTCCGGACTTTATTTATATTAATAATTTATTTATATTTATTATATAAGTGTAGTCGAAAAAATGTTCTATGACTTTCTTCCTTTCAAATTGCATTCGTACAAACTCTACTTATGTAGGTATAAAATAATTATTATACATTAATTTAATAATAGCTAGAACTATTGACGCATACATCTTTACTACACAGTACACACGAACCGTAGTGCGTGTATATACATTGTATTCGTGATATGTAGAAATCATTGATTGTATTAAAAAAGCAATTATCTACACGCTGAATCCATCCACACAAACAAAATTTTTACTATAACCATGTCACTCCTTGCTCAACTTCTCAACTGTCAGCAAGTCCAACAAATGTAACATCTTACGAATAGTCAACATTACGGTTAACTCAAAAAATACCATCGAGTTTCTGTGGGTCACTTTGCTATTACCACAATGAAAAAACTGACTAATGAAAAAAAAAAAAACCATCATAAGCTCGTTCCGACAATCATCGCTATTCTGACGCGTATTTAGATTATTCTATCACTCGTCAGTCATCAGTCATACGAAGCATTGATTTGTTCTTGAATATATATATATAATATACGAAAGACATACTGGACAATATCAATCGCGTATTTATTAATTATAATCCGTGTCGTTACCATGTGACAACGAATTGTCAAAAGCTCGACATGTTGTCACGGTGAATCACACAGCCCGTCCATTTAGTAGGTAATTTGTGAACATTTCCCGAAGTCAACCACTAACTGCAATCGTGTGAAAAAAATTTAGTGCCGGAAAATTAGAAAAAAAAAATGGAATCGGCTACAGGCATGAAGATTTTCCCACAGGCAAGTTTAACAGATTCGCTCGCGGAGACGAACGCGTACTAAAAACATATCGTTTTAGGTTAAGAAATCATCGACCGTCCGGTACAACAAGGCGGCAACGCTAGCCAAGATGGCGGTGGAGGCCAAGACGACGGCCCTGGCGGATGTGGCTGTGCAGCAGGCGCTGTTCAAGGCCAGGAGAGCTCCTCGAGCCACAGACGTGGCCATCCGCTACAACAACGCGGCGAAAATGGCCCGGGTCGCGGTGGCGGCCAAGGCGGTGGCCAGTACGGTGGCCGTCGGCAACGGTGGCCGGTACGGGTTGATGATGGCCACCGGGATACTGACGCCTAGACTTCGGCCTGCAGAGATCCGCTCGACCATTCCCCGAGCACTGATCACCGGTTCGGCTCGTCCGCGTGAGTCCTGTGTCGCACCCAAGACGTACGCGGGTCGACCGCCGTTCAGATGATCGTTGAGGATATGAAGTCAGATCCTCACGACCTACGTCCCCCTGGTACTTTTCTCGTCCCCGTCCGAGAAATTAAGAGCCAACGGTCACCTCACAGTTCGTAGTACGTACAGGTGAACGAAACGTCTTCGTCCATTTTTTTTCCGATTTTATTTGTTTTCCTGTGATATCACGCTAAACGAATGAAACGAAAATAATATACGCGACGATATTCCTACGCCACCTGTACGTACTTCGTAACACACACGAATCTGTACCCGCAGCTATTTATAATGTCACCGTCATAAAATATACTACGAGTACATCCGTCCGGCACACGTACAACACAGCGAATTTGCATTCAGTCGTTCAAACGTAGTGATGTTAGCTTTAATATTACAGTAGACTAACGTATAATAATATTTTGAAGAACGACCGATGTATGTGTTTTTGTTGGTCGATCTTTCTGATATTTTAAATTTTAAGCGGGTTATGAGTTTTTTTTTTTTTAATTTTGATAATTTGCACACTCATAACTCGCTTAAAAATTAAAATATTGGAACAACCTACTAACAAAACGTAGAAAATGTTCTTCCTTTAAAGTATTATTACACAACGGTTTACTCCAGCATTAAAGCTATCGTCACTACATTTGAATAACTGAACACGATTTGCTATGTTATACGTTTGCAAGACGGAGAAATATCTTGCGGGTGTGGTCGTGAGAGGTGATCTCTGTCTCCATCCAACATACGTATAATACGTATATTACGTAATACTCATATTTGTGGTATAATATACCAAAAGAAAAAGAAAAAAAAAACATAAATTAATCGGTTGAAAAGTTTCATTTTGGAATTTGGGTATAATGTATTTTCCGCAGACGGAAGAGTTTTATTTTGTAAATTATGTGAAATTAAAATAGAATATGAACGGCGATCTAGTTTAATACAACATATACAAAAAGTTAAACATGTGAAAATGATTAAACGGAGGGAAATGTTCAATACAAGAACCCAACAAATGATAACACACACTAATACAACTAAAAAGTTTACTTTCAATATGGACTTATGTAAAGGATTGCTAAATTTTAATAAATATGTATATTTTAATTAAAAATAAATACATATTAAAGCGCATATTTTGATATTTTATGGTGCATATGTATGCACATATTTTTAAGATTTTAAGCAATAAAGTCCCGAGCCCTGATCATCATCATTATGCAGTTTCAAGAATTGTGAAGGAATATGGACTGTTCAAACAATTATAATAAACCACATTTTAATTGAAATTTCAATCATACCTGAAAGTAAACACAAATTGTTACAATTTTCAAAATTCTAAATATTTTTTTACAAATCAACTGAATTGCACAAATTTGTTTGTTTAGTGAAAACTGTTTCCATAAGAAAATTGTAAATAGTTATTAAAAAAATTCAATTTTAAAATAATTAATATATTGATTTCATGATTAATAGTGTTCTTAAATGTTAAAATATGAATAAAATATTATTTCATAATAAAAACTGGAGTAATATTATAATTTAAATTATTGCTGAATATTTATGTACTTTATTTTAAATAAATTATTCTATCAAGGTGGTAAAAATGGTGATGAGAACTAATAAAGAAAATAGCAGAAGCATTATTTGATGATGTAGTTATCATTTAGGAAAACATACCAAAAAGAATAAAAATTATGAATGAGCTTGGAGCTGCTATATTTATTGAAACCAGAACTGCTGCAAGGACAGCTATTGGTCATTATATAGCAGTTTCACTAAGAAATGACAGACATGGGAAGAGTATGATGATTTTAAACACAAACCCGTACATATACCAGAACAAACAAAATGCGGTGTACAAATTTTTTTATACACTAAAGAAAATTAAGAATCTCAAATGTTAACATTCGAATATGTGCCATTTTTAAAAATGTTTAATTTAAATTTTAAAGGTGAAAAGACTATTCATATACAATATATTACATATGATTTAAATTGAAGATTAAAATAATAAAATATTAAAAAAGCAATTTATTTATTTCATGATTAAAAGATACAATCACAATAAAAAATAATAATAATCGTATATTCATATTGAGTACGATTATTTATTATATATTTCTTTCTTATGGAATAAAGAATATGGAAGTACTAATTATATGCAATCAATTTTTTTAAAAGGATAGATAATTTCTATTTTTCTCATAGGTAGCTTTACCCCCCCCCCTCTATATATATATATACCATTTAATTAATAATTTTAATGTAAATATTTAAACAAACTGAAAAAATTATTATGCAAGTTAGATGTCATCATAATATTGATAATAATATGTTAAAAAAATAAAAATGAACAGGTACCTAATTATTTTTATAAATTATTTTATTTTGAATTGCATAAATAGTGATTTTTTTTAATTTTTGATACATTTCACCAGCATGTCAACCGTATTTTAGAAATTGCTAAAAAACTAGTAGTCCGCAAAAATCAAAAATACGCCCGCAAAATAACATATATTGCAAAAATAAAAAAAATCGCAAAAGTTCATGTTAGCGAAATGGAGCTCTTCTTCAAAGTGTTGATAACCTCTAATCTAAGAATTATACCAACATAATACGTAGGTTATTAAAAAAAATTATAACACATTCCACTGAGATACATTGGTGTAATTAGACTTTAAAGTTAGAGGGTGCTTCAACCCTAGCATTTGTACAGTAATAGAAAATGAAATTGGAGGAGGGGCTCTGTCCTAATAACGCCTATGTGGAGTTAACAAAAAAAAATCCAATTAATTTTATAAATAATATTTCAATATTTATCTTCATACTTTAAAGTGGATTTGTCGATTTTGTGACAATTTTGAATGTATCATATGATAAAATTCATAATCTTTATATCATACAATATTCGAAGAATTGAAATAATATTTATCAATATAATTTACTGTTGGTATTAATAACAGTATATGAAACATTAGCATAGTTCATTAAATTAATATTGGTTGTTGACGAGTTATTTATCTTAGTATTATTATCAAACTATTTTAATTAACATAATCATTCACTATGAAATAAATTACATACAATGAATAAACATTTAACTCATCATTGTGCATTTATCATAATGACCCCGATGTAATATATCAAATATAACTAAACTACTAAATTATAAAATTTGTTATATTGCATAAAAACCAAACCTTGTAACTTGTTTTCTTATATACTTAAATTACTGAGAAAACGCAATGTAATTATTAAAGTATTATCTTATAATATGCTGTGGATTATTAAAATATGGAATTGATATATCATACGAAAATAACCATATATCTTCTTTATTTTTAAATATATAAAGTACCAAGAAAAACATAATGTACACAATTTTATAGAAATAAAAATAAAAACATGCACTTGCAATAAAGACGTGTAATAGAACAGGAGCACATTAGGAGATATCATCTATCAACGTAAAGTGATCGGCATCGACATCGAATTCAAACGTATCCAGCCATTTAGTGTGGACACTCCGATTATATTTCTCACTATCATTTTTACCTTGTCTTTGTTGTTTCGGTTTAATTTAATGAACACCAGTAATACATTAGCAAGTATTCTTGAAACTCTATTAATTTCTATGTTCGTATCTTCAAACTTAATATTGTGTAATCGTATCGACCTCACCACTCAACATTTTACACAAAGGCTGGATCATGAATTTTGTGGTTCACTGAAACACTAACAATTTTGGGGTGGATGTCATAAGTGGATACTTGGTCTTGGCATCTGGCAGCGGTAGGTGATATAAAATTGGTACTTTGATAAAAATTAGGTAAGTTTTGTTACCTTATATGACTTTTTGGTAGGTGGGTGGGTGGTATTAACTATGCTTGAACCACTAACTGAAAAATGTCAAACCGCCTATGGTTATATACAGGATGATAGATGATTCTAACGGCTACGACTACAAACACGTTAATTTTGTTTTTTCGTCATATTCACTTCATCCTTAAAATATAGAAACTGAAAAATATTTTAAAATCTCTATTCTCCTAAAATCAGTGTTTCTCAACCGCTTAATTTTTTTCTTTTCGGATTGAATAATAGGTAAAAATAAAGTTATTAAGTTTCTTGCCGTACATTTCATCGATTTTTTTTTTTTTTTATAAATAATTGTTCGTTCTTTTGTTCCGTTAATGTAAATAATTACATAATTAAAAAAAATAAAAATATTCCATAATCACTGCTAATCACTCCTCTTTAGCAACGTTTAAAAGGCCCTCTCTAGGTTGAAAGACACTACTCTAATGTAACAAATCCACTTAATAAAAGATTTATAAAAATAAAATAAAGTTAATTACGACGATTTCGTGATACGATTTTGTATGCAACGTAGCTATTATAAGCAAAGCAATTTTATTAATTATAAAATAAAATAATTTCCGAGATAATAAAACTCTCGCTATTAATCATGTTTTTTCTTCGATGAATGCATTTATTTATTATAAATCGACTTATTAATTACCTCACTAACATTGTTCCCATATACTAATATAATAGTTTCTACGACGAGATCAGTAGCAACTCCCGCATCGGTGTGAATTTCACAGAGTGAAGTTAAGAATATTGGATACTTTACAGGTAATTATTTATATAACATATTACCTTTGGTAAAAAAAAGCCTCAGAAATAATAGTTAGCTAAAAACGTCCAAGTTTGTAATTACATTCGAAGTTCAATAAATACCATATTTGTAAAAAAAAATTATTAATTACATTTTATAGGCACCCAAAAAATTATTAGATAAAGAAATATGTGTTCAATATATTATTATATTATTTTTTCAAATATAAAGTATAATATGCCTTTGATTTAAATATTCTTTACGTTTATTTATCTTATTTACAATTTTAAATTAAAAATATATTTTTACCATTTACATTATATGTCTTATTGTTAAGAATCCATTCCCTCAGTTGATCAAACATATTATTATTTTACCTTCACTATTGTATAATATTCAACCACCGTGTGCGCTTATGGTTGAAACTATATGTATGACCAGTGGTTGGTCGTGAGTTATAGTGGTGGAGGTGTGACTTTAAATATAATACCCTTAATCATAAGTTTCATAATTGAAAAAAATATATATATAAAATAATACACTATACACATATTATTACTTTTGAGATTAATATGTGTCAAAATATCTTGAACATAGTACCTTTAAGTTAGTACCAATATAAGTCTATCCAATACTTGACGGCTGATTTTTATATTGATGTCTCCGTATATGTATATTTTAGATAATTACATGTACAATCAGACGCCAAGTATTGGATAGTGATAATGAAACCAAACAGGTACAAAAAGAATGTTCATAACTAAGGAGAAAATATAAAAGTTAAAGTACTCCGTAAATTAAAAGCTTGGATAATGTTGATATCAGTGCATATTTTTGACAGGTTTTTTCATTTCAAAAATTTAATAATTCTACTTTTGAGCTTATAATACCACAGAATATAATAAAACAATCATACGGTCCGTCACGGGCTTAGTTGTCAATTTGTTTATTCTGACATCTGTGATAACATTAATTATTATAACACATGTGTATAAATATATACAATATACATAATATATCATATACATTAAGCACAGCTTTATTAAATATTACATTTACTGCCAAACACTGATTCAGACTAGATTTCAGTATAATATAATTTATAATGTACATAGGTTAGATCTATAATCGTGCCTTGAGATCATTTAAAAAATATAATTAGGTACCAAGGTGCTATTAACAGATAATCCCTTCACTGTTCTGTAATCTCAGTAATGATTTTTTTCATGAACGCAGTCTACTGTGCTGTAGCACAGTAGCACAGTGGACCAGTCCAGCGAATACACACCAACAGTCCTCACAGTGGCGTAGCCAGAAATCTCACAAGAGGGGGGTACCAAATGTAATATACTTATATGAATTGACAAATTCAAATTCTATTGTAAATCTTGGTAAATTCGTAATAATAAAATTACATATTTTAATTCATCACAGTATCACACAACAAAAATAACAGATAACAACAGTCTTATTTTTGTATATCGTGATATAAATTTTAAGTTAACAGTTTTATCAAAAATCGTGATTACTGATTATACCACGATTATACATAGTAATCACCAGAGTTGGGATTTTATAGCACTTAAAATTGCATAAATATGCGCTATATTATTACCTTAAAAATCGCTAAATAAGCTCTAAAAGTATGCAATAAAAACAACAAAAAAAAAAAGGAAATTTATTATTTAATAATTTTATATGAGCCCGCGAGACGAATGTGGACTGTATAAATCGAATTCTACACTCGTTCGTTGATAAATATGGCTATTAGTAGATTTAGTAGAAATCGACAAAAAAACATAATTAAAACAACAAAATCAGCATATAAAAAAAAATTAGAACTAAATAACTAAAACAAAATTATTATATTATATTATACCTACCTATATATTATAGCTGTAATTGTACAGAGTTGCATCAGCGTAATCGGTCTATTTACTTAATTTATACATTTATAATTTAATTTAAAATTAAAATTAAAATTTTGTATCTTTAAAATTCGATCAACAAAAAACATGTTTACCAAAATACAATTTCATTAAGTATGCTCGATTTTGATTAAGACACAAGTAAAAGGTTAAAAAGTCTCAAAAAATCCAAAAAAAGCACTATAAAATAAAAAACGCAAAATATGCAAAACAAAAGCAAAATAAATTTTTTTATTTGAGTTCTCTGTATCATGAAACACATTTGTAGCTTACTCTGCTATTTTTTAAGCATCTCATAATAAATATGCAAATTCTATAAAATCCCAATCCTAGTGATTACTAAATCACTAATCATCCTTAATCGTGGTCATAATTCACAATCATAACGACAGTGTAGTAAGTTGTTGAAAACCCGTAATAATATTATCATTAATTATTAAAAATATATTTATAAATATATTTTTTTCATTATTATTAAAATAAATACACAATAATATAAATAATACATTTATTATATTTGGAAAGACAATGGGGGGATTTAAGCACCCATACTCCGTCTACGCCACTACCTTTTCGATGTCCGTTGAAATAAGACTCTGCGAGTCGGACTGTGACAAATGCTGTCCGTCATCCACGACGTCGTTAGTTTCCATTTTAATTTTTTTTTTGTGCTAAAAAAATTAGTTATCTTTGATGTTTTTTTATTTTGTTGCATATTTATAAATTCGGTTGTCAATTTATACAAATATTAATATATACACAAGTAGATAATTAAGTTATAAATAATATATTGACAAGTAAAAGAATGCGTTATTGACAACTACACGACTAGACTAGGATCACACTATGCAATGCATCCCCTATCGGCAATTAACTGATTAAACAGCAACTGAGCAACGTATGTGGTATTTACGTATTGTCCGAACAGTTCTAAAGAAACGGTCCAGTCTAGATACGATAATACTTTATCGATTTTCCCTTTTGCTATTTATATTTTACTCGGTATCGCTAAACAATTTGTATTTACAATTTACTATTTTTATTTTGGTTTTCATATCAAATCATTATTTAATTATACATTATATAGTATAATACAAGTATTGAGTAGTATTGTGTTATACTATGATATGTACTACACGGAACAAGGGGGGGCACTATGGGCCCCCCTAAATACGCCACTGAGCCCTCATATCTGACCATATCTCCTTTTTAGTATTCCTCTTTCTCGTTTCCTTTAAACGTTCATTTTCATAATCACTCATACTAGTTTTGATTCCTCTCACCTCATTACATACCCAAACCATCTCAGTCTATTTTCTCTCATCTTGTCTTTCAAATCCGAGCCCCAATTATAATATATAAAAAACAAAGTCTCATCATCGTGTGCATGCGTTAACCTGTACATTTAAACTGCATTCTTACGTACTTGCACCAGTGGCAGACTCAGTGAGGAATTTTAGGGTTCAAACCCCTCCCCCCCCCAAATGAATGAATAATTAATTTCAAATGTAGTTATCCTACCTTATGTACCTTAAAAAAATGAATTGTTCAAAATACGATTAAAATATGCTAGAAAAAAAAAATGTTTTTTTCAGAAAAGTGAATTTGTAATAATTTGTAATTTTCCAAACATTCTAAAAGGTATTGGTACTTAAAACTCAAATTTTTGAAATTCCATGATGGCAATACTTCGTAAAAATAATGCGTGTATAGTAAAAAAAAGTAAATATACGTAATCGATATAATCTTATTTACAATGGTAAATTATGATTGACGGTTTACCTAAAATTTGTGTTGTATGATGTCATGTGATGACAAACGAAATCGGCATTCTATTGTCAATAATCAATTATTTTAAAATAACGGTAATCAGGCTCATATTTAGAGGGGGCACGGGGTGGCAAAATATTTTAGCAAAATTAATTTTAAAAATGATATACCTAATAAAAAAAAATAAAACAATAAAAAAAAGAAAATAGTAAGTTTTATTATGTTATAATTTGTTTAATTTGTTAATTAAAAAAAAGTATTAAACAATTTTCATTTATAAGTTATATTTTAATATTAGAGAATCTCGATTATGGACGAAATAATAAGTGTTATATTATTATAATTTTTTTTTTTTTTTTGGTAGGGGGGCATATAAATAATATGCCTGGGGGTGCCAAATTTTTAAATACGAGCCTGATGGTAATTATTCTTATTTTTTCAAAACCTCTCCCGAAATTTTTTTCTACGTTCGCCCCTGACTTGCACGCATACGATTACTACGCTGTCACACATAAGTTATAATATACGCGTTCAGAATAATTATAACGAAGCTGTCGGTCGTCCCAATACTGCTCAGTGCTCGTGTTTGCATGCGTACACTCTACTCATACAATCCTGGTTAATTGCATCTGAGGAAACAAATTGTTCGCACACGACATTATGTATGTAATAAATATTATTATATTATATATTATATGCAGTTTAATAAAAGTTATTTTTAAGAATTTATAAATATGCAATTAATTTTCTTCTTTTCATTAGTTTTAGTAAGGGGTAGTGGATCGTCCCGTCGTCCAAGCAACGAGCCGCCACTGTGTATGACAAAATCTAGAAGCACTGCTTTTGTACACGCATGAATTGCACCAATTGAAATGAAGGCAATCAATATTTTTCTATTGAAATTGGCGATTCTTTTGACACTGGTGAGTACATTATTCTTAATTATAAAAATTAGTTACACTGTTAAATACTCTTTCTATTGTTTATTTGTACACAAAGTATAATACGTACGATATATCTATGATTGATTATAGGATGAATTGGTATTATTTCTTCTGTACTAAATTACGTTTTTAATTTCAGAAAATTTGTAATTGCGAGGAGGTGTATGATTTCTCATATCACCCAGAACCTAAATCTATCTACGAGTTTTCAGTTAAAGATGACCAAGGAAATAATGTGTCATTATCAAAATACAGGTATATATTTATAAATATAAAAATGTATTTTTATCACACCTTACTGAAAAGAGTGAAAATGTAAATTTTTTATTTTCGGTTCTAAGAGGTTACGTGTTAGTGTTATCGGATGTAGCGATCAGACCCCCAGTCGAATTCATATATATAAAACAGTTAAATATTCTACAGGAAAAGTATTACGATGAAGGATTAAGAGTTCTTTGTTTCCCAACTGATCAGTTATACGCTGTGGTGAACATTTGTTTTAAAATACTTATAAAATATTAATATAATAATTTTATATTATAATTATAATATTATTATTCATGCTAGTGTTATTATTTTTATATTAATAATAATTAATTGGAAAATATTCTTCTATAGGTAGTTCATGACTTCTTTATTAATCAATAATTAATTAAATTCAACGACACCAAGAATGGATTTTAATTAATTTTTAATAAAATTAATTTTATTCTATTTTTTTTTAATTAAACACTTAAAATAATATAATTATTTATAAAATATGTAGTAAGATCAAAAAGTTCCCGGAATTTATCAATAGAAAAAAATTATTTTACTTATCACAAATATAATTTTTGGAATTAAAAGTACACGTAATTTAATATATGTAGGTATAACAATTATAATTAAACTACATTAGTTTCACGTTAACCGTTATCGAGTCTTTACGAAAGACAGTTTACGCATTTTGTTAAACTGGCGCAATTTAAACAACGGGACAATATTAAATTTTGTTTTAAACTTAGAAAAACTGCTTCCGAAAGGTTAATTCACTGAGAATTATTCTAAATAGACAAACAGTTAACTTTAGTTTTTATATTGAAGTTTTAAAACGTTTAAAAATTTCGATCCGTCGAAAGAGACCAGAGAAATGCGAAAAAGCACCACGACGTGCATCACAAAAATGTATTGTGTCAACATTTTTTGCAGTTCATCAATTTTTAGCTGATAAAAAAATGTTCACAATACCTCAATCCCCGTTTTCACCAAATATTGCACCATGTGACTTCTAGCTATTTCCTAACCTAAGACTTGGACTCAAAGGTGAACATTTTGCGACGATTGAAGTCATTAAAGCTAATGCAACGGCTAATCTCAGGGTTATATCAATAGAGGGACATCAAAGATATTTTGAGCAGTTACAAATTCTTTAATAGTAAGTGTGTCTGTTCCCAAGGATATTATTTTGAATGAGAATAAGTTAAATCAAGATTAAATTGTATATATAAAAAATAAAATATAATTCCAGGAAATTTTTGATCTTACTACATACATAAAATATATAACGCAAAAAATTAAAATTAAATTTAGTATTATGTACACTGTTGACTAACATTAATATATTTATTTCTTTAACATATATTAATGTTAATAAACACTTGTACGTAATACTAAATTGAATTTTAATTTTTTGTGTTATATATTTTATAAATAATTATAAAAAAAAATTAATTTTGAACTGTTTGCTACCTATAATTATTTTTTTTTTTTTTTGTGATAAAATAATAAAATAATCCGTAGTATGAGAATGGATTCAATTCTGTAAAAACGTTTATTGCGTTTTTACTTCGATTTAATTAAAATGTTCATAATATTACATGTACTTATAGGTACCTCCCTATCCTGTTAATGCAACAGAATTTCGAAATAAGTATCATCTAAAATTCGAAATTTTCGGAAGTTTAAACATCAATAATGGTCTAAGACACAGTGCTCATCCCTTATGGCTCTGGCTTCAGAGATCACAAGAAGGATTTTTAATTAAGTAAGTGTCAGTGTTTTTTTTTTTTTTTTTTTTAACATGGTTCAGTCTTATTGATGGACGTTGTACTAAAATTTTGTTCTATACTCGTCTAGTGAAAAGTACAAACGAGTAACGTGCACCGTTTCCGTAACAACAATTTGGTTGTTATATTTAAAAATCATTGTCATATTTATCAAGTAAATAATAAAAAATAGATAATAATAATGATAATAAAAATCGAGTTGGTTGACACTATGATTTTTTTTTATAATTTTAGTGCACATTTATTCGTATCATGACAACCAAATTTTTGTTAGGGAAACGATACATTTTACTTGTTTACGTTGTGCTTGAGACTGATCCATGTGCCTATGTAGAAGCGTGGATACCTGACGACGATAAGTGTTATATCTGGCGTGACTTTTATAGGAACGTGGGGTTAAAACATAAATAATCATACTCTTTTTAGAGATCCTGTAAATGCAAATATACATACTCATATATGATCATACTTCTGACTATTTTTAGTACTAATATTATTTATTACTCGTATTATTTCAGTGCTATTAAATACAATTATACCAAATTTGTAATTGACAGATACGGGCTGCCCACTGACAGATTCTCTATTTTTGCCTCTCTACAGGTAATATCATAATTTTTAGCATGGTGTATGGTAATTATATTCCTTTGGAAATATTCTGATTTCTTAATTAAAATAATTTTTTTCACTCATAATTTGTTTTTGATTCAAATCATTGAAAAATGTTTTCTCTTTTAATAATATTTCCGCTTAACGTCGTGAGAATACTCTCGAATTTGTGTTGGAATATTTTCGATCAACCGTATGTGGACCATCACTAAAATAGACCATGGAAAACTTGTAAAGCTTAGAAATGTGCGCATACGATGTGTGCATAGTGTCTATGTTTTATACACAATTAAAGTTAAGATCTTAGATCTATTTATTTATTATATCTTATTTTAATCATGGTATAGTATAGCTAAATAAAGGCTATTAATCTTAACTATCTATAGTTATACAATATACGTTTAATTTTTAAATGTTTTTTTTTGTTTACAGGATATGGAAAACGCTGTGTTAAGACATTTAAGGGATTAAAACGTATGCGTATAAAAATTATTTACCAATGCCTGTTTTTATTCTTTTATATAATTATATAGGTAATCAAAACAGTAAATCGTATTGACAACACAACTGAAGTGCAAAACTAATACTATGATGTATCATTATTGCTAAATCTTGGTACAACGGTATTTTTTGAGTGTTGAACATTTTATTATAAATGGTGCAAATGGTGATATGTTAAAAAAAAATGTTTAACATTAAATATAAATCAGAAGGAACATTTATTTTGTTGTTTATATTCCTCATTTCTTTCTGAAATAATATATCTGTTCTGTGTCGCAAAGGTAAGAAACAGTATTTTGTATTCCAATTGTTGTCACTGTACAGTATATTGGTATAAAAATATGCCATGGAAATTTAACTGTTGTTTATTATATAGGAACAACAATTTTTTTCCGTAATAAAAAACAGGGGCACCATTTCAGTGTTTTTTAAGGGGGTGCAAGCAATTAAAGAGGCCAATTTTTTCCCACCACCAGGCCAACATTTATGATTAGCAGTGATTACTGATCAGCCAAGGTGCATGCACAACATTAAAGATTGGAAAACTGAAGACCAAAGTGGCAAGGCCATGTATCAGTGACACCTAGGCCAATAATTGAAAATGAAAAAAAATCAGGGTGTGCAAGTGCATATCCTGCTCGCCCCTGATAAAAAATATTATATTATTAAATAAAAAAAATTGGTTCTCCTATAATACGCAAGTTGATTAACTATTATGAATTTTCAACTATATAATATAACATATAAATACAAATATATATTATATACAATACATTTAAAATCTTATTTAATTTATAAACCAGTGATATGAACTTAGACATGAAAACATATTCAATGCGAAATAACACAAAACTATGAGAAACATAGTGTCAGAACGCCACGAAACAGTATGAAACGATTTTTTCGCGTAATTTGATTTTGTCAATTTAATGCCTTGTTTGAGAAACACTGCGAAACGGTTTTCACGAAAAAGCTATACACACCAGGGGCGTATTTAGACTTACTTCTAGAGGGGAGGGGGCAACTCAATTTTTTTTTTAATTCAAGCTCAACATTTACAAGTAAAATTTTTGGTAATTGGTGAATCCTTAATATGTTTGGTTTTTTTTTTTTTTAATCTAATCTTTTTTAACACCTGTCTGTGTTTTGAAAGTTATGCTTGTGTTTTATTTGATTTTTCATTAAGTATGGACACTAAGTATCGTTATAATCGCGAACGCCCTCTTCACCTCCGCTAAAATACGCTCCTGATACACACTATTCACGAAATTAAACGAAACACGAAACGCGAAACATCCATAGTGTAGAGCGACCTAATGACATACACATATCACAAACGTTCACACTAGTGATATAAATGTTGTGACATGATACAAACATATATTTAGAATTATACTGAAACTTATGGATCCATCTTGACGGAAATATCTCGATTGTTCCCACGATAAATTATTTCTGAATACGAGCAACAGCCACATAAAAACTAGATTTTACAGTGCGCAGTTGTATTTAATTACCAATTTTTTTTTGTATTTGTTAAAATATCCGTGTTTTATATTTTGTATTTTGTATTCATTGTTATAAACCATGGAAGCGTGAAAGAATTGCGACTGCCATTATTTTTATGGAAAATTTGAGCAAAAAAAGAAAAAAAGGGCGAGAAAAGTGTGGGAACGCAAAAGGCTTCAAAGTAAAGAATTGTACGGTACACATCTTACATCAAAGTTTCTCACCCTTCACCAATTTCTTATATCCTTATATTTTGGAGACTTTTGGATTCTAAAGACGAGGATTATTTTCAAAACCTTCAATAAATTTGAGGGTGTCCCAAACATCCACTATTTTTTTTTTTTAACTTGATGTCATAATCGACGTTATAATTTTAAAACTTACAAAAATAAAATAGTTTTAAAAATATCAGAAACCAAACATCAAACTGTAATTGTCAACTATCATCTGTTTTTATTCATCAAAACGACAGTATATTCATCATACCGTCGGCGCTTATTTCGGACATGTTCAGATAGATACAAGAATTGTCACGAGACTTGTGTCATGGGAATTATAGATAAGTGTACGACAGTTCATACGTTGAAATTTTACTGTCATACAGTTATTTCGTTATAAAAGTGTCCGTCGTGTGAATCCGGCTTTAGAATATAAGGAATACTCAATTTATTTATAAAACTACTACTACCAATATCCGCACGGCGTCGACCGTGGAAAAATTGGACATCACACACCCTTTAAATTTACATTTTTTTGCTAAACATAATTGTATGTATTTTTTTTTTTCAATTTTGAAACGAAACGATCATCTGGGACTTTATCGATGTCTTATTCGCTTGGGAGGGGTAGAGGCACTTATACCCCTTCTCTAAAAAGAGAATTTAGACGTGTGTGGACTTCACTCTCAGTAGAGTGGGAGGTCCGGTGGGAGACAGAGTAGGCAACCAGAATGACGGCAGGGGAGGGAGACTACAGACAATTTTGCAGAATATTTTTTGCACTGAGCCGGGTTCGAACTGGTGACTTCGCACGTCGTGGCCACATTGTGTGACTACTGTACCACTCTGCCACAATTATATATATTGAATAAAAATATCGAAATTTTCTAAATATAGGAACTATAAACAGTATAAAATATATAAATTACCTGTGCAGGTATTTTGATAATTTAAAGATTTAAAAAAATTTTTGTAGATTACGTCGTCGACTTTTTCCAGATGAGGGAGAAAAATGTACAAATTAAATTTGAATGTTACTCGTGACAGAGCAACGGACAGATGACCGTGGAAAAAACATTGGACTCTTAGGTCAATTCCATTAACGTTAAGTGTTTGTCACTGTGTTTTATGTATATTTATTTCAAAGGCTAATGTAATGGGTAATAGCTATGTTAATCTATCAATAGTAACAATGAACAAAACCAAGACCAAGACTATGACAGTCTTGATCTTGGTACTGGTGCTGTAGATCTATTATAGTCTTGGTCTTACTGTAAGACTCTTGCAATTATTTAAAATTGAAAGAAAAATGTTTGGCTAGGAGTTTGTAGAATTTGATAATCGTACAGTAAACAATTTTACAGTATTACAAGAATAGCACACGAAATATATTGTACAATATACTAATACTCCAAATATCAATTATAATTAAACTCTTTTATTATACAGAGTATTTTTTTAACGTGAACCAGTTAATATCTCGGGAAGCTTTAGGAATTTTAAAATAATTAATTTTTTTGACTTTCTAGGTTTTACTATTTTACACTGTGTTCAATTTTGATAATTTTAACTTCCTCCCTTATTTGGTGAAACAGCAGCGCGGCCGAATCAGCTATAAAGTATAAAAATAACATATTACAATTTACCATCATGGTTACATAATATATCACTGGTTACTGATTCCTGGTATACGGTCTTATCACTTATAATTCAACTGAGAACCGACACAATATGAAAACCCAATAACACTGTAACTTTAGGAAATAGATTTATTTATCTATTTTATGTGAAATATATCATATTTATCACTCAATCAATTCTGTGTTATGGTAAGATAATAAAAATACAGAGAAACCAAAAATTGTCAATTTGGAAAAACTAATACTTTATAGTTTATACATGTAGGATCAATAGGAATAACGTTAGACAAATTTTAACCATAGGCTCAATATATTACAACGTAACAACAAATTATAAAACACTTAAAAACAAATAAAGTATGTAACAACTAGATATAACACTCTTCACAATAACTCGTCGGGCGTAACAACATCACTGCCCTCTCTAGAAAAGTCATCACACCGCCTTGGGTTGGCCTGACTAACCTCAGTATTACCATCCCACATTCTCCTACCTTAAACAGCATCCGCCTCAGAAGCAGTGTCTTCATCATCTGACTCTTCAGCTTGATCTTGGTCAACGGAACGCCATAGCTTCATATAATCAGCGCAGAAGTAGCTTTGCTCGGGTCCCTCATGTGTGCCGACTCTTAGCACCTTATAACGTTCATTACTTTTGCTTCCTATTACTTGATAATGTCCTAAAAACTTTCTGCATAGCTTCGAACTTGGTAAGAACTGTGTTCTCTTGATAGCAACTAGATCCCCTAGTCGGTAACTGACGGCCTCCTTTCTGAACTTGTTAAACGCGCGTTGTTGTTGGATCTGCGCCTTCTGGATCTGTTTCTTTGCGAACTGTCTATTTTCTTCCTGACCTTCCTCATGACACCTGGACATATTCAATCTGCACTACTTCTTTGATTGACTGATACTCTGGGTGGTTCATCTCTACTCCGAAAACTAATTTGAATGGAGTCATCCCTATGGAACGCTGATATGACCCATTAAACGCTATCTAGACTTTTTGTACCTGACAATACCACTGACCAGGCTCAGTCATATTTAATTTCGATAATACATTTATAATAATGGTATTCAATCTTTCCACTTGACCATTATCCCTTGGTACACCTGTGGTTTAAGAATGTGACGGATCTCTCGTTTTGTTCAATAATTACTAAAGTCTTTTGAAGTGATGCAGTCCCTATATCCGATACTAGTTTTTCCGGATTACCAAAAGTAGTCTCCATCACTGTCAACTTGTCGATGACCTCTTTAGCTGAGACACTTCTAGTAGGAAATACCAGCAGAACTCGGTGAACCCATCGATTACAGACAGAATGTGTCGGTATCCCTTCGGTGTTGGTGTCAGCGGACCAAGGAAATCTATATGCCACATGGACAAAATGGACAAAATGGTGTCTCCTTTATCAATGCTGTATAGGAAGCCCTCTTTTCTGCCTTGCTTCCGATTAGCAAGTATACAAGTGACACAATTATTTATCACCTTTCCAATTTTATTCCTTAGGTCAGTGATGGAATATTGACGTTGGATCAGGGCTTCAGTCTTCATTATTCCAAAATGACCAATGTGGTGTGCATTCCTTATTACTTCATTTTGCATCTTACATGGAACCACTAGTAAATTTTAGCCATTACGAATCTCATATATTAGTCCTCCAACTGTAGTGAAAATTTGATCGTCGATATTCATCTGTTGTATGCAGAGATCTTCCTGTTGAGCAACTCTAAGTCGTGAATTTACTGTGGATTACCATACACATAAGATACCGGCTCAGAGAATCAACGTGAGGCATCCGTGAGCCAGCCTTATATTCAATACGTGTGTGGAGTTAGCCCCCCAACTATAAAAAATACTTTCCAAAATAATTGTAACCTTATTTTCTTAGTTTGTAACTATTTATAACCAAGTTTTTAGAATTTGTAACCTCATACTTTTCAAGCTACAGGTACTTTCTCAATGAGGGGCTAACTTTACGCAGCCCCCCCCCCACTTCAACAAAATCGTCCAAAACAAGTTGTAACTTATAAAATCTAATTTTTAATCATTTGTAACCAACTTTTTGAAATTTGTAACCTCTTCAATTTTGAGTAGTCATCGATTTCCCTATGGGGGGCTGACACTCCCAATTCAATGAAATCGTCCTATACAAGTTGTAACTTATAAAACTCAATTTGTAACTATTTGTAACCAACTTTTTAGAATTTGTAGCCTCGGCCCTTCCGAGTAATCGTAAATTTCTCAATGAGGGTTAGTTATCTTATAATAAGTTATGAGTGCTAATAATTTATTACACATGTTCATAAATTGAATATTTTATAAAACATATTTTATTTAAGATTTTAGCCTAATCGAATAAAAATAAAAGTAAAATTCTAGTTAATTAAGACATATTCAATCTAGATTTTTTTTTTTATTAAATTTAGATTTCTTTTCATCAACTTACGATATGTTCTAGGCGAATTAATTTAATTGGATGATATTACAAATTACAATCTTAACTTTTTTATAAAGATATCTACTTAGGGAAATCCATCGGGATTCAAAATTGATGAGGTTACAAATTCTAAAAACTTGATTACAAATAGTTACGAATTAAGAAAATAAGGTTACAATTATTTTGGAAAGCATTTTTATAGTTGGGGGCTAAGTTCACACACGTATATTCAATGACGTAATCGTATTCGATAATCATTAACACCCATCTGGCTATTCTGGTGGCCAGTTACTTTTTTTCTAGAGTCTTGATAAATGTAACACAGTCCGTCACTATTTTGAACCTTAGACCCAGTAGGTAGACACAAAACTTTTTTAACGCATCTACTGTCGGTAGGACCTCAAGTTCGTAGCTATGAAATTTCTGTTGGGTTTCGGATGTTTTCTTACTCATATAACAGATCGGATGCAATCGTTTATCATCATTATTGTCGGCCAGCAGCAACACAGCTCCAAAACCGAACTGGATGGCATCTGTATGTGACTTGGTGCGGACAACATCGGAGTTATAAATCTTGAGTACTGGCGCTGCTGAAAGACATTGCTTTAAACTGTTCTCCGCTGCCTCCTGAGGTTATTCCATACGAAACAGCACTCCTTGCTTCAACAAATTGCTCAGTAGTAGTGTAATTTGTGAATATCCACGTATAAACCTACGGAAGTATCCAGTAAGACCTAAAAAGCTCTGTATGACGGCTTTGGCACTTCTTGGTAGTGGAAACTTCTGTACAGCGATTGTCTTTGCTTCTGATGGACTCACCTCAGTGTGTCGGATACGGTAGCCCAAGGAATCTATTGAGTCCTTTAAAAATTGGCATTTGGACCACTTAATGTCCAATCCATTTTTAGCTGCAACCTGTAATACAGTCATTAATCACACCAAGCCTTCCTCAACATTTACCGCTACCACAATCAGGTCGTTCATGTAGGCTAATAGGTAGCTAAGCCGAATGAAGTCACGGAAAATGAAATTTTCGAAAAAGCTCGAAAAGTCGAAGCGTGTCATCTTTTTTCTTCACCAACACGACAGGGCTGGCATCTGAGCAACTGGGCTGAATGACACCTTCGGACAACCATTCCTAGATCTGCTTATCTACTGCCATCTTCTCTCGCGGCTTACCCTTAGCACAGCGTTAGTCTGGAATAATGATCGACTTAAAATAACATCGTACCCTATAGGCACCATTTGACACAGAATGCACGTCAACATGGTAGCTTTCCCCATCCACGGTCAGCTTACATTTGAAACGACAATCTGTTTGAAAACACGTATCGGCTGATTGATTCAACTTTGTACGGATTGGGATGCTGTGCATGCCACTCAACTTTTTTAAAAATGATTCACGACACAAATGTATATCAAATCCAGTGTCAACAAGGGCCAACGCCTCTTGGCCCAGGATATATACAGGTTCTATAATCCTATCATCAGTATTATGAGTGTTAACCTGGTAGACATTGGTGGGCCCATTCGAACGGCCAATAGCACCTGCATGATAGTTTTCGGACTTAGTTGGACAAGCAAACGATTTATGTCCATAATCTCGACAAGCAAAGCATTTGGGCCCTTTGCCCGCATCGGGACACTCCCGCGACTGGTGTCCTCGATCACCACAATTGTAGCACCTTACTTCTACCGGTCTGTTATGTGCAGGTGCAGGAGAAACATTCCTGGACTCAGCGTTTCCTCTTTCACATATCCTGTCACACAACTCCAACTTAACTTTGAATTCAGGGATAGAAGTTAGTAGTATGTATTTGTATGTTCCGAGTCCGTTTTTTACAAGGGGTGATTCATAATATTTGATTGACAGTCACACGGTAAACTTTTTTTAGTTACTGTTCTCGCGATTTTTCAAAAACCTATATGTATGTTCCGAGTCCATTTTTTTACAGGGGGAAATCCAAAGTAGTTGACCGACAGTCCAACGATAAACTTTTTTTAGTTACCAAGTAAAAATGTACACTAAATATTTTTTACACATTTTTTATTCACATTCGTTATTCAATAAATGCAAAATACTCTTCAATCACATTAAGATTGAATAACAATACTTTAGCATTAAGTATAATTGATCTTTGTCTAAAACAAATTCAAATTTGTATAGAATCAAATATAGAAAAACAGAAAAAAATGAATTACTATCAAAATTGTTATAATTTGTTCTATTCAACATTAAAAGAATCCATATCAAATCTTCCAGCTAGCTATCAATCAAATGCTTTTACATATTAATTTATACAAAATTATGATTATGACTCAGATTTAGAATATATGTGTTTAATGAGCGAAATTCAACAGTTTCAGTACGTACCGTTGTCAAATCTAATACTGCAAAATTTATATCAATAGAACAATAATTAAAATATTGAAGTAAGTATTCAATGTATGACATTTTATTTAAATTATAAAATATATATAATATAAACACTACTTATTTATATTATATATATGTATTGTATAATTTACTGTATGTTATCACTCCATAATTGTATATTATTATAATTTAAAATCTAATAAAGTAGTCAACATCAAAAAAAGATAGTTATATATTTATTTATTATTGAATGATAAATTATTTACTTTTATAGCATTTATTTATCATTTTTTAAAGTTCTCAATGGAGATTTTTTTTTTAGTATAATACTAAAAAATATCACATTTTTTTTTAAACAAATTTAAACGTAATATTCAAGTAAAAAATTATATTTTCATTTTTTCAATATATAATTTTCAATTCAAATTCAATTCAAATTTTTATTGGTCATCATTTTTTTTTTCGGGTCAGCCATAAAACGATCTAAAATTAGCTCGATTGTTGATTGTAGAGTGTTGTTTATATTTATGTAGTTGCTCTTTTGATCTGATGTCATTTTAATTAAACATTCAGCATGTTTCCAGCTAAAAATTGAAAATGGTTAATACACAATTATTTAAGATTTCATATTTAATATCATCTTTCCTGAGGCGGAACATTAGCAATTTTATCAGCCTTGAAATGCTGAACCACCCAATAGTATTGACCAGCTGGTGTCGGACATTTTAAAGTATAGTTTTTTTCTGCTTCTCTTATTACTATACTATCACTTAATTCTGTCAGTAAATTATTATATTTTTTAGATTTTATTATAAAATTAAGTTTTTCTTTATATGATACAACCTAAATATAAAAATATGAATTAGTTTAACAATTAATTTTTGTTACAAATTTAAAAAAAAAAAAAAATGAAAATAAAACAGTGCTACACTGTCATATAAAAAATTTTTTATAATAGACTTGTAGTATAATCATAAATTTCATTTGTGATCATGTTCCACAAAAACGATCGGTTATGGGTACGATGAGTCTAGCGTGCAGATGGCAAAGTTTCAGTGTCTCTTTAGAATTTGATGTTGTGAGTATATCAGCCTAATATTAGCTGTCCGACGTATGCCATTATAACGACTCTTTTATGCCTCTATAGTTGAATCTGAATCAGATTATTCAGTGGTTGTGATATTCGTGGATTATTTTACAGTCTATTCAAATGTTAAATCAAAATGTGTAAAAATAAATGTGAAAATTATTTTAGTCAAATAAAAAAATGTGTAAAAAATATTTAGTGTACATTTTTACACGGTAACTAAAAGAAGTTTACAGTTGGACTGTCGGTCAAAAACTTTGAATCTCCCCCCTGTAAAAAATGGACTCAGAACATACAAATACGCACTACTGACGATGCACCATATAGTATACTATTGCTGACAACCACATCTAAAATTCCACAAATAATGTAGTCAATCAGCGCGTCATCAGAGACACCTCCTTGCATTGCCAATTCACGCATGCGACACAGGTACTGCAACGTTTCATTTTGCTGCTTAAAATCGGTGGAGAGCAATTGGTGAACATCTGCTGTTAGCCGACTACAGAACTCACTAAGCAACCAAGTGCGTAACACTGACCATGAGCTCAAACCATCTTCTGACCTAACAAAAGCCTGTGCCATTCCTGAGAGCAAGTGTTTACAGTAAACAAACTTGTGTAGGTCTGATCAAGCGCACAACAACGCCATTTCATCGAAGTCACTGAGCCACTTCACCACCGAACAATAACCCTCACCCGTGTAAGGTAACAACGCATCTTGGACATCGCCGAATTTGATCGTATTGCTACTTGTAGCTTCAGTCTCGACGTGAAAAATATTAATGCTCTAAGTTTGCTTCCTGGCCACTGACTTCTGTTTACGAGTAGGCATTATATGAACGGAATTCTCACGATCACACAGCACACTAACAACAATTAGCCGTAATCGCGGTTCGTGCTTTATCAATGATAACAGCTCACAACTCGCGCAATCACATCACTTGATGCAAATACCACGGTAGGTTAGCTAATAACCACAGTACTGATACGATAAACTTCGTTGCCGATAAACGACAATTTGAGGTAATGCAAATGGCGATGTACAACAACCTCAAACGCACCACGTTTTTTCCATGCATGACACAACAAAGGCCTACCGTGTATGTCGAACGACAATTTAAGACACGAGTAAGCGGCGAATTTCGAACCACGCACTATTACATAAACAAACGGCACTCGCGAACAAGACAATCGGTACGGGTCTCTTCGCACAGGCTAGACAATTCAGAATAACAGATTTTCGACTACGATCCCGGACAGGCCCCCAAAATGTGAGATTAGTAGGAATAACGTTAGACGAATGTTAACCTTAGGCTCAATATATTACAACGCAACAACAAATTACAAAACACTTAAAAACAAACAAAGTATGTAACAACTATAACTCTTTACAAAGACTCGTCGGGCGTCACGGACGCCCTCTCCAGACAGGTCATCATACCGCCTTGGATTGGCCTGACCAACCCCAGTGTTACCATCCCATATACATATTATGTTTTTTGTTTTATATTCAAGAAGATATGTTGTATAATTTGTTAATTTATTTAATATAATGTATATTTCTATATTAGATTGATGAGTTATAACTAGTAAATTACAAAATAAATATTTTTTAAAACAATATGGTATATCTTAATTACTATAGATAATGATTATAATAAACATAACATTTTTTCATTTTAAAACAAAGTAAACCAATAATTCCTATGTATTTGGAAAAATAATTCATAAATATGTAGATATAAATGTATATGACATAGAATTTACTTGGATTCGGGGTATAGACCTATGACTAAAGTAATCTATTCACACATTTCTTTTTCTTTTTTTTAACTATACATTTTTACAATGCCCTTCCCATTTAAGGTTAAAACATTAAAAATAAATAATTACAAATCAATATATGTATACTAAAAAAAATAATAGAATAGGTAAGTTATTTTGATTACACAAATTAAGTGACATGACAAATAACCTACATCAGACTGGTATTACAATGTTTTATGCATCGAGGAAGTGAGTCCTGTATTTTTATTCTGATGCAGAGTTATAGGCCTAGAGCCCGTTGTACATCATGTCTATCCAACTTTCCATTCATAATTATAAGGTATTCTGGGATATATTATTTGTATAATGTATAATTTGCATTTTATATTAAAAATATCTTGTGCGTGAATAGACCAAATAATGGACATTAATTTAATACTAAATTATCAAAGACAATAAATTCATTATTAATCAATAATTTTACTAGAACATGAACAAATTTCTCTAGTGCAAATTTTTACAGGATTTGGGTAAGGTCACACTTAATAAAAAAATATTAACATTTAACATGTACACTACCCTAGTTAAATTAATAAAAATTAAATGAATATTGAACATATTTTGCATTATCTACTCTGGAGTACAACATATTTTTAGGGCTATGGATGTTTTAAAAAATTATTCATTTTTACACATATATTTGAAATTATGTTAGTTTTTAATTAATATTTTATGACATAGAAATCTTTTAATGTATGAAAATGATACTCATATTAAAAAAAAAATTTAATTTGCCAATTCAGGTTAATAAAAACTCCATAGCCCTACTTATGGTATATACTAATAACTTAACCTAATTATTAAACATACAATTATGATTAACTATTAATGTGATCATCAACAATTTTTACAAATGTAGAAGTTAGTTGGTCTTGATGCTGTACGTTTTTTTTTTTTATCAGAATGCAACTAAAAAAAAAACATAAAATTATTTATAGAATTGATGTATTTTATACAAAAAAAAAATGTATCCATACTTATTAAGTTATCAGGTGAGATGTACTATGCTGAGACCAACCAAGTTAACAATTTGTATTAGTTCATTCAATAATGTTATAAATATTTAAATTAATAGTTAATACTGCTAAATGCAATTTAAATTTGAAAGAAAACAAAATTTCCTAAAAAATAAACAAAAAATATGATAAACATCAAATTATTTATTTGATAAAAAAATTCATACTTGCATAATAGATTGTTTAGTTTATTTAAAAGATACTAGTAGCAAGCAATGTGAATATGCATTAATTGCTGGTCAAATTAAGCTGTATAGTAATATAATTCACTGTATTCTTTGATTAATTATATAAATTCTACCAATTGCCACTGAAATAAAATTAAAATAATTTAACCCTGGTTATAATTTGCCAATAATATTAACATAAATCATTTAATAAAAAAAAAAAATCTTATTTAATCATTTTAGAATGAATTTACCAATAAATTATGTAAAAAAGAGTTGTTGACAAAATATGAAATCTAATTGCCATACACATAATAATACACATTGCTGATTGGATAAAAGTATATTTTTAATTAAATTCAAATTTTTTAACCAAAATACAACATTAAAACAGTATCGAAAAATATAATATGCATATTATATTCATATATATGTTCAAAGAATGATTAATTAATAATTTGTATTCGATGTCGGATAATGGAAAACTAACATTAACGATTAACCAATAACCACATGTTTTTAGAAACAATTAACCAGCATTTATTATCGTTTATCTATTAAGATAATACATGATAATACCACATACCAGAAATCAGTAACCAGTGATATTTTATGTAACCATGATGGTAAATTGTAATATGTTATGTGTATACTTTATAGCTGATTCAGCCGCTCTGCTGTAAGCTAGTCGCTCACTGACACATGGTGTTCTGATGGGAGTGTTGCTAGAACATTTTTTTTTTTCTATCGGTATTGTTTTCTATCTTATTAGGTACTTACGAGTTATTATCGATTATGACCGTTATGGGTATTGTTAAATTGAAATATCATTCCTTTTTGACTTCTGGTTTTACTGTTGGGTTTGATAAATTGCCCAGTATCAGTAAATTGAACGAATATTTAAACGGTAATAAGTCACAAACGGATTACTGAAATTAAATTCTGTAAACGTTAAAATTATTTTTCTCAGTATGTTTATAAATTTTCGTTATTGAAAATAGGTATTGCCATTTGAAAATCGAAAGTTGATAGTGTTTTATCAAATAAGGGAGGAAGTTAAAACTATCAAAAATGTAACGCAGTGTAAAATAGTAAAACCTTAAAAGTTTAAAAAAAAATTATTTTAAAATTCCTAATACTTCCCGAGATATTAACTGGTTCACGATAAAAAATCACTCTGTATATATTTTTCTTTGGTATTAAATTTAATGGAGATCATAGTTGGATATTTGGTTTCATCTGTTAGCAGTTAGCGTTCGTCGAGAACGGTTGTGTCTTAATTGCCATTTATCAGTCTTCTCTGTTAATTGTTATTATATATAGTGTTTATTTCTGTTGAAACTGATAATAACTCATAATTATAAAATAACGTAAAAGTGTGTTTTTAAAATGCTATGCGTAATCTGCAGCGAAGAAATACACAAAGAAGATGAGATTAAGTGCTACAAATGCAATGAATTTTTGCACTTTGAATGTGCAAGTTTTAGAGAACCTGTCTTTCGAAAATTGACAAATGTGGCAAAAGAAAATTGGTCATGTTCTATATGTAAAAACAGTAAAAATATTATCAAAAATAAAGAGAAAACCAGCTCATTTTTTGATACTACTATAGAAAATCTAGTAGAATCTGTAGATTTTATGAGTAAGCAGTTCGACAGTTTCAAAGTTCAAATGAAAGATTTTTTATCAGCTTTGAGTAATTTGCAGACCGAAAGTAAAATTATCAAGCAACAAAATATTAAACTAACAGAGGATGTACAGCTTCTAAACAAAAGATTAAATATTTTAGAACAGAAAACGCTTAAAAACAACATAGAAAATGTTGGCGTCCCAGAAGCTAAACACGAAAATTGTGTAGATATAATAAAACAAATAGCATCGAAGTTACAAGTTCAACTATAACTTCGGTACTATGATATCATGAGAATAGTATACATGTCTCTATATCAATCGATTTGCCAATATGGAATAATAGTATGGGGGGGAGCTACTGAGAATATACTAAAACCTTTAATCACACAGCAAAATAAAGTCATTCGTATCAGTCTAAATAAATGTAATAAAATCGGATCTACAAACAAAAATTACCTAGAACTTAGTGTTCTACAAGTAAGCCAACTATACAAGAAATTTACAATTTCCTTTAGCTTTAAAAAACTTTCACCATTGAAAAATATTACCTATAAACGAGAAACTATTGCCTATGATATTAAAATAAAATATGCTAAAAAAAGTATAGGCTAGAGATTTATGGATTATCTAGGACCTAAAGCGTTCAATTCATTAAATCTTAGCGACAAAAAATATCTAAGACTTAATTCTACAAAAAATGTAAATATATATCTTAATAAAATACTATTATGTGAGTAATGAGCTATGTGTACTTATTTGTTTTTATTTTATATGTATATTTTATATTTTATTTGTGTGTTTTTTTTATTATTCTTGTTCACTTCAGATACCTACTATTCTATCTTATTTCTTTTATGTGATGATGTACCTTTCTATTTTTGTATTTATTCTCAAAATGTTTTATGTATTTATAATTGTTTCATTTAACTAGTGTTTAAATTGTATTATATTATATAATCTAAACTTTTCCACATATATTATAACTACTAAATCTCATCCTCCAACACAAGCCATATGTGCTTACAGGAGGATGGTAAACCATATTTTGTTATTGTTAAATTTTTAAAATGTGTTAATTTCTATAATAAATGGTTTAAAAAAAAAAAAAAAATCTGTGGGGGGGCTTAACATTTTTGTCTTATTCATTAGCGGAAACAAATATTTGTAATCGCTTCCGATGCTTCCACCTACTAACTGTAGTGGCTACTCTTGATTCTAGCTGAAGCACCAAATATATATATAGGTGATAGAAACATAAAAAAATAAAATATTGAATAGCATCTAAATTATTTTTATTTTAATTGTATATATCTGTTTTTATGTGGAACTATATTTACAATTGTTTCAGTATTAATTGATTTAGAAATTTTTTTTTCAATATATAATATTAAGGTGTTGTTGAACCTTTCCTGCAGCATATAAGTTCGAAGCCAAGTTTTTATTTACGCATGGCCGAAAAACTCCTCTCACAAGTGAAAGAACTTATAGGAATCGTTAAAGCAACTTGAAATAGTTTTTATAAATTAAGGAAAGTCTGTTTTGTTAAAATCTTTTTCACATAATTTAAATTTATATCATTTTTATCAGTAGATTGCAATATACAATTCTTTGCCACTTCTATTTCTGACTGTAATACATTTTTAGATACATTCATCAAATCCTGAAAAATATACAAAATACAGGTTCACTTTTAATAAAACTAGAAAACTAGAGCATAGGTAAGTAAAAATTAATTTTCAGAAACCGATATGATACTTACTTTATAATGATTTACAAAGAAAAGATTTTCCTCAAAGTGTAATTGAAAAAATTGATCAACAGCTCTAGCCATTTGGGGACTCTCAGTAGAACATTTTTTTTCCAGATTTATCAAGATAGTATCAAATACAAAAAAGAAAGCATTTTTTTTAAAATAATCTTCAATGTTTCAATGGTGTCATTAACATTTTGTTCAGCACTTGTGGTTGCAGTAGTATCAAAATGTTTAAGGTTGTGTGGCTCTTGTCTTTTTCTTTTGCATCCTAGTTAAGTAAATATTAACTTAAAATTATTATAATTATAAATAAATATAATATGTTTATTAAGTCTTACCTTTAAATGGCATTTGTATTGATATTTCATTGTCTTTAGCAAAGATTTCTATTTCATACCAAAGCTTAGAAAAATACTCTGTTACTCTAGAATTTTTAAAAGTCATCATCACACCTTCAATAATATTTTTAAATTCTCCAAGGGTTGCATTTTTTTTTAAAATTTGTTAGAAACAATATTAATATTAATTAATACATTATCTATGATAAATAAATAAACTATAAATCGTCCACTTTTTGAATTTGTTAATATACCTAAAACAAAGATATGAGAATTTAAACACTTTGAATCATTAATTGTTACTCATTATATTATACCAATTGCTTCATTTACTCCTCTATCATCTTCATTTTCAATTTCTTCTTCTAAAGCTTGAATAATTGCTTTATAACTGTTTTTAACAGACTCTATATTTCGATAACGGCAATTCTTTAGTGTCGCTAAGTCTAATTATTGTCGTATGTTTTATTCCTAGTTTAGTTTGAAACTCAGTTAGTTTTTGATTTTTTGACGGATGAGAAAAATGTACGTACTTGTTTCCTAATATTAATATAAGTAAGAAATAAAATCATGAAGATATTCATTACCTTTACATATTTACACATATCAATTACTAGGTATTTTAATTTTCAGGAGGTTCATTTTATGAGCCATACAGTGGGTATAAATAGCGTAAGGATATTGATTTTTTATTTTATTTTGTAGTCCGTTAAATTTCCCAGACATAACATTTGCACCATTATATGAATGAGCAACTATTTGTGGTTTAGAACTAAGTTTACACTTTTTCAGGTACCATAATATGTAATGATAAACTTTCAGCATCTTGATTCTTAAAACAATCTATAAAACCAAGAAATCTCTCAACATCTAGATTTTTAACATACCTTACACATAATACCATTTGTTCTTGTTTGTAACACCTATAAATTAATTTAATAAAAATAAATTAAAAAGTATATGTATAAAACATAATTTATATTTCACCTTCATCACACATAATTCCAAACACCTCAACGTCTTCAATATCTTTCACAGTTATTTCTTTCACGACGTCTGCACATATATTTATGAGTTCATCTTGAATTATATGAATTGAGTAATTGGTTTTATTTAAATGTAATTGAAATGACAAAACGTATTGCAACTTTTACATTCGTCATACTAAATATAGTAGGATCTCGATAATCCGAATGAAATCGGGGAAAGGGGTCGTTCGGATTACCGATTTGTTCGGATTATATATGTCTTAATAAAATCATCAATTTTATTGTAATTTAAATTATGAAAATTATTTTTATCTGTATTAATCATGTAAAAACTTGTAATTTATAAAGACAATGTATACAAAAAATTATTATAATTATATATGTGTGTATGTGCAGATAATATTTATTACATAATATGAATCTTATTATTTAAAATATATATTTACTATTATTATGATACACATACATATGTATTAATATAACGATGTGATATTTCTCAAACTCGTTCGGATTTCCGCGTATTTCGGATTAGCCTGTGTTCAGATTATCGAGACTCTACTGTATGTATTATAAAATGTATTAGTAATAAATATAGATTTTATTAGTTTTACTCTGTTTAAACAATTAAGTAGGTGTAGTAAACTATGACTAAAACTTAAAAGCTTAAAGGCAACTCATAACTTGAACAGTCCGTTGTATTTGATGTTCAAATGAATTATTCAAACATAATAAACTAAAATAATATATTACACGTTTTTGATATGGTTGTTATTAATTGGTTAATTATCATGGAATGACGAATACTTATTATATTAATTACTCAATAGGTGCCCATACACGAGCGGATTTTATAACGGATTTGGTCTCTGACGGACTAGGTCCTTTAACGTGTCCACTAACGTGAAAATAAAAGTCCGCTATTTTTCGCGGAGCGAATCCACCAGCGGACCATGTCCGCTGGTTAGTGGAGGAAATCCGTTGATTTTTTATGCTGAGGACCTAGTCCTTTGGTCTTTCAAGACGTTCTGAAAGATCTGCGGATTTATGCGACGGACTACAACAGTTATCAATAAAACAAAAATTTCTTATCAAGGTCCGTGGTCCGCCGGACCTGTTCTTTTAGTCTGTGGCAAAGCGAGAGACTTGAACCGTTGGACTAAATCCGTTGGATTTTAAATCTGCCGGATTGAATCCTTAGAACACCACACACGATAGGACTTTTTAGAGGATTTAATCCGTCAGAGACCAAATCCGTTATAAAATCCGCTCGTGTATGGGCACCTAATGTGGATGTTAAATATGTCTGTAATGCATACATTAGAATCATACTTATACATTTATCTCGCTGCTCTCTATTGTTAATTTGCGTGGCTGTATAATCTACTTATAACTGAAGAATACGTAATCAACCATAGCCATTAAAGTAATTAATTTTATTTTATAAAATAAAAACAATTATTTCTATTGACAGACAACATTGGCATGTTATCAACTATTAAATTGAACTGTTGTAAACTAATAACTGTAGTAAATATTTGTAATAATACATTATTACAATCAGTGACGGTTATGATAAAAAATCAAGAGAGCTATTTTAAATGTGTTTCCCCCCTCCCATAATTGCATATATCAAATAAAGAAGGAATACAATTTGTTTATGGTTTTATTATAAATTATAGAGTTTTAATTTTTTATTCCTTAATTTAAATAGTTTAATTTCATTGGAATATAAAATATAGTAAAAAGTCCATAAATTTGACTATAATCTGAAAAAACACGATCAAACCCGACTAGCTTAACTATATTAGTTCTAATTTTAGATCTGTATTTTTTGACTAACGTATATTCTTCTATTGTTGTCAATTCAATGATTCCCTCTAATCCAAAAAAAAAAAAACATAGATCCGTGAAAATAATACGACGTACAAAACATAACAGTTGACATGCAAAAAAATGGATGGAAGGGGTGAGCCCCTATAAAAATCTCATCAATATCGAACGACACGAAGATATATCGAAGAAATTTATTGCATGCTGCATTTCCGTTCCAAATTGAAAACACAGATACTTTTGTTGGCGTAATTTTTAGTTACACGTTTCTAACGAAATTTTGTTCGGTCTGCTCGTGCAAGAGCAGGACAAGATTAAATTGGAAAAAATACGTTGCTCGAACCCATGATCGGAACCTAACCTAACCTTACTAACCAAACGAAAATTTTGTGAACCTGAGTTACGCATGACGATTGAAGACGTCATTAAAAACACAGTAATTTATTTAATTGTAAAACAATAATAATCACTCCGAGATAACTAGAAAAATTGCCTGTTGTCGACGTTTTCATTAAATGTATATCAAACTAATTATTCTATTGCCGTATTGATTATTACACAATTCTTTTTCTTTAGACTAATGATAATGTAAGCGATTCAACGACAAAGCTCGCGCCCACTCTCAAGTAACCGCTTCAGATAATGCAGTGCTCATTGCAGGTAAATATTATATATGAAACTAAATATACGACATAAATAACTAAATATACATATATACGATTACCGGTCAAACGCTCGTAATAGATAACATGGTCGACATGTGAAAGTGTCCAAGTATACATAGCAAATTAGTGGTGTAAATAGTTTTAAAAAATTACACTTATGAGCACCTACTGTTGGGGGTCTAGGATATTTCGCCGTGACCGATTCGCCGTGGGATCGTTTTGCCGTTTAGCCACATTAATAATTATTTCATCTTATTAAAAAAAAATAGTAAATTAATCGAAAATTAATTATAAGGTACATTAAATATTACGATTTACGATTTCTAATGGACAAGATCAGTAGTTCTCACTTTTTTAGTTGTGCAGAACATCAATTTCATAAAAAAAAGTCTTTGAGGCTTACTAATAGCCATTTATATGTACACATAACCTATATATACCTATATTCGTAATTAGTAATTTATTACAAAAATAATAAAAAAACAATTTTTATTAAGAAAAAATTTTATTGAATTTAATTATTCATAAGTTAAACAATTTATTGAACTTGTTGACATTGCTCACCCCAACAAGACAGTCAGTATCTGGGTTAAAATTGGACAATTTTAGCCTTGTTGATATATAATTGATAATAATTTTTTCCGATTGTATGTTATGTTAATTGTATGGTATAATAAGCATTTAGTGGTTAATGAAATACAAACAATAGTATTAGTAATAATGAGCATTTACAAAGAGTAGCTACTTATAAAAATAATCATATTGTTTTCCATAAACGCTTAATTTAAAAATGTATATTAAAAATCAATCTCATGGTACATTAATATTGTATTAGTGCTGAGTAAATTATTTTTATCTGTAAATGACACAATATTGTTTTAGCACACTCCAAACATACAACCAGTGTATGCGCTCATGACTATAAAGATGTTTCATGGTAACTAGGAACAAGTAGCTTGTCGGCACGCGAAAGCACACGGTCTGATTAATATGACGAAAAGAATCGTTCTTAGCGTATTAATAGTGATCATAATCTTTTCTCGGGTGAGTATTACCTGTCAGGCCTGTCCGTCGGCCATTTCGTTTTTATGTAAGCTTTAGATACAAGTAGCTTACATAAAAACGGAACTATAACACGGATTGTGAATTGTGTTTGATAATAAATTTAATTGACACTTTATTCTATAGCTAGTGACAATGCGTATGTTTCAGAAAAATGTTAGTTGTTATGTACCATTGGGTGAACTAGATCAAAATGACTATCCGGAGTTATGGTCTCAGGCTACAACTGTTTACGAATTTACAGTTAAGGACCTCAATGGAAATGATGTGCCTTTAGAAAAATACAAGTATTATTATATAATATATAATCTTATCGCACGAAAAAGGGAAAAATGTAACTTTTTTGTTTTCGGTTATAGCGGTTTGGTGCTGGTAATTACTAATATAGCAACACATTGTTCATTATCATCTTCAGCTTTCTCAGAGTTTAAATATCTACAGAATAAGTATTATTCGAAAGGATTAAGAATTTTGGGTTTTCCATGCTCTCAATTTTTGTTCGAGGTGAATATTTATTTTGAAATTCTTATCGTATATCTTTCTTTACGTATTAGTAAAATCATTATTATGCGTTGAGTATGTCATATATGTGCAATTAAAGATTTATTTAATAAATAAAAAAATCAGTCAATATCTGATTGATTAAAAATAATAACTTTATAAACATATTGTAGTATAGTTGTAAACACGTAAGGTAAAATTTACTTTGTAATTAATGGCCTGCTCTTTTATTTTGCATTTATAAAAAAAAATATAATTATTTCGTCACCCGTAATCTTTTAGATTAAAATAATTTTATTATATTTAAGACATCACTTTTAAAATTAGTTACTTAACAAAAAAGTAAAGGTAAATTATTTTTTTATTTACAGTGTAATTCGTTTCAAAGGTAACACTAAATAATTCTATCCAGTGACATTGGATTGAATTAGGGTGTTTTTAAATCGTTAGGGACTATTGAAATTCACATTTTAATTACAATTTTTAACTCTTTTATTGTAATACAACTAGCATTTCTTTAAATACTAACACCTACCTTCAAAAACAGATTTGGATAGACCAAATTTTTTAAATCGATTTCGTCTTTTCTACTATAGCTCTAAACCAAAATTGGCTGAATGACAAGTTAAAATTACGATTAAAACTATTGAATTTTTCAATAATCATGGTAGAATTGTATGAATAATCATACAATTTCGAGTGTTTATTTTTATTTTTTTTTTGTATTCGTAGGTTTGCAGACATTATTAAATCATTTAAATATAATTCTGAAGAATAAATTTACTTCAATTAAGCCTTTGATATAAATGTTTATCGATTTACTAAAAAAAAAATTAAACTAATTAACACAATTTTTACAATTTTAATCATTTCTATTATTTATTTAGGTAAAATAATTTCCAATAACTATCTAATAAATTGTTCAAAATATAAAATCATTTTCCATGCATTATTTAAATCGACGCATTACTTATCTTTGCTTGGCTACTAATACCTGCTCCTTTTGAAGTTTTGTACTATTATTTTATTTTTGTGGTCTTCAATATTAAAATATGGAGTTAAATAAACTAAATTTTTCAAATTTCCTCATAGATCACATTAACAGTCAAACAAACAAGTAATGCATTCATTTCAATAATACATGAAGAATGATGCTTTATTAGTTTATATAGATTTTACTTTTTGTTGTATACTTTATATACTTTATATAAAGTTTCTATTAATGTTTATAATATTTTCTGTTTAATAGGAACCTTATGATAATACGACCATAAAAAATTATGTTAAAGGACGACGTCTAAACTTTGATGTTTTTGCCAACGTTGATGTCAACGGAAGGAATGCATCGGAATTATGGAAATTCCTTAAGAGAGTTAAAAAAGGATTTATTTTTGAGTATGCATACTTTTTTATTTTATTTTTTTACAAGTGCTGACATTGAATATTCAAACATATATATATATATATATATATATATTTGTTGAGGAGTTCTGTAAAGATTTATACGTGCTTAATTTATCTATAGTGAATATCAGTTTAGGCTTATATGAACCTAGTATTTTATTGATAAATGTTTTGCACTTTTTCAGTTGTATTAAATGGAATTTCACCAAATTCATAGTTGACAGGAACGGAGTGCCCGTTGAAAGACTTACTGTTTTTAATAACAACAAGGTAACACCATTTTTAAAATATTTGATATTTGGATACATTTAAAATTAAAGTTTAGGGGTTTTTATATTTATTTATTTTTTTGATTTTTTTTGTTTCATAATATGAAATTCATATTATACTTAAAAAAATGTAGTTATTAAAACTAATTGGAATTATTTTTTAGTTCCGATAACTCAGACTATTAGATATTGAATGTTTATTGTTATAGGGTTTTTATTTGTGTGGTATATAAATTCATTCCCACGTCACAGAATCCCAAAACGCCAACATCCCAGTTCACCGAACAAAAACCGGATAAGACTTTAACGCCGTGTCCTACGTAAATACGACAAATTCGATAATCGCAATACGATGCCAATAAGAATTTTAAAATTCAAAAATTACTAGAAATACTAGAAACACGACCGATACAACTGATCAGTGCTTGAAATTGAAATAAAAAATTTTGATTTTAATTTCAATTTTGATTATTGACATTAGTTTTTTTTTTTAATTTCGATTTTGGTTTCAAATATTGATAATTATTTTTTGCAATTTCATTTTTGATTTCGAATATCGATATTCATTTTTTTTCTATTTCGGTTTCAGAAATCGGTATTTATTTTTTTTCGATTTTGGGCTCACGACAGAATGTTATCCATGACTTATAATAATTTCTCAAATTTTAGTACATCATCAGCACAAAAGTGTTGTAGGCTGTATAGACAAGCTACTGATGTAGGTAGTATATATTTAAATCTATTTTTTTATTACATTTTTTTTTAGCATTATTGACCATTTAGCCCTTATCCACCGAATACTTCCACTCCTTTCTTATTATACGCATGATTTAAGTCCCCATGCCAGTCTGGTCTCAACTCCTGCAGGTATCTTTTGACTATATCTAACCACTGTTGCTTCGGTCTATCGCGCGGTCTTTTCCTATTCAAATTATTCACAAGTATTGTCTTAACAATACTATTGCTGGCTCTCCAGACACGACCGGCTCATTCCAGTCTTGCACTTTTAAAAAATTGTTCTATACTTCCTTTACCATATAATTTGTTCATCTGATCGTCTCTCTACTATGAACTACGTACTAGTTTAAGTTTTAATATTTTTTTTTTTTTATTTACAGGACTTTGAAAAGAAAATACTGATGTATCTTTAAAGTATTTATGTATCAGTTCTTTATTCTTTCGAATATCAAAATGTGATCAAACAATTTAAATGGTTTATTATTTTCGTAATATAACAAAACTGCAATAATGTAAATAATATGATCAATCATAAATTACTTTTTCAATCAATTTTTGTTTTTTAGTATTTATTAACCAACAAATAATTAAGCATATGGTGATTTTTGTAAATTATTCAACGACATAAAATTTTAATTAAATTGAAACAAATTAATTTACTATTTCAATGTTAAGTTTATTTATGAAATATATTAAAAGGTATATTATCAATAATATGAAAATGAAAGAAAAGAGTTATTTACGTTTTCATTATGCTACAGGGACGAGGCACCATATGAAAAGTAAACGGTCAACGACGATAAGGTAATAATGGTTCTGTTTATATGAGTTAAACTATAATACTATAAAAGTATGGTAAAATAGAATTTTTAATTTTTTAATATTAAAATATATATATAAATATAAAAAAATAACAAAACGAAATATAATAATAAGTTTGAATAGTTTAGCATTATTTAAAACTATATTTCAGTTGCGTAGTATTGGATTGTCGTATTACAAAAAATGAAAATATAACTGTACGCAGACTTCGACTTTTAAAATTTAAATATCATATGGTAATATATTAAATATATATTGGAAGCACGCTGTGTAGACAAGATGATCATAGAAAAAGCATACGTTTTCTGTATTCTCCAAATTCATAAGAGATTTATATATCTTATATGACATATAAAAACTTAAAAATGTTATAAATAATAAAAATATTCAAAACTTAAAATCTGACCCAACTATAATTTAAACGAACCAAATCAAAAAAGTATTAACAAATTCAAAAGAAACCTAACCTTAAATCTAAAAGATAATTTTATTAAAATATGATTACAAAATAGTGATTCCATACTTACATCCATTCACAAAATTGTACAAACAATAAAATCCAATTCATCTATCAATTAACTTTAAAATTGCTTCATCTTATAACATTGCTAAATATTTAGACTCTTTCATTAAAAAAAAAATAGTTTTGGTTATGTTTATTAATTCTTATGGTTTTGTTGAAAAAATTAATAAAATTAATATTGAACCCAGGTAAAAAATTATTTCTCTTGGCGTAAAAAATTATATTCTTAAACACAAAAAGTGGTCCTTCTTGAAGGTTGACCTTAAATAACAACGGTGGTCCGTTAGATTTGGATCTAATTATTTGATATTTCATTTTTTTTCACGTACCGAAAAAGCAACAATTTTGAATGATACGAATTCACATCATTAATTATATATAAAATGTATATAAATTAATTATATTTATTTTAAATATTCTTAGCATTCGATAATTAAGTGACCGGCCCATTTACGAGTATAACGTAAAGAATAAAAATGAAAATAAAATATTATAAACATTTTGTATTCTCTTTGGTTATATAGATATATAATAAGTAATTCTGCCCCGTATTTTTGTAAATTTTTATAAAAGCCATAAATTCATCGAAGTTTTACCTTAACATATTTTGATAATATCTTTATTGTATTTTTTAAGTCCTGGTTAGTTTCTAATGTTTTATGCCGTATATACTTTTGAATATATGTTATACATAAATCGTGAAACTTTTGACAATTTATATCAAAATTTTTTTTTAACTAAATAATCTCCTTCAATAACATCAATCAATATTTCTATTTCAGTATTAATAAAATGTTCATTCTTTCTATTTTTTAAGTTATTTAATAAACTTTTTAGTTTAGCAGTTAATTCAAATGCCAAAATGTTTCCCTTTCAATTTTTTGAATATAATTATTGAACAGTGTAACCATACTTTGTATAAACTTCATATATAATAGAGCAGTGACGTTTTGAAAAAAAGACAATCAATATTTTAGGACTCGAATCTTGTGAAAGAAAATACGACTTTAAGCCATCAACATCAAAATAATTCTATCAATTTCAGGTAACAGCGAGAGCCATCTTGTTTTAGCATGTGATAAAATTCACGGAATTGGAAAATTATTCACAAAAATCACAAAATTATTTTAATTTTTCTACCCTCACCGTATAAATGTGAAAATATGCAAAAAGTTTTACTGTAATAGCTTCTGCGTCAATAGGTAAACTATCTGACGCTATTTGTATAGCATTGTGTAAGATACGAGCGTTGCAATCTAACCCAATTATATTTTTTTTAATTTTGTCTGAAGTTTTGAGAGCACGTTATTTTTTATTTTTCTATCCACCAAAATTAGTGTTTGTATTATCAGCCGATAGTACAACATTTTTTTGTTTTAATCTGAATTTAGTGAGAACGTCAATAATTTTAAAATTAATTAAATTGGACGTTTCACCGGTCAAATTTGGGAACTCTAGTATTTTGTTTTTTACACCAAAATTAGGCAAAAAATAACGAATAACAACAGGTACCAGTTTAATTGTTTTGTGGTTGGAACCGTCAATTAAAAAAGATACATAATTCGCAAAAGACAGTACTTTTAAAGTATTATCAACTATGTACGGGCAAATAATGTTGACAACTATTTCCCTAGTTTTTGTTTTTGCATAAGTGAATTTTTTTGTCATTTAAACATTGACGAATCAATTCCTATGTACAAGATATAGAACCAAAGATAATTTCATTGTGCATGACTGTATGATACACAAAAGTAGCTTCGCGGGCGGCAAATAAAAAATCGTTTTCATTAGGAGTCAAAGCAGAATAATAGTTGGAAACTTTATCAGATTGAATTGATAATTTATGTTATATTAACAACTTATGTTTTTGCGTTTTAAGGTGATCGTTTATGTCTATTCGTCCACCATAACTTAGTGAAAATGTTCCATGGCAAGTTGTACTCTGTAAATTGAAATCGTCAGTAGATTTAAGTTTTTAAAAAAATGAGAAATAATTTTGGAACTTTTCATTAAAATGACAAAGTATTTTAGGCGGCATAGTCACTATGTAAAATAATGAACTATTTAAAATTATGACACTATAAAGTATTTCACACTAGCATACGACTTGTATCGTCAGCAAATTACTCTTAACTGATGTATAACTATATAAACTATAAACTATACATACCGTTAAATTAGAGTTGCCATACGTCTCGGAAAACCGGTTTTGGACTTCGTGTCCCAGTGTCCCAAAAACATTTTTCGGAACGTCCATACGTCCCAGCTTAGACGTTTAGAGGAAATTTAGGAAATTTTTAATTTCGACCATTTTATCTCAAATTACATTTTTAATCGTAATTGATTAACAATATATAATAAACACATAATTTGTAATTTATACATACAATATATTTTTAAATATTGTATTGCCGGCCATTAATGGTCCTCTTCAGTGGCCTATACATAACATTTGTATCGGAGAGGGGGATCATTTGCAAATAAATCATTATTTTTATTTTATCATTATTTTTTTTACGTTTCTAACGCCCTCGTACTAAAAGCATTACTTTATCATCTTTAAAAATAGGCCTAGGGGCAATCAGACCCCCACATCCCCCCTTGCATACGTCACTGGTTCTCTCAATATATTAAAAGTTATATAAAAAGTATACTACTCAATAATTTGTTTGTTTTGTCCCGGTTTTGCCTTATAAATTTACATATTATTTTTTATAATCACAGTATTCAAAATTTAGAACCATAACAAAGTTTTTTCCGATTGAAAATGAATATGGTTAAAGGCAGTAGGTTGGCTAAATTTAGAAAGCGATTATAACTGTGATGTTCGTACATTTCGACGTTTGTTATCAAAATAATTTACGACTACTCGTAAGTCATTAGGATTTGTTCAAAATAAAATCGATAACCAAGTAAAAGAATAAAATTATATTGACGATTTTAATTTCCGAGACATTACTATGCAAAAGTCCTGATTCAGTACAAATCCAGTGCCGGATTAAGGGCCGATGCCGTCCTGGAGTAAATAATGTTTACCTCCCCCCTTGCCCTCAAAGAAATAAAGTTTAAGTGAGACAAAAAAAAATCCTTGTTTCTATGTAAAAATTAAAGTAGAAGGAGGTATCCCCAGTTCATTAGCAATATCCTTTTGTTTTTTTTCTCAACCAGTCCTTCATTGTACTTCTTTAAAATGTTAAGTTTGTCCGAAATCGATAGTGCTTTATGTTTTATACTACTAGTATTGATTATAGAATACTTGGAAAATTGTATAACTGAGTACATTAATTAGAAAACTACGAGAATTGAATATTTAAAGTTACCTAGCTTCAAATTTGCAAATAGGTGGTTTTTAATTGTATTTATTATATTTTATTACTTGTATTTCATACACCTAAGTGATGACTAGTTGACTTCCAAATCAACGATTTAAAATTGTGTATATTTTATAATTTTTTTTTTTAACACACATTAACTTAACGCACTTTGTTAACCGAGCTATACTTTAAAGTTGACAGCCTGTAAAATTGAGAAGAGAAATGTGCGTAATTAAACGGGAACCAATTCGGCTATACCTAATAAAATACCTTTTTCAGACGGGAACCAATTCGGTACCAGCCCTGACATTTTCGTGTTCGGCGAGAGGGACTCGTCATCGGAATTACAATTTCACCGGAAGTCCAGCCGCCGAGTGCATACGCGGCCGAGCGTTACCCCCGCGCCGGCCCACCAGCCGCCACGAAGGTTCGAACCTAGTCCGCGGGGGTTGGAGAGAACCGCGTGGCGCGCGTGCGCAGTGGTCGCGGGGCCGGTGTACGTTGCACAACTTTACCACACCCGCGTCGGACGCGTTTCTTCCGCAGTATCGTTTCAACTGGCTTTCGTTTCGTATTTATCTCTCTCGCGACACCTTCAATTCTTATCGCGCGCGAGAACACCGCGAACCTCGATCCAGACGCACAACCGCTGCAGCCATTGTCGCACACTCATGTAGGTGTTACCGGTAAACGCGTTCGTGTCGGTTCGAATGCTGAAACACTCGCGTCTCCGCCGAGAATGTGTACCGTTCCGCGGAAGGGCTAATCGGGCACATTTATTTATCCCCCCCGCCCCATCAGACAACGGGTTTTCGACGTTTTTTATAAGCGATGACCGGATCCGTTGCCTAAAATATACCGGTTGTCTGCGTTTGAAATCTCACCGCAAACCGTACGAACGTCACGTGTTGACCTCCACTCTTCGGTCTCGGGCCATGTAAGGACATGTGGTATCTCGAATATATTTCCAGCCCCTTCGTCAGGTAAACCTACCCCAAAAAAACCTAACTTCGAGCCAACTAAGTCCTTTGTTTTAATTATTCTGAACTTAATAATCCTTTGTATAATCTTGTTTGAAATGCTCTCTTAGGTAAAATACGGTTGAGAAAGTTATTTTTGGTAACACGATTGAGAACGCTCGATTTTTTTTTCCAACGTTGCCAAATGTAATCGATCGATAATAATATTATGATCACAATAATCTGTTGATATCTATCGAACTTTTATCGGATTAGCTGGATGTTAATAAAAACTTAGATACCAGATATGAAAATGACGATTAAGCTTTGCAGTCGTCGCACAAACTATTCGTCAATATATTTCATAATTTTATAAGTTCTATATATTTTAAAAAATTTAATTAATTTTAAAACTACACTACAGTTGATCAAGTTGAACTTCAGTTTATTTTCAACCAGTGGGCAGTCACACGTGCATTTTATGTTTTATTTTGTCGGTTGTGTTTATTTTTTTAATTTTTAACGTATTAAATATTTTTAATTTTAAAAATGAGCCTCTAGTGGTCGAAAGTGTAATGCTAAAATTCTTAGAACTTTATCATAAGCATAACAGTGTCAATTACGTGTCGACCGCGACTTTTCAACTGAGTTCAAAATAAAATTGAAACATGTTCTGTTGAAGTGTGTGAATAAAAACTGATTCAAATTATATTCAATTCTTGTTGATCAACTATAAAGGTCGATTCACACTATACGGAACGTCAACGTCACGTCACAGACCGGCAACGTCACGTTAAATATGTTATACATTCACATCAAAACGTCAAACGTAAGCGTCAAATTGTAGGAATCATTGCAGTTTACTGAGGTTGCTTAGACCATATCCAGGCTCAACGATAAACGGGGACATCGAAAAACAAGTATTCAATTATAGATTGTCTCGAGCTCGTCGTGAAAATGCTTTTGGAAATTTGGTACAAAAATTTAGAACTTATTTTAGAAGCATAAATTTATCCCCTGAGATTCAATTCTTTCCCTATTTTCGTCCATATTACATCTTTATGATGATTATCACTGTACTTTTTATGTGTCATATTGTAAAGTTCATCATATAAACGAATTTTTTCTATTAAATTTGACGGAAACGTTCAGTTGTCACATTCATACTATCCGAACGGACAAGAACGGACCGGTTGCGTCACGTCAAAATATAGTTTTCGATAAACGTTGCCGCTTCGTGACGGTGACGTTACGTATTGATGACGGTGTATGTGAACATTGCGATATAAACACATAGTAACATATTTTGACGTGACGTTGACATTCCGTATAGTGTGAATCGACCTTAATCGGTCAACTAAACTTGACTCATGAGAACGCGCCTTAAGTGCTAAAAATAAATTTTGTTTTGAAACACCCTAACAACCAAAGATCTTTATCACATGCGGTATAAATAGGTAATTGGATAAACCTAAGTTGTAATACCTAATACAAGAAACTCCTATTTCTATGAAATCATTATAAATCTCATAGTCCGTGGCTACGCGAGCGTTCAAAGTGCATCAATACGCGTGTCCTTATAAAGTCCGTCGTAAAAGTAGATACATTATAAGTTACAGGAGCACACACGCATTGAATAATAACGCACATTGATACCCACGTCAAATTTGGTCGACGCATTTTCTCTTCAACGCACATACAACGTCCAAATTATAAAATTCTTATATATTCCTCATTAAATAATATTCTTTAATTAAAATAAACTAGAGGTACAAATTTTGGACTTGGGGGTGCTAAGCACCCCTTTATGTGCGCCAATGTGGGCCACAATCGCCAGATTTATAAAATATTTTAATAATTTATAATTGCTTTTAAATTTTAATACTGTTAGGTATCATAACCCAAGACATAAAATCAAACACGGTGATTTGTCATTTGTATCTCTTAACTATTAATCCGTCCATTTCTCTGCGAATCTGATTTAAACTTTTTTACCGCATATCTAAGCGGCTATGTTGTGGAACTATATAATATACAATTATTAAGGTTTTCCCGAATCCCAGCCACGCTACTAGTGTAGACGTATTTTAATGTATGTTTTTATCATTCGAGCGAATAGAAAGACAATTATTTTAATTTACTAATTTACAAGATAACCTGCGGTATAAAATCAACTGGGGAATTTTATTTTATTTGATTTCGAAAGACCAGCTACTTGTTTACGACTTAAAAGTTAAAGACCTATCGGCCTTCGATTTAACGCTAATCTCGGACGGAACGTCGACATCTTGCGGGGAACTGTCGACGGTTAGGTTAACGACGAAACATTAACAAACAATTCCGGTCGTTACGTTGTTATGTCGTTTTGCGTACACGCGTTGTTTACGCTTCGGTGCGTGAGCGGTCTTCGATTCAGGTGTGTCCGTTCATTTCATGGAAAATAGTCCAGCGGGCAAAAGTCGTTTTTTTCCCTTTTCACTTTTCCCGTCGTGTTAAGAATATTATATTGGTACTCGCACACCGACCACCATTACACACGGTAAAATTTCTATCGACCATCTGCAATCTGAACTCGTTATTGTAACAGCAACGTCATTCACCACCTACTTAATCGAACTATTTTATTTTAACGTTTTTCGTTTTCCTTTTCATCAAGGTAATCCTAAACGATACGTATATCCAGTATCGACGGCTTGAATTCAACTAACCTTATACGTCATGGAGTTCCAGTTCAATATCAAGAATGTAGCCACTGAGGAGATGCTTAAAGTCGACAACACGTTGATGGCAGTTGGACACGAAGAAAACTCAGAGTGAGTGCATGCACGTTGTAATTTTCCGGAGTTTTGACTGTACTTACGATAAGTTGAAGGGAGTGCCTCTTCTAGTTTTTTTTATCAAGTACCTGCAATTGCATTGATACTATTAAGATTCGTGTGATATTTGTACTAATTGTCACTGCTTAGTTACGTACTTTGCTTGGATGGAATAAAAAAAAATTAAACCATCACTCTGCTTTACCATTAAAAAATATAACAGCCAAAATCTCCATCTGGACTACTATTATTGGTCTAAATAATGTAATATATCTGTGCTAATTTTACAGTTTAAAAAATTGTATGGCCAAGATCATTGATGAGATGGGCAAAGCATCAGCAGTGGCGCAAGAGTTAAAAACGCCTGTTACCAGTGCTGACAAGCTTGTCAACTCAGATCACATAGTCTACTTGATGACTGAACATGATAAGCCAGGGTATGTGTTCCAAATATGTCATAAATGTAAAATGTTCTTTAAGTTATCACTATTAATAACCGTTCTGTTAATATTTTTATCTAGGCATTTTACTGTTGTCGGAATTTTGAAGATGGGATGGAAAAAGTTGTTTCTCTACGATAAAGCAGGTTCCCGATCCGAAGCCTTGGTGTACTGTTTATTGGATTTTTACATTCACGAGTCCAAACAGCGTAAAGGCTATGGAAAACGTTTGATCGAATATATGTTACAGGTACTGTAAAAACAGTTTTGTTTCTTAATAAAAATATTAAGTAATAATATTATTTAAATATTTAAAGGATATTGATTTAGAAGCCAAACATTTAGCCATTGACAAGCCTACTAAAAAGCTAATGCAGTTCATGTGGAAGCATTTCCAACTATCTAAATTAGTAAACCAAGGAAACAATTTTGTGATTTTTGAAGAATTTTTCGATGAATCTTGTAAGATCTTGACTTAATATACTTAAGCTTATAAAATTGTTAATGAACTATGTTAAATTGTAGTGGATGAAAAGAATCATGATAATTCAGGGCATAGGTAAAAACATTTTAATTGTGAATTTATGAACATTCTGTAGGTATTATACAACATTTTTTTTTTTTTTTTATAGAGCATCAGCTTATCAGCGACAGCCTAAGTTTGGAAGGCACGGAGCCCACAAACATCATGATTCTATGGGCGAAGTAAGTGTTAATTTTAAAATCTTAATTGTTATATAAATAATAATTCCTTAATTTTAATCTCCATAGATTGTTCAAGGTGAAGGTGATGCTGCATTTGTAAAGCATAAGTACAATCCTGACACTGAATTGTAAGTATTAATATTTAAAAATATTTAACTTAACTGAATGATTTTATTTATAATATTTTAGCGTTAATAATCAATTCAAAGAGGAAAACCCACATCCTGAAAATCTTGGTGCATTTCAAACTGACAGGGATGGAAATTCTGTGAAACGAGATCTTAAATTTCATCACAATTCTTTATGGTGAATCAAAAACTAATTGTGTATACCACCAGTTTCCAAACTTTTCATTCAAGATTCCCCAAAATTAAAATTTGAGTCTCCCATGAATAAATTAAATAAGATACAGATTACAATAATTATTTGACTCTTAACTGTTTAAATATACCAAATAATTTGACTTGTACATCAAATTAGTATGAAAGTAAAGTGATATTTTCACTCCATGTCTTTTCCGATATAAACTTTTAAAGGAGACCTAACAGTTTGGAAACAGCTGGTGTATATCAATAATATTCCATTATCCTATTTAATGCCATTAATATAAAATATTAATTTCAATCAAGCTTTTATTTGTAATTGTATTATTTTAATGATTATAATTGTTCAAGCAAATTTAACTTTTATTTTAACTAATTAAAATGTTCTCTAACAATGAACCATAGTTCCTCAATTGAGTTTTAATAATGTTTAAAATTACATTTTTTAATAGCAAGATTATATTTAAATATGCTTCAAACATTAATCTTAATATATATTTATTCATTTTATTTTTATAGTTTTTTTTAATTTAAAAAAAAAAAATACAAAAATATTTTAGACTTAACAATTATTTTTATTTTTTTTTTTGTTATATTAATGTATTATATTCCTGGAAATAAGCAATTTTATTTTTAGAAGAGATTTGTGCTTGACCATGAATTATCATTCATTTTTTAAATTCTGATCTAATTTAGAGATTTTTGTATCCTAATTCTTAGGTGCCATTGCCTGAATTCAAAAAATAAATGTTAACATTGATGGGTATGGGGTATAATTACTTTTCAAATAAATTATAATACATGTTTATTCTTATTATTCAGCAAAATAAACTAATATTAAATACAGTTCCCTTTAATAACCCTTTATAAAGCAAAATATTTCTTTAAAGCATTATAGTTTTTTATCATAAAAACAACAATTTTTAAAATTATTGCCATAAATATTTTAAGATACAAGATATTGCAAAGTCAATCCATGATAATTTCGAAATAAAATATAACAATGGAAATGCAACTTATAATCCATTGATAAGGTCCAAATATAACACAATAGGTTCCATTGATTTTGAACAATTTCCTGAATTTTGTGCCAAGAACTATTCTTTTTTATACATTATTCTGTGAATGTGCATATTACATTATTAGTATAGTACTGAAAAAAGTTTGAATAACTATTTTGGATGATTCTGATCTTTGACTGTTGCATCATTCTTTAAATATAGTCTCATCCTACAGTTGACATTGATTTAAAAAGAATTTAAAGTACTAAATTGCGTATCAATTGATATTCCTTTGTTGTATGATGATTGATAGGAGTGTTTAACAAGTAATAAGATGAGGTTTTTCGTGAAAAGGAATTTAATTTTATCTATTTGTAAGTCCAAAAGTCCAATGCATATTATAATTCTTGTAATCTTAACAACTATATGAGGATGAATAATGATACTACTTTATGTGTTGTCCCTCTAGTATTGTCGTCTTTGATTACCGGGAGTAGTGTCATTCTTTAATTCATGTGTATACAATATAATTTGCATTCAGAGTCACTTGTGAAGTACACCTGTCAAGGGTTCAGGGCAACAGAGTAACACAATTATTAGGTCAATTATCTATTTGATAATTATGCAAACTTAATGTTTTAAATTGTTTTATCTCGCGGAGAGTATTTCTACTTTTAACCGATTGAGTTTTATTGATCTATTAGTTATAGCAGTCCTCCAGATGGAGATCGAGTTACTTAGACTTGTCATTTAGACAAGGATTGAAGATCAATTTCCAACAATGAATTGTTCTTATTTACTTTATTTCTTAAAACTTATTCATTGTTCATAATCATTATTATTGTATTTATCTGTTTACTTTTGAGTTTATACTTTTGAATATTAATGCCTTTGTAATAATCATAGTTTTATAAAGGAAATTAGTAAGTAAAGGTACCATATAATATTTAATTGAGACTTTTTGTGGAGCAGACACTATCTATGAAATAAAACCCTTAAACGCAGTATATGATATAATAACATTTTTTTTTTTTTTTTTTGTAAAAACTGTTTCTTATTAACTACCTTAAGTCAAAACTACTAAAAAAATATTTTAAAAATAAGAATTTTCCAGAAGTCTGGAACAAGGTGGTTACCCGTACTAACTACCGCTAAAAATGTTCAACGAATTTGTATAACATACATCATAATATTATACTCTAGAAACTAATAAATTCTTTCATATTAGGTAATTTTAAATATTATTAATAACATATTTTAAATCACAGATTTATGTATCATAATATTAATCAAGTAAAACAAAACATTTTTTTTATCATAAAATAGTTAAGAATTAAAAATTTTACCTACATTTGCTTACTTGATAATACAATATGTTTTAAAAACAAATTTTTAATACAAACATCATATTATATTTTAAAACTAATAAAGTCTTTTAAGTCTCGTATATAAATAGTAATACAATTTTTTACTTACATTTTCTTATTTTAAAATAAAATATTTAAACTTTCTGGTTTATATAACAAATTTTATAGGAACATACATAACAAATAGGGAACTTTTACTTATATAATAAGTTAGACACTTACAAGTTATGAGTATAAGAGACCATATTATAGGAATAATCAATAAATACTTGATAGGTACAAAATAAAATTGTTTTAAGGTGCGTGGTGGTTACTGCTATGGACCACTTACAAAACAATAATATTTATTCAATTATGAATTAAAACTAAAATCGATTATGATAACAAGTATAATATATAATAATTAATGTGAATAGAAACAAAAAAATAATAATAGAAAAACCATATTTACAATAATTTATAAAAGTGTAAAAATAAAAACGCTTATCACTACATTCAGAATAATAACTGTTCAAAAATAAAAAATAAATCAAACAGCGCTATCTAGTATTTTATTTATACAACATGTATTTATGTGGTCATAGCTGCTAACCACCATCAAAAAAAATAATAAAAATATTTATATAAGTGGTTACTACTACTGTCCCTTAAGTGTTATGAAGTATGTGGTTAGTTAGCTAACCACCGCCCCTTAAAGAGTCAATTAATTAATTGATACAATATTTTGGATTTTTTTTACAATTAAATAACATAATTAATGCACTGAATTTTATATTATTGATTTGTTATGTCCATTTGTACAGTAGTACCTACCATTTTCATTGTTTAGAAGAAGTTAGAAGTTGTTTTCCTGGAGATTTTCAATAGTTTAACTTATATATATGCATTTCAAATACTTTTGTCCATTGCACTTGCTTGTATTAATGTAAATAAATAATATTTTACCAACAAAAATTGTTTGTTATTGAGCTCAAAATAGAGGGGTAATTGTTAACATACAAAAGAGCAAATCCTGCTGACTAACTTATCAAAGGAGTTATGAATAAATGAATCTGGTTTTTATAAAATGTATATTAGTTACAACTTAACCTATCACCGTTCATTTGTTGTTATTGTTTATATTAAGATATAAAATTATAATCATTCAAAAATATCAAAATATAAGTATTTAATATAGTAGAATTCGCACTAATATTTATATATATATATAAAAAAAAAAAAATGTACCTTATTAATAAATTAACATTTTTAATTTATTTAAATTTCTGCGTATAAAGTTATAATAAACTACTTTTAAAATTGTATATTGTTTAATATATGTATAAAAAAAAACAAGAATTATAATAAAATAAAGTGTATACATACCACTAAAGTCAAATACTTTAAATATTCAATAAACAGGAAAATAAAATCATAATAAATATATTAATAAAACTAAAATAATATAATTTGTTCCCTTTTTTTTTTAACATGTTTTGAAACACTTAGTATTTCTTAAGAGCACTATCGTTTTATCACATATATCACTGAAGTTGGTTAAAGTATCATAAGAAATGTTTTCAGTTAAGTTGTTAGACAATTTGAATGGATCTTGTACAGTCAAACAATGTATATTTTGCAAGTTGGATAAAATACTTGAACGATGAGATCTGAACATAGTAGACTGGGTTTTGTTGAGCTCGGGCAACTGACTAAATGTTCCGAAAAAATTTTCCTTTTTCAAACATTTCCCCGTAAATATGCTCAGAACATAGTGCCTTAATTTTACTCTATTGGTATAATAATAGAAGAAGCCCAACAACAATTTTGGACGATATTGATATTTGATCGTGCCAGACCATTCTACAAAAGTACAATTCCATCCTACAATGGAAATTGGTAAAGTAAAAATACAGTATACAATAAATTAAAAAAAACTTCAAATGTATTATGTATTATTATCGAAATACCTTCGACTATTTTATAATCTTTGATTGGAGTGTTCTTAATAAGTCTAAATAATGACGGAACTACTTTTTTGTCCATCAAGTAAAATAATACAAGCCATATTATTTGATAGCTGGAAAACATATTTGTGTTGATTAAATTATTTTTCACCGCCCAATTCTGAACAATTACATATACTAGCCACTTCACAGTAGGGTCCATTGACAAATAAGACCTAATACAATGAGGGCAGTCAGACAAGAATTATTTAAAAAATTTGTTAAAAAAAATGCACAGTAGTAGCACATACTCGATCAATTTAATGTTGTACCAAGTTAAACTGCTATTAAAATAAATGTTACAGCTGAAGCTAGTTGGGATGTGATAGCATTTTATAATAGATTCATGCACGTTACGGATTTTCATTATGTCTTTAAATTCTTCCGGTTTTAATTCCAACTGCTGAGCAAACTCTCTCATCAGACTAACTACTCTATGAATGTCCCAGTCATATTTATCATCTGCGAATAATAACCATAAATTATTTACAGATTTTCAGTGGCGGCTCATGAGGTTCACATAAAGTGGTACACAAATAATTTGTAAGATACGTAGGTTGGTAAAAAAAATATTAATTTTAACATAGGTATAGGTACATGTAACATAATTATCTATATATATATATATATATATACAAATGAATTGCTGTTCGTTAGTTACACGAATAATATACGTTAACGTCGGTGGTCGGTCGATAGTAAACAGAAACATGATTCTTGTTTTGAATTTAAGATAATGACTAACATTATCAGCTAATAATCGGAATATAATAAACAAATGCGAGTAAAAATAAATCATAATGCCGATGCCAACCAACGCGCAACGGCGTGCCGACAGAAAATAATTCACTGAAAACAATTTAATTAGTTATGTGCACAGAAACGAATGTGCACATCAATCCATTAACGCATGTTGCGTGTTTCGACTTGTTTTAATTTTTACATTGTACAAATGTGCACACTAATAGTGTGCACTACTGCACCACTATAACAAATTCACCGATACCGTTCCGTCGCGGACAACCACCTGCCCGATTGGCCTTCGGAAACCCCATCTAAATATTATATTATTTACATAATATTCTGAATTTATATTTTTATATTTTGAAAAATAATCTTAATAACACTACAGGTATTTAGTTGTATTATTATGGTTTACGTTTTCAATTTTTTTGAGTTTGTGTAGGTAGTGCACGTACACTTGTGCACATATACACGAGCCGCCACTGCAGATTTTCTATTAGAAATAGGTAAATTTATTTCTATGGTGATTTTTAATGGATAGACAGTATATCAAAACCGAAATTTCTTTTGCACACTTATCAAACTAGTTAATCAGTTCATACTTAAATACACTTAATCAAAGTATTATATATGTATTCAAATCAATTTTAGTTTTTAATTATAGAGAAAATAAATTTGCAAAAACATTGATATTCATTAGTACTTAAAAAAACTATTGAATAGTAATTGAGGGATTCAATTGTCTTTTACCTTTTTCCAAATATAGACACACATCACTTTTATCAGTTATTAATCCAAAATATTCAGAATTAAACACGTAAATATTGAATAAATCAAAGTCAATATTTAAGTTATGTATAGATTTGTACAATTTGTTGATCTTAGTTTGCGATTTGTGTTCATTTATTTTATCCAATTGATCCGAATTTTGAATACATATACACCAATCGGTCATAAAATTAATTTTTTTGAACTTATCTATTAAAAAAACAATCATTAATTAGATAAAATTATTATTCATTTTTATTTTAAAATAATACAATAATGTCAATCATACCATTAATGTGGCTTATGACTTCAAACCCATGTTCATTTGTTAAATCTTTTTGGTCCTTGATAAAACGGTTAACATCCTTTCTAAAATGAGCAATAACAACATAACATTTAGTTATAATTAAAAAGAGTACAGCTTACATTCTATTGAATAGTATAATGAACGATTTTTTTGTGGTTGGAATCCTTTTGAATTTGCCATACTTATCCCTAAGCAATTTTCTTAATAGACAAAAATTTTTTTCTCTCAATTTTTTGCTTATACCTAGAAGTATAAAATAGTAAAATTAGTAGGACGTGTCACTAAGTAAACTTCAGTTTAATACATTTTTACAAAAATATAATTCTAGATAATTTTACTTGTCACCTTATTCATATAGAGCACTTAAGATTTACAAGTTTTGATATAAAAAATTAAATCTCAAAGTCTAAAACACTTAATGCGATTGTAAAATTATTTGTTTTTTTCTGTTTTGTTATATCTTTGAAATTTTATAGTTATTTGACATTTAGAAACGTCTTATAATGATAGACCAGTTCGTGTTTAAACATCGTACAGTACACACGTTAATTGTTAAGTGCTCCGCTTTTATCAGCTTTCGATAGCGTGTGTATTGTTCTTCGTGTCCAGCGCTCGTCGCGGTACTCGTACGGTCGGTAATGTATAAACTATTTAAACATTCCACAAAAGACCAACCTATAAATTATCTATATAATTATGAAGCCTAATCGCCCACCAAAATTCCCAAATCACCAATAAATAAAAATTCAACCTTAGATCATTATAGGTACCATATGATCTAAGAATTCAACTATTAAAACTTTCCCACCACCGCTTATTATCTCCAACACATTAATTGATTAAAACGGGTGAAAACAGTCCTTCTGACTTATCGGGCAACGAATCCGATTGGAAAACAGTTCCATTAAATTCTATTAAACGAAATAGTTCTCCAAACTACACTTCACCTACCACAATAAAAAAAAAAAAAAAAAAACAGGACACAAATATTTTTATTTCTGCAAACCGTTTCATTGCTCCTACAACGAAGTTCCACGGATGGATACAGTTAAGACTCAATCTGTAAACAATGAAAATAAAACTTCAAAACCACCACCTCCTATTTTTATTCAAGAACAAATAAATTACGACTTCTGCCAAAAAATTAATGAATTAACTGATACCTCTGGATTTGATTGCAAGAGCTCTACCAAAGGTTTTAACTGCAAACATACAGCCCTGACTCATACCGATCAGTTATCAAATACCTCAAGAATAATAACGTCTCATTTCACTCATACCAATCAAAAGAGGAAAGACCTTATTGCGTTGTAATTAGAAACATGTGTCATTCCACAGATACCTCTTTTATTAAGCAGGAACTCTTAAATAAAGGATTTGTCGCTAGAAACATAATGCCTGTAACTCATAAGTTAATCAATACTCCCCAACCGATCTACTCTATTGATATTGAACCAAGTCCTACAAATTCTGATATTTTCAAACCTAACTCATTGTTCTATACAAAAATTAAAGATGAAATTCCACACCCTAAAAAAGTAATTCCACAATGCCATCGCGCTATCAGACTTATGGCCACACTCGTAGCTATTGCAATCACTCTCCTCGATGTGTTAGCTGTGGTGAGCACCATGAGTTAACAACATGAACAAGGATCGCAACTCCCCGGCTAAATGCGCTCCAAGTTGTGGAAATCACCCGGCTAACTTTCGGGATTGTAAATCCCACCTGGATCTTAAAAAAGATTACTACCGAACCCTTCAAAGAATATCTTAAATAAAAGTTCTCCTCCTCGTCAACCCTTGGAGTGAGTGCCTACGAACCCCTGCATCAAGCTTACATACATTTCCCACAATTAAATCTAGACTCATCTTCTCACACTCAAGACACCAATTTAAGCCAAAACCAAAATATCACTGCACATCTCTCCTCATTTATTAATGAATTTAAAGCTTTAATAAACCCACTTATAATATCACTTCTCACCACAGTCATTGACAAACTTATAAATAATGTCAGCAAATAACTAACCATTCTCCACATTTTAATGGAATGCTAACGACATCCTACAACATTTATAAATGAACTTCAAGTAGTTTTTAATGAAAAATAAGTTTTAATAGCTCTTTTTTCTGAAACTCACCTAACTAAAAACTCTACATTCAAGATATTTAGATTTGATATTATCAAAGCTGACCATCCAGATGGTACTGCATACGGAGGCGCTGTTCTCCTTATCTCCAATAAAATTGATTATGCACCTCTTCTACCATATCTTTCAACAAAAATTCAAGCAGCAAGCACTTCAATAACAATAAACTCTGTAATTATTTCCATCTCTCCATGCTATTTTCCGCCAGGAAGACCTTTTCCTTCGGCAGAATTTTGTAATCTTTCTCAATCTCTAAGCTTCACCTATATTATTGGCGCTGTCTTCAATGCTAAATATCCAACTTGAAGCCGGTCAACAAACACCAGAAATTAAATACAAAATTTACCTACAAAATTTCATCTCGCTCAATCATGTTAAGGTAATAGCGTCCCTTTCTCCAACCTATTGGCCATCACATAGAAACCGTCATCCTGACACTCTTGAATTCTTTATCAACAATCTTCCAAATCGCTTTACCACTGAAATTATAAATCTAAATGACCCAGCTTCTGATCATACACCTGTCTTGTTACAAATCGGAGCTCATCCCTCTTTGAAGAAAAATAGATCAACCATTACTCCGGGTATTACAAACTGGAACAAATTCAAAGATCTCATATCAAAAAAACAAAACTACTCTTAATATAAAATTAAAATAAACTATTGATGTCGACCAAGCAATTTTCAAACTCTCTGACGACATTCAAAATTCAAAATTTTTAGTGTTTTAATTTTAATTACAGCCGGAGAAAATATTTGAATGCATAGATTCATACACTTGAATTTATATTTCATTATATTTTTTACTTGTATAATGAATTTATTATATATTTTAATATATTATTTGTTTTTATATTTTTGCAACTCAGTTGAAATAAGAAATGTTAATAAATGAAAAATATGAATGTGAAAATTTAGTTTATACACCAAAATAACACTTAATAATTCTTACTTCAGAAGTACGAATAATTTCTCTTACAGACATAAATATATTTTCTAAAAAAGAATTTTATAGTACAGTGGTCAGTAATATTTTTTAGACTCTAAAAAGGTTTACATGGGCCAAAAAAATGCAAAAAATTGATATGATACTCAATGAAATTTCCTAGATTTGGAATTTAAAGAGGGCCACATAAAAGAGACGTGTGGGCCATATGGGAGCTGCCGGTTACTGACCATTGCTACAGTATATGCTACGCAAGAATAACACCATGACTATCAATCTCTCACAGTCATGTGAATGGTAGACCAGTTTCAATGTCAATATAGAATAATTATCCACACAAAATAGATTATTTAAATTTATATAATTTAAATAGAAATTATTATTTTTACCTTTGAATTCAATATAAATGGTATTGTTCATTTGACCTTTGTCTACTTCAGTATTTATTGGATTATCACCATCAGCAGTTGAAACACCATGACTGATATTAGTGTTTATCAAAGATTTCTTTTTAAAATATTTAGGGTACTCTTGAGATCTGGACACCATGCCGTGTTTAAAATTTTTTATTAGTTTGCTGTTATCAAAGGAAATATTATTGCTATCATTATATTTGCATTCTTTAATGTCTATTGCATCATTATTAGCACCAATTGAATTGTTGTCTAGAGTGCCATTATTGATTATTAAATGTTTATTCTTTTTTATATATTCTTGAAACTCTGACATCACACTGTGTTCTACAGTTTTGAAGTGTTTGCTATTTCTAAAGGAAGTGCCGACTTGGTAAATTTGACAAATAGCACAGTAAAATACTGAAACATCAAACTGTCTATGAAACTCAATGATATGTTGGGTCCAACTAAGCAAATCACTATAAATAATGTCACAAAATGAGCAGAAAAATGATTTTAATTCAACAAAAACATTTAACGACAAAGCCATTTGATTTAATCCTCCAAAATTCATCCTTAAATGATTGTTAAAAGCAGAATATTTTGATTGCACATCAAGTTTTTCAATGAAATTTGAAATATCCATTTTTATATTTTTTTTAATAGTTGTATTAGATTGGTCTTGGCAGTCAAGTTCCATGGAATCAAGACTATTTTTATCGGAGAATGACAAACTCAAATCATTGTCACTAACAATCAGATTACTTTTATTCATTTTGAATGTGTTCATAGAATATTCAAGTATTTCGAATTTGCTTAGTTGATTGGGTTTAAAATATTGTAGAATAATATGCTCACTGCTGATAAGATGTTCAACATAATCAGACTTAATATTGAATACTACTGAACAACTAGAACAATTAAATATTTTATTGGATTCGATGTTTGCATGTTCACAATAATAAAATTGATAATTTGGAGAATTTTCACAAAATCCACAAACGTATAAAGTTTTATATGAGTAGGTATCAGAAAGTTCATACACAAGAGCCATTACCTCAGACACAAATAATAAACGTCCAATATCTTCATTATTTTTTAATATTTGTTGGATGATAAAACTATCTGTTCCACAGTACACAGTTTCACTAACGTAACAATAATACGTTAATAGATTATTTCGGTTACTCTTTAGTTTTGTTTTTTTTAAATGGTTCAAACTTATTACATGCTGTACCCAAACCTTGTACAAGTCTTCTTCATATGATGCATATTGGTATGCACACAGATTACAAATCAGTATATGCAACGGTGTATTACTGTCATTTTCAGAAACATCTTTGGAAGAAATACATTCAATAAAATGATTGTAAATACAATCATAGTTTAGTGAAATCACTTTATCGCATACAGTACAGCTAACTTTTTGCAGTGCTGTGCTCACAATAAAAAAATTAGACATATATGATGGCAGTTTCCAATGCATAGAGGCAAGTGTTTTCAGCTCACTCCTGTTGCCATTTAAAAACCACAGCGCTAAGTGCTGAAATGAGACTTTATGGTTGGCAAATGTATCTTTGCAACAACCGTAATAGGTTATTAGACATGAATTGCACACAAAATTATCTTGATTATTGATGGTTTTACAGCATTTCTTTGTATGCAAATCAGCTAGAGTATAAGAGTAATGCATACAATCTGCACAATAATACAGCATGCGTTTGTTTTGAACATCAAAATTGTGATAAACATAGGCCATGAACTTAGATAACATGGATAATTTTTTAGGTTTACATGGGTGTTTCAGTATTTCATCCTCACTGCCATAAAAATGATTCTTACACAAGTTGCAATCATAAGAATATTTAGTTGTATACAAATAAGGATTCAGTTTCGAAATATGTTGAAAATGGAATAAATGATTTTTCCAAACATCAATATTTTTGGTTGAAAAATTACACATCAAGCAATTCAATTTAAAATCATTTTGAATGTTTTCATCTACCAGTGACCCATTACATACCGTTAAATGGAAAAGAGTGTTGTAGGTGGTATGTTTACACAGAAAACTACATTTAATACACTTGGCATGTTCTTCATCAACAGAAAATACTTGCATGAGTGTAAGAGGTAACACATAATTCTGAATAGTTGATCTTTGCACATCCAACTTACTATGTGTTGTAGACATTTTGAATTATCTATGATAAAAATGTTCATATTTAGGTAAGTCTTATTATGTTTCAATTGTTCTAAAACTATTTAAATATTTCAACATAGCTGTTCAACTATTTAAAACATTTAACTCTACATAAATTATTACTATTAAATTTTGTTCGTTATTTAATTATAAGTTTATTCAGAAAAATAGTTCACGATTAACAGTTATAAGTTAACAATAATAAAAGTAAAATTGTACTTAAATTCAAATTGTATACCATTGTATAAACATGAATAAAAAATTAATTAGTAGATGTAGACCAATGCTTTTATTTTATTTATGGTTGATAGAAACAAAAAAAAAAATATCAATAATTGTTATCTTCTTTCTCTAAAATCCTATATTGTCATAAAATAAAAAATACTTATTTTATTTATCATCTATCATTCTTTAAAATTATTTAAGCTTAAGCAATATTTAATACTAAATAAGACAAGATTTTTTTTTTTTTAGAAAGTTTAAAAATAAGCAATATATATATATATATATATATAAATGCTTAGTCTGAAGTATTATGATACTTGTTAAGAACTAAGCAGGTATATACTAAGAAAAAATTCTATTTTCATGCAATTTAGGTTTTTAATTTATTTTTATTTTACATATTTGTAAAAGACAATGAATACAATTAAAATTATTATTATTATGTGTAAATATGTGAAAATCAAGGAGGTTATATCCTTTGATCAGAAGTTAATTTCACTATAGAAAATTTCAAAAGCAATAAAGCATGTGATACGGATAAAATCCCAGCAGAACTAATAAATAATGGTTATTGAGGTAAATATTATTGATGGGAACAATCGAGAGAAAATACTCGAAATACTCGATTGTTCAATTGTTCTTGATTGTTTTGGAAATCATCGAGTGATTCTCTCGGTATCAAAATCATTTGAAATAATTGAGTGAAAAATGCTCGGTTACTCATACACTCGTTTAGTTCCGAGTTATTCTCTCGGTAATAAAATCCTATATCAGTTGAAGTAATCGAGCAAAAAGTGTTGGTTAGGTTAGATAAGGTCTAAGATAACATAACATTTAACTAATAGGTAGTCAGTAGTAGATTATTTTTTGTTCGTATTCTTCGCTCATCATACCCAAAATATTTGTAATCGAATTATGACAAAAATAAAAATGAAAAATTGTAAAACATTTTGATATTTGTATTTTTTCCTGTTTCTTCGCTTCTTTTCTAAACATTCGAAACACGTTTATGAGCAAATAAAATGGTACTAATTTATTATTGCCATACCAGCAATAATAATTAGATATAGGTATTCTAACTCCCAATACCCAGTTTTGATTATTTGAAATTATAATACATAACATATTTTAAAGTTTAAAAATTTTTTTAGGTATTTTATCGTTGAATCCAACAATTCAAATTCTTAATCACTGCATTCATTAAATTAAATATTACAAATGTAATAGTTTAAAATTGACAAATTTTAATGGTATGGTATTGTGATATTAAATTTTATTTTATTTTTTATCCATTTTTAGTCACAATAATATTTTTAAACAGTAATTTAACACATTCACAGCCACCCCATAATTTGAAAAGTCGTATACAAAAATCACAACATAAAATTCCATAGATATTATATAATTCCATAGATTTTATATAATCCAATCTATGGATTATATTGATTATATTATATCTATGGTATTATATACAACCTATGGAACTATATACATTCTATAGATTATATATATATGGAATTTTATACATTCTATGGAATTATATTATATCTATGGTGTTATATACAATCTATGGAATTATTTATTATCTTTGGAAATATAAACAATCTATGGATTAAATACAAATATGGAATTATATACCAAGTAAATACACATAACACCAACTAAAGTAACATTTCTTCTAAAATCTGAATGTGGCATACTTGTTTTTTACTTGTTATTCAAATAATTAGCATTCCATAAGCATGTGTCCATAGTGTAAAAAAAATCATTAATATACCAACGTAACCATTTCATTGGAGTCTGGTATTATCTTATCCTCTGGTCTGCTTGGTCTATACTTGACATATTATTATTATAGTCAAGAACTATGGAGGGTTTGAATTTACTCCATCCAATTACAAATTGTCAAAAATCAAACTGCAAACATATGCAAGAATCACACAGTGTTACTTTAAAAAAAAAAATATTATGCTTACAATAAACACTACTATAATATCGCTATCCAGCTGTTGGATTTTAAAACCAAGTACACCCATCGATACACAGAAAACTGTTTAAAAAAAACCATGTTATCATAATATTTATAAGAATAAGCCAGAGTCAAATAATTATGTACACAAATGAATGGACACTATGTCAACTATACTTGACATGGATTTATCTAAAGAGAACCCTATGTCAACTATAGTTGACACTTGGCTGTGGACGTGTTAAACATTTTTTAACTTTTTTTTAACTTTATAACGTTTTTTTTTTATTTACCTACTACATATTGATTTGTAATTTAATAAGTATCAATTTTTATTGTTTTAAACAATGATGTAGTTTTATTTTATTTAAATAAAGTTAATAATAAACTAAAATATTCCCAAAAAAATACATGTTTAATTTTATGGTTCATTAATATATAGTATATAATTAAAATGTATTATGGTTAATGTATTTATTATAAGTAATACAACGTACTTATTAGTTTAATTATTATTCAAGCGAACGAGCGATTTCATAATATAATATTACACTAGGTACTATCTACTAGAATTTTAAATTTTTATTCAGTAATCAGTAAATAGTTACTATCAACTAAGTACTGACCGAGAGATTTTTTTCGAGTGAATCTCTCGATTGTTAAATCGATTACTAACCACTCGATTGTTCTCATCACTAGTAAATATTATATTATATATTATATAATACACAAATATGTTATTAGCCTGCACGAACTACCGGTTAGATGTCGTTCGAGTTAAACAATTAATAACGGTACCTGTTTAACTTTTCGGTTCCAGTGCTGGTTCCCGTCGCGGTGGAAAAAGTTAAAATTTTAGTTAAAAAATTCGCCGGGGATGGTCACGTCGAGCCAGGTGCAGCGGAACCGCGGTTCGATGCGTGTCGCAACGAGGCGAACGTCGTCGGAAAAATAAATAAAAAACGATTGGAAAACGCGCGGGCGAACACGATTGACGCGAATAACCGTTTGGTACCGGAGACGCGCACAACGTTCGCAGCAGTACGGGCACAGAATACACGAAATACATGTATTGTGCGGTACCGGTGACGACGCGAAACACCGATCGCAAGCGCGGCACGGGAAATCCACGCGTCCAACGGGTATTTTTAAAACGGGCGAGTACGCGGAAACCGTCCGCGTGAATTTCCGGCCCCTCCGTCCGTCGATAACGTTGCGTACACCCGTCCGATCACGGGGTGTCGAGTCGGAATTGGAAATTTTGACGGTTTCGCCCGCCGGCCCGTTCGGAAATAGCCTTACAACTACAATAAAGGTAATATCGACTGGAGATCATGGGGGTATTTTAGGAGGAGGGCGATCGCCCTGAATCCGTATTTAAGGAATTTATTATATGCGAGACACACATTTCAAATTTTTTTAATGTGCATTATTTTATAACGAAAACAAATGGCTGCGAGTACTGAGTTGGGCTTTTTGTCGGGTCCATACTTAATAAAAAAGCGTAACTTTCAAAACACAGACAGGTGTTAAAAAAGAACTACACAAAAGTCGATTCTAAGTGGATCCGGCATAAGATTAAAAAATAAAAAAACACAAATATTAAGGATTCACCTGATTAAAATATTTAAATAAATGCACCCGAATTAACCAGAACCCGTATAACACCCCTAAAAATCCTTAAAAAATCAAACACCCAAAACTCATATAAACCAAATGATTTTTTTTTTTTTTAAACACCCGAATTAACCAAAACCCGAATAAAATATTGGTTTTAACCCGAAACCCGAATAATTTTTTATTTTACAATCTTTATGTGTCATATCACTTTGTATGTATTTTTTGTGGTTATTTCAATTTTGTCATTAGTTTAATACTAAAATTATTATTCACAGGAATAATTTTACAAATAATGTACAAAATTGTTAATTAATCTAAATTTATCTAAATAAAGACAATAGCAATATATCATATTGACAGGTGTGCATGAATGGTATGATATGTTGAATAGTCAAGTGAAAACAACTAGGATACTATTTTTAAAATTATCCCAAGCGGATACGTCGTATTATTATAATTTAATAGGTAATAGGTCTTCTACGAATCACCGAGTCGTTATTTATTACAATATTGTAAGTCTAAAATAGAATTGATGTCTTGCGTATTATTACCTAAATTGTTCGCGTTATTATTCGTATTTGTTCAGTGTATGGCGTGTACTACATATGTCTGTGGCGTGAATTGTCAATTTTTGTTGGTGTTATAATTTCACCGTAACATTCATAAGTATAAATTATTATTATTTTTGTTTTACGCTTTGTCCTAGCTAGTGCGTTTTTAGTGTGTGCACGCACCACAAACCATAAGAGGAAATTCGGTGAAATTTGTGGGGGGCTGAGCATTATTTGCTTATTACCCCTATAGGCAATTTACGAAGTTTGACAATTTGACATTTTTAATCAACAATTTAAACAAAAAAACAATTAGGTGCCTTATCTTAAACATTTTTGGAGTAGGTATTCGAAACAGAAATTATTAATTAATTAAATTAAACAATCTATACGGGTATTATTACATATTATTAATATTACATTAGTTGCGATCGTTCCAAGTCATGACAAGAAGTTTATAAAATCTTACGAATTTGATTTAATTTTTGTCACAGAATATTTTTTTTTAATTCAGTTAATAAAAATGCATTTTACAATTATAATAATTATTGTATTTTAAGTTACTTAACAATTTTTAGGGCTAGGGGGGCTAAGACCTATACTTTATATTTCTGGGGAGGCTTAATCCCCTCACGCCCCCCCGATTTCCACCTATGCCACAAACAAACGCAGAATACAAAATAGTTTGTTTTTGTCACATGCGATATGCCCGAATTAACAAGGAGTAGGACATAGTGTTAGTATTTTTAATTTTAATAGATATTATAATTTATAAGCTTCATACACATATAAAATAAGCCCCTTTTCACCGAGACTAAATCGTAGTTACACCATTGCTTGAAATTAACATAATGATAGTTTGGTTTAAAAAACTGTTGCACAGTTGTATAAGAAATTGATATTTTATTACATAGACAGGTAACAAAAAATATAAATATTTCATTAGTGGATGGGGGCTCATCCTCCCCACCACCCTCCACCGATGAAAAATAATATTTTTCCTTGACTACTTAACACCCGTATTAACCAATATAATAAAAGACACTGTACAAAATTACAGATTGGATTAGTGGATATTTTTCACGAGAATGTTAAAAATAAATCTATGATGAAGAAAGAAGAATGGAATTAGAGTATGAATATATGTATTTTGTATAGTAATTAAAATATAATAAAGTTTAATATATGTTAAGTTAATTTTTTAACGCCCAACTTTAAACTTAGAAAACACCACACATTCTTAAAAATATTTGCTACATTTCCAGTTTCTACCGCAACCATTGAAAAGTCATTTTCGACCTTTAAGATGGTTAAAAAATTCTATGCGTTCTAAAATGACTGAATTTAGACTAAACAGTGTTATACTTTAAGCAACCATAACAAAAAATGTTTTTATAAAACCATTTAAATAATACTGTATTTACAAATAATAATTGTTTTTAAATTATCTTTTGGATTAAATATGTTTCTGTAACTTTTTTTTTTTATTACACAGAAATAAATACAAATAACATAATTTTAACTTAGTTATTCAAATATTTAATAAAAACAAAAATTGTTCGACGTATCAAGTAGTTCAGTTTCCAATAAAATATAACTATGGCTGGGATTTTAATGCTTTAAGAAATAACGGAACTTTACCCTGCTACGTGTGTGAGCTTCAAATTCGAGCTGGTCATTCGGCCAAAAGGATTTATTCACCGGATTCCTTAGACAAATCGTATGGGTTGGGAGTCTCACTGGCCTTTAATCACACACGTATCAATTTATAGTATGTCTCATTATTTCAAAACGATAAACACTTATATTCATAACTACTTATTACGAGTATCTACTACTTAATACATAATTATATTCATATTTATAAGCTTAGATATAATAATACCAACTAATATAATAAACAATGGTTCTTAACAATATTGTATACTTATTGAGAATGATGTTCAAAAAATGTATAACTTAGGTATGCAGTATAAATAGAATAAGTAAAACTAGTTGTAGGCACACTAAAAATTTCTCCTAGTGGAAAATCAAATAACCATGTTGGTATCTTATTAGCATCAATATAATTTTCACTAATTGGCATATTAATATATAAAATTATATCAATGTATCAATTAATTCATAAATTAATTAATTAATTATTTTATTTTAATAGGCATTTGAAAATGGTACCTATAAACTATAACATAATCCTTATTACTATAAATTATGGTCTTACAATTTACACATGCACTGTAAAATCAGACAAATAATTTATCATTTATCTTTATCTTTGGGGACCAATAACATATAGGTATAACATTTTATTTGACTCCATACTCGATACGTATATATTTAAGACTTAATTTATATTAAGTTATTCCCAGGGGCGGCTCGTCAGGGGAGACTTTGAGACTGCGTCTCCCCTTAAAAATAAACTAGCTACTTGTAAATAATATAATTAATTAAAAATAATAATGTATAGAAATATTTTCATTTGTATTTAAAATATATTATTATATCGTTTTCATTGTTTATTATTATATTAAATTGAAAGTCACAAAATCGAAAACCTATTAATAGCTATTTCGATAGAAATACTATTTTAGTCATTCTGCGGGTAATTACGGCTCATAACGACAGTCCCAGTTCAATGAAACTGAAGCCCGTCAGTTGCAAACGTAACATGTAATGACATGGCTAGTTGGTCGGAGGGAGCCGAGGTGAATAAGCTGCGTATCATAGACGCTTTTGAACCTGGGTTCACGACAGTAATTGCCGTGCCGCTGCTCCGTGTAGCTCGTGTTTAATTATTTTTACTAGCTTCAGACGTTTTATTCACGGTTTATTAATTATTTAATAATTATTATACGTATATCCGTCTAACATTTATTATTAAATTTTACATTTATATAAGCATTTCAGCATTTGTTCATATTTTAAAATGCAAAAAGAAAATATAATAGAATTTTTACTAACCAGTGGTTTTAATGCTTTAACATACGAACAAAAAAATCAAATTAAACTTAATCGCCCAACTCCTCATTTATTATTAACATGTCAAGACGGTAAATATATTAGAACATTTCAAAAGAATTGGTATAATAAATTTCCATGGCTTACTGGTTGTGATAAACGAAAGAAAGCGTTTTGTTTTACTTGTGTAATATTTGGAGGGGAAAAGGAATGGAGTGTTAATGGATTGTCATCAATAAAAAATTTTTTAAGGAAATCAGAAAAACACGCCATTTCCCAAAAACATTTAACTATTCAAGAAAAATTTCATCTATTGGGTAAAGTCCGAATTGAACACGTGATTTCAGAAGGTCGACGACTTGCTGCTGTAAAACATAACGAACAGGTCGGTATAAATAGACGTTTAATAGCACGTATGATACATGTTGTTTGTTTTTTGGGCAAACAAGAACTTGCTTTTCGTGGCCACCGGGAAAATAATGAATCTTTAAATAAGGGGAATTATCTTGAATTACTCGAGCTACTGGCTCAAGAAGAGCAGTTGCTTAAAGAGCACTTATTGTCATCGGCAATATTTAAAGGGACATCTAAGATGATACAAAATAATTTGATTGAATGCGTTACTTCCGTTTTAAATTCAAAAATTTTTAATGAAATACAAGAGTTAATTACGTATCTATTCAAGCAGATGAAACGACTGATGTATCGTGCCGATCCCAAATGAGCATAATTTTTCGGTATGTTGTAGAACAAAAAATTGTAGAACGATTTATTGGTTATTTTGACGTTTCAAAGAATAAAACAGCCTCTGGATTAGCAGATATAATTTTATCTGAAATTAATAAATGGAAAATTGGAAATAAAATTATATGTCAGACCTATGATGGTGCATCGATTATGTCGGGAGAAAAAAGTGGTGTACAATTTCTTATAAGGCAAATTTATCCAAATACATTATTTATTCATTGTTACGCACATCAGTTAAACTTGGTATTGTTACACGGAGCGAAGACAATAAAATCAGTCAAACTCTTTATTTGCAATCTAACTATGTTCCATACGTTTTTTAGTCGGTCTACAAAAAGAAGTGAGTTGTTAAGAGAACAAGGTTTTAAACTTTCAAATCAATTTGACACTAGATGGAATTATCATTCAAGAACTGCTTTTACAATAAAAAAACATTTTTAGACCTCAAAAATGCTGTTTTAAATGTAACTGAAGAACCAGTTTGGGACCTTATATCCGTTTGTACAGCATCTGGTCTTTATGATAAGCTAAATGATGCGAACTTCGTATATTTCTTGATTTTGTTTGGCAAAGTTTTTTTATACACAGATCATGTATTTAACTTTCTCCAATTAAAATCACTTTCGAATATAAAATCTTGCATTCCTGAAATTCAAAATTTAAAAAAAAATTTGACCGATTTAAGAAATGATACAAATGTGAATAACTGTTGTGACGAAGCAATACTATTAAACAACAATTTAGAGTACGAAGACAAAAAACGAAACGAATTACGTAAAATTACATATGATATTCTAGATTCATTAATCGTCCAAATTAACATACGATATGAAGACTTTCCAAAACTAGAGTTTGTAGAAATTGTAAATGAAAAAATGTTTATAAGCTACTACACTCAATTTCCTGAGGCAAAGTTCATCAAGTTATTACAGCAGTACCCTAATACTTTTGATGCAGATCGTTTACGCAATGAATTGGCTGTAATTTATGTGGATGATAAAAAACATTTGCCTCCTCATGAACTCCTAGATTTTATGATAAAAAGTAAGTGATAATAATAAATTCATTCAAACTAAATATCATTAATTTTCATATTATATTTAATTTTTCCTTTGAAATTTACAGGTGATTTACATCAAGATATTTATCCTCAGGTGACTAAACTTTGTCAGTTAGTATTAACTATTCCATCTACGACAGCTTCTAGTGAACGGTCTATGAGTACATTAAAACGTATCAAGACTTTTCTTAGAAACACAATGACCAATGATCGGCTTTCAAGTTTATCATCCTTGGCGATTGAAAAAAATCTACTGGGTGATATGGCAAAGGATCCAACTTTTGTAGACAATGTTATTGATGAGTTTGCAGATAAAAAAGATAGAAGAATTGAATTAGTTTATAAACAAATTTAGTATTAAATTAAGTTAAAAATATTAACTAAATATTAAATGAAATAATAATATTTAAAATAATTCATTTTTTCAATAAAAAGGTTTTTCTTGTTCGTTGTTATTTGAAATTTATGTTATATAATTTAAGTCTCCCCAGAATATTTACTCACGAGCCGCTACTGGTTATTCCTAACATTTTGTAGATAAATTAATAAAAATCACTCAGAATGACCACGCATTGGCCTATACATTTTATAAAAATTTAAAATAAATTCTTCCCAAAGTGTTGATTATGAAAATGGTAGCCAAAAGAGTAAAAATATTCTTAGGCAAAAGAGATAAGGTAATTTTTGGGTGAAAAGAGTACCGCCCAAGATCTTCATTAATTCGTTTTAAAAAATACAATTTTTTACATTTTTAAACTCGTGTAACTCTTAAAAATAAAGTTTTTTTTTCAAAAAAAGCTACAATTTGTCCTCGAAATTGTTTTTTAATTTATAACAGGTATATTAATAGACTGAAATATAGTGTATTTTAAAGAGTAATATTTAGGACGTTTGCACAATCTATGATATTATCAGTGACCAGGGACGGATTGACAATTATTTTCGGCCCAGGAAATATGAAACAAACCATACCATGAACCCCAAATTAAACTATTTTATTCCTCCCGCTCCCAAAAAAATGCTTTATTTTGCATCAATTTCAAAATTTGCTTAGTTTCACCCCTAAATTAGTAAAATCTACAATAACTTTACAATAATTATAGCTATAATAGTTTTGGGTAAGTCACATGATTTATCAGTTCCAACTTGAAGTTTGATCTTAATGCATCTTTAAGAGGACGCCACACTGAAAGTAAAACGTATGCAACGGTCGATAGAACGCGCTTTTAGGTGATTTCGCGATCCGCAAGCGCGCGGCATTTAAGCCACGCCCACTACTAGTAGCCGGCGTCCGGCCGACGATTGTGTTTATACGAGAGCGATGTTTATTATTATCTGAACCTTTAACTCTGAAGGATCGCGTAAATATACACGTAAAATGTAAATGCAACTGTAATATATTTAATATCCGCAGGTACATTATACGATTTGTATTTATTACATTATAAGATACTTCATAAAATATTTATAATACAGTATATAATTTATAACAATAACCAAAACTAATATTACGTTAATATCTAAGTATTAGTTTTTTAGTAGGTAATATATTGCCTACATTTTACGTTATACTTTTATACGCTTACCTACTACCACTTACATATTTTTTAGGTAATTCAAAGAAAAATATAATATTGAGCATAATAACCTGATCCTACTTAAACACACTTAAGAATATATAATTTAATCATTTTATAATCTAATATTTAATTATAAAAAATAGTAAAAAAAATTATTTCTTTTTCGTTTTAAATAAAACCTAATAAAAAATGATTTTATAAACACTTCAACATCGGTAATTTTTAAATCTTGTTGCACTTATATGCTTACAATTTTAATTAGTTTTCCATTTTATTGTTCCAAAATAATTCATCATATTTTATATTCAAATGCGAGTCCATGATTCAGTGTGAAATGTGAATGATAAAATAACATACATTTTTACTTACTAACACGCGGCGCGATCGTTTCTAACGCAAGTTACCACCATTTCTTTATTAAAGTCCTGTTTACTTAAATATGTAGGTATATTTATAATATACCGATTATATAATGATAAGCGAAAAATTATGATTTTTCGTAAATTATACTACTAAATAAAAATGCATAAGTACAGCTGTTTTATGATTTTCTATAAAACCAAATCTAAATATTATATTTGAAACAAAAAACAATAGTTTATACTTTATACTCGTATATATTATTTGAGTGCGATCCATATTAGATCACTATTATTTTAGCTACATGGTTTATATTATAATGTATGCAATATACGCATTTCAATTTTTTAAGTTGTTTTCTTATACTTAAATAATTATATTTTCATTCAATATTATTTCTTTTTTTTTAACCATTGACTTCATATTTTTTTGGGCATGTATTATGTGTATTGGCTCTCTGATATCGGTTACGAGAAGTCTTAATTTGAAAAGTGGATTAACAATTTCCTGTAACATAAACTCTAAATAAAATCTGTAAAAATATAAGTAAAATGTTTTTTGAGATATACTTTTACAAATATGGATTTAATAATAATAGAAATAATAGTTACAGTTTAAGTTTTTCTACCATTTTATTAATCAAAAACTCTTCTTCATATTTTATTTCTTGAATATTAGTCCAATTTGTAGTGTGAATTACAAAATAGCAAATTTTTCGTTGTGTTACACGTAATTGACCTATGACTTGGTAATAGTAACATAGGCGTGTCTACGGAGGGGCCAGGGTGGGCATTTGCCCCTCCG